TTTCAAGAAATACGTATTTGAAGTTCCGAATACACGTAGATCCTTATGGCGGAGAGAAAGTTCAAACTGACTTTTTGCTGCTTAAAAATTGGAATTTGGGAGCGAATTTTTCACAGAATGTGCATTGAGACTAATTTTACACTAAATTCTTAATTTCTCAATTGTTCAAAAACTGCACTTATGCGCCTTGTCCTCCAAGCCCCTCACCTCATTCCCGGATCGCGCGACACCTGACCCGCCACCTGTAGAGATCCAGAGAGCATGTCTTGCCTGCACCTGGTTTTCAGCTATCTTGGCTTTGAAACATTATTTGCATAAAATGTCTGTTTTTGACGTACAGTTTGGATTCTGCGACCAACAAAACATAGGAATCAAAACCGTACGTTCCATAATAATCTTTCCTCACCCCTGCAGAGGCAGTTTATGCTGCCCTTTAGAATTGGGGGTTTTTTGCATGGAGTGTCAGTTTTTGACTTAAAATTTGGATTCTGAGATCAAGAAAACTCAATAATCGATACGATTTCAAACATGGATTTCCATTTCCTGGTCATCTTGAACCACGTATATTTCAATATTTTTCATTCTACTATCATCATGTTTCCGATAAGCAGTCGTACTAAACGCGGAGAAAATCGATCAAGAGCAGTCGAATCCTAGAATTTACTATCAAAATTTCAAATTGCGATATCTCAAAAATTCGCCTTCAGTTGCGTCTGCAGCAATTGTTGTTACGAATATGTTGTCCGTGCTGATCTCAGCTCATTACATACTTGACTCTCTGAAGACGTTTTAGGTGCAAAAGTAGAGCATCCTGTAGGAAAATGGGTAAAAGTAAAACAAGGATATATCAAAGAATGGTTTTGTACCTGCATTGGGATTACGTTCACTTGCGAGACAAGAATGTTTCCGCAACTGCAATCAATAACGGACGATTCATTACGTAAATTGATTAAGTTCGATCAGACATGCGATGTTAAATTCAAAAGGGGGGTGAGGTATGACGTGTTTGATAGATTGAAGTACCATGCTTCATCAAGTAAAAGGATGTGAAATATAGAGAATTTTTGATGCGCTAAGCCTATTTCGACGATAAATTCTCAATTGGACTACATTGTGCAATTAAGAGCCTCTATTCTTGGCTCGCCAACAAAAGCATCCATCCACATACAACGTATACCCTGCAATACTACGTGTGTGTTTTTTTTCGAAATGAACAGGATAATGGTTCTATATTGCAAAATTTGATCCAAATATATATGTATATGTATTCAGGCCACATCCGCCATCTTAAATTTTAGATTTTAGAGAATTTGACTGAAAATTTCGACTTTTAATTTAAAAAAATACCCCTCACCACCAAATTTCACAATCGAACAGGGACCGAGATAGCATTTTGGACCCCGTCCATCTTGCGGATTTTCGGATCTTGAAAATTTGAGTAGGAATTCAAGGTTCTCGTCAAAAACTGCCACCTTCAACCAAGTTCCACGGTAATGATCGAACAGAAGTCGCATATCGTTGGCCATAAGTACTGAACACTGGTAGTTGATACCAGTCAATTTGCGTGCATTGGTACGCCTTCATTTTTACCTGATACTGTGGAATACTCCTGTGGCAGAATAGTTGCTCACAGCGCCTTAGACAGTGTCGCTTCGATTTCATGGCAGAGGACCAGGAACTATGTACAGGTGGAAAAGATGGGGTGTGCTAGTTAGTTGAAGGCGTAAAACGGGGCTTTCCTGTTAAACGGAACTATTTCCGTTTAACGGGAACTACTGTCCAACGGCATCTTCCCTTAGCTCTCAAAATGTGTCATCGAAGAGATTAGGTCCCTAGTTCTAAACCCGACAATCTCCATTTACCTGTCTTAAAATTGTGTAATCATATTAATTTACTGTGAGGAACAATCAAAACGTTCAGATGTTTTTAAAATTTTCCAAACTTTCTCGCTTAAAAACAGAAAACTCACGAGAGACCATAAACATTTAGGTTTTCCCGTTCTTTCACTCTTAAAATTATTATGATCGCCCAATTTTAGACAGGGCAATGGAGATTGCCGCTTTTGGAACTAGACGCCTCAAGGGACAGTCACTCTTCAGTTTCGGAAGTTGTGGTACATAAAGTAAACATTGCCGTCTTGACGAACTCAAGGTTCAAGGTCGAAAGTTAATTTAGGTAATTGAGTGGTTCGGGAATGTGACGGCTATCTTGCGTGTCTCCCACCCTTTAATCAGCGTTCTAAATTACGAAGTGGACCGATACGTATAACGTAGTGATGCCTTTGCAGACTTCACTGCAGCAACCACTCAACTGCAGTATTGAACCGAGCCGAATCGAATCGACTTCAGCGCCCAAAATGAGAATTCGAGAAAAACTGTGAAAACTGTTTTAATCCACCTATTCTAAATCTTGAAGGTCAGAAAAATGTTTGTAAGAGATAATGGACCACTAGACAAGGTACGAATTTCAGCATTCTGATACATGTTTCCTGACCAAAATTTCACATATAACACGACACGCACAACGAAAATTACCGAAATTAACTCCTTACGAAGATATTTAATGATCCTTGATGCGTGAATTCAAATCACCCGCTCATGAAAACTCAATGCTCTACATGATTCACATCGCGCGCTAAACGTTATCATCAACGTCTCAGCGATATATAAATCTGGCAACCTTAGTCCTGACGCTTTGGCTCAGCTATAGCAAATTGCTTATAGTTTGAACAACACACATGGTGGGAATTGAACATTGCTTGATTGAGAAGCTTGCTGAAACCGTTGTAGTGCGCGATTTGACTCACGTAGAGCTTTGAGTTTCTTGTGAGCGGCCAGTTCAAATTCCTCGTAACTGATGTGGAATAAAAACGTTAATATCTTCGTTAAGAGTTGGTTTCAATAACTTTTGTTGCGCGAATCGTATTCCACGTGAAATTTTGGTTCAGAAACATGTATTAGAATGCTAAAATTCGTACCCTGTCTATAGTGGTCCATTACAACTTGAAATCGGATCTTGGCTGTCTCTTACAATTTGGACGGGAAAATAAGAGGAATCGGCGTTTGAGTTTTTTTGCGAATGAACGGACAGCATATTTATTCCCTTATTAAAGAAAAAATGTTTGCACACCGAAGAAATGGTGGAGTTGATTAAATTTAACATTCTGGGTGTAAAAAAAGTGTGAACTTATAAAATGCTGAATTACCCGCCACCGCAGTTAGTTTTACAACTTGGCATTGCTAAAGTAACTGCATAGTATCGCGTAATTTAGCATTTTTAAAGTTTCACTTGCACTTTCTCATATTCACAATGTTAAATCAACTTCACTTTTTTTCGGTGTAATTCAAGCCATACAGTGTACGAAAAGAGCAACATAAATGTTACCGCATCAAAATTTCATACGGTCTGGTTGAGGTTTTTTTTAAATCAACTCATAAGTTGAAAATGAAGTTCGCCATTTTCTATCTAGTCCGTTGATTGAAAAGAAAAAGTAGGGGGAAAAGGAGATCGAGCGAAAGAAAAAAACTACCCGTGCACTAAACTAATTTCTCCGCACAAAGAGCAGTTTTCTCAGTAAAAGCGATAATTTCTTTTGGCGAGTTTGAATTGAACGTATTTATGCTAAAAGGAACTATGTGCATAGGGTTTGTGTGCAAAATAGTTCCTTTTGGCATAAATACGTCCAATTTATCGAGCAGCACGGTAAGAGAGGAAACTTCATTTGATCTAACTCGTAATTTGTGGAGCACATGAGTCCATTATCAATGGACAATTTAACTGCCACGATGCGAGTTTTCCTCGCGAGTAAGAAGTTTGAACAAACCGAATCGTGTGGAAACTGGAGGTCGATTGTTGAATCGTTATCGAATGAGTTTGATGGATAACTCCCTATCTTCACAATGCTATTTATCGATCAAGGTCATTCGATAACGATTCAACAATTGACCCGCTGGAAAAACTATATTCCTTGCTAATAAGCTGATTTAGACCTTTTCGAATACACCAATCATCTTTTTTTATGGTGACTTTGATGTTATCTTTTTCATCAAGCTCAAGGCATATTTCATTTCATCGTTCCTCTCATGAAAGACGTAGCTACATTTCAATGTTGCCAAATTTCCCTTCCTATAATGCATTTTCACGGAGATAATCTTGGGCATTTCTTACTGCAAATTATACTGGTTTTTCCTCTGATCTCGCGCCAAAATCAGAAAAATTTTCAGTAAGAAATGTCCAAGATAATCTTTGTAAAAATGCAAAATGGAAAGGGAGATTCGGCAACATTGAAATGTAGTTACGTTCTTTCATGAGAGGAACGACGAAATTTGCAAAGAGGCACGATGACCTCGCGCAAAAATCAGAAAATTCTGGACGAAAATCGCCCGGGTGCATTTTTGCAAAAATCGAATAGTTTTGAGTCGATGTTACAACCTTGGAATGGAGTTACGTTCCTTCGTGTGGGTGGACACCGAGAAATTACAATGATTGAAGCGCGCAAACAGTGCAGTATTTCTACATTATTGTGGGCGCGAATATGCGGTTCACGCCAACTGACCGACTGCTTTGCATTTGGCGCAATGCAAGAAGTATTCATGCAGTTTTGTAGGCGCTAATATGCGCCTCAGGGCGACCGCACTGTTTGGCGCAATGCGTAACTTATTCTTAGAGTCGTGCAGGCGCTAATATGTGTTTAACGCCGGCCACAAATCTGCACTATTCTAACGTAGCCTGGCCTGACCTAACCTAACCTTACCCAACTTCACCTAACTTGACCTGACCCAACTTCACTGAACCAAACCAAAAATAATTGATCTCAAGATCAAGTCCACCAAATCAGTGCGTTACAATGTGAAGAAAGGTGAAAACTAAAATTCACTGACGTCGTAATTTTTCGTAATTTGTCATTAGTTACTTTGTTTTTCGTTTTTGAAGAGCGTTATTTAAGAAAATTATTATGTTTATGCATCATTTGATCAACTGTTATACAATTTTTGTTTCAGATAAAAATGCTTTCACTTTTGGGTATCCTGTGTCTAATCAAATTAGGTTTCACGCCAACTAACGCTATTCACGTATTCAACCGATTTAGTCCAGAGGTTCTGACAAATTTGGGCTACGGTGGCCACGGCAGTTTCAGAGGACAATCATATATTCAGGTAATTTTGGAATACATTTAAAATTATCCGATCAATAACTCAAAATACAGGTACTCTAACTCAGGAAAAACACTGCACTGCATTACATTGCTCGACTTGATGAGCTATTGATTGCACGATCGATTAATACTTTTCACACCTAACCTTTGCACCGTTAAACCGTGTGATCTAAAGGGTCTAGAGGGGGATTAAGTTGGGGGATGAGGGTGATTAGGTTGTGTGGAGGGATGAATGCGCAGATCAAGAAATCAGGGGAGGGAGGGAAGGTCATCAATTTTCCAACTGTAATTTAAGGGCGCACGCTATTTGGGTCATCCTTTTTCCCAGGTAGAGAAAATCCTTTCGGAAGAAAAAGGTGTGAGAGAAGGAAGAGGAAATTGCGGGGAAAATCAACAGGACCAATTTTCTCTCGTCGAGAAACCGTTTCCACCTCTCATTCTTCTGCCACTGTATTTTTCTACTTATTTTCTTTTGCACGTCGTGGTCGCATCTCGTCGCTCCTCTGACGTAATGGCGTATCTCTATTTTTAAGTAAACCCCGAAAAGCATTGAGTTACATGGAGAACAGGGCTCACGTAGGAATTGAGATACGCCATTGCGTCAGATGGGTGACGATCTGAGATCTGACCCTTTGTCTCCGCGAGATAGTTATATCGTCACTCCGCCGAAACAAAGCAAAGTATGCTCACTTTCAAATGAGCCCTATCGTCCGTATAACTCCATTGTTTCCAGAGCTCATGTAAAAATTGCCGTACGCTTTTGTCAGCTAGGTGGCAATATTTTCAAGTCCGTCTTTCTTGTTTAGTTGAGTTTCATGTTTTCTTTTCTTTTAGAGTTACCGTATATTTATACGTAGGATGACGCTCTTTCCAATTGGAAGCAAGGGAAATATCTAAGTGCTTTACTAGGAAATATTTCAACGTTTACGAGAGAGGTTTTGATAGATGTGACAGTGACACAGCAGAGCCACATGTGTCTTCAGATGGAAACTAAAATTGCTCAGGGGAACGAAAAATTAAGACTGCGGTCAAAAATATTGATTTCCAGTTATTCATCTTCTTAAATTCTCTCCAGAAGATCAACTTGAAATTTTAAGATAAAATGTGCATTTTAAATTATGTTAAAAGTATTTGAAGTGAATGGGTGCCGAGATTTGACAGCCAAACAGCTGTTTTCTCAAATTCCTTGTTTTCCCCTTTAAACTTTGAATTGCTACGAATTCGTCCATTTTTAGAATTTTTTAGATTTCTTCCACCGAATGATGCAAAATTGATTTCCCTGAACTGTAATACAGTTATCTTCTCTCAACAGAAGCACATTTATGATGCGCATATTGCACTGCTGCGTCGCATAGATCACCGTCCGCGGTAAAGATTAGTTTGAAGGCGGTGTAAAACGCCTTCAAAGTATGGCACAGCAACCAAGATTACATCGCAGGCAGAACATAAAATGACATTCCCAACCACTTCCGCTATTGTTGCTGAAATTAAAAATAATAACTGTTACTGCTTTGATGCTCAGTCATAGGATTGTCGAAACTATCGGTCAGAGAAACAGCCCTTCCCCCCCCCCCAAAAAAAAAAGTATAACTGCCATATATTTTTAATGGAAATAGACTTGAATTCCAAAAGTACGTCTCGTAATATAAGAGGACCTGGGACATATATACCGAATTTTAAGAGCGGACTCGTCTAGGGCCTATCACCTAGTCTCAAGAGGCGCAAAAGAGGGCAAGTGGCAAGGAATGAGAGCCTTTCTGGCTAATTTTGACATTACGAATGTTTTTTGGGAAAAATTTGATGCAATTATTACGGGAATTTTCCTTTTAGTTTTGCGTATGTTCGATCAATCACTAGACTAGATAAAAATTTAAAAATTCTGTTTCATGCCTCTTTTTGAAATAGGGAAATGTAAGGGATCAGAGAGCTCATAGTAATGGTGATGTTATTCTTCTTCGTGAGCAGAAGAATCCTACGAAAAGGAATGGGTGCCTCCCCCGAGAATTTTGACATTATGAGTGTTTTTGAGGCAATTTGATGCAATTATTACGGGATTTTCCTTTTGATATTATGTATTTTCAAATAACCACCATAGACAAGGTGCGAATTCAAACATCCTGTTTCATGTTTCTTCTTGGGATAAGAAAATGTAAGGGGGTAGAGAGCTCATAATAATGGCGATGTTATTTTTCTTCGTGTGCAGAATCCAGTATCCTACGAAAAGGAATGGGGGCCTCTCCCGAAAACATTGACATTATGCATGTTTTTTGGGGCAATTTGATGTAATTATTACGGGATTTTCCTTTTAGTTTTGCGCATGTTCGATCAACCACTAGACTTGCGGTTCAAATTCAAACATTCTGTTTCATGTTTCCTCTCAAAACAAGAAAATATAAAGGGATCAGAGGACCCATAGAAATGACGATATGTTTTTTTTTTCGGGTGCAGAATCCAGAAACCTCTGAAAATTTTGACATTACATATGTTTTTTGGGACAATTTGATGCAAGTTCTATGGAACTTCCCTTTTAATTTTGCGTATTTTCAAGTAACCACTAGACTAGGTACAAATTCAAACATTCTGTTTCATGTTTCCTCTCGGAATAAGAAAATGTAAGGGATCAGCGAGCTCATAGTAACGGCGATGTTATTTTTCTTCGTGTGCAGAATCCAGAATCCTACGAGACGGTCGGGCAGGACATCGGCGAGATCGAGCAAGAGGGACCCTGCTACGGGAAGAGATGCACGGCTAACGAGCACTGCTGCCCAGGATCAGTATGCGTCGATGTCGACGGAGGTAAGTTCGTCGTCTTTCTGACGTAAGCGCGTATCTCCAATTCCACATGGGCCCCGAAAAGAGTAGAGTCTTACGGAGAACGAGGCTCGTGTGGAATTCGAGATACGCCTTTACGCCGAAAGAGCGGTAAGATGTCAGATCTTTTTCACATTCCTCGCTCCTTCCCTTAAATCCACTCAAACACCTCTCCCGCTCCCACCGGAAAAGCGTTCGCAGTCAATATTGATTCAACTCCGGTGTACTACCGTGCTGAGGAAAAACGCCGTATAAACACTTGAGAGTTGCCAAATTGCCCCGGATAAAACATGTATTTTAAGAACGATTATGCTTATATTTCTCCTTAAAATTTTCAGACATTTTAGACAAAATTACACACGAAATTGTCTGAAAAAATTGAGAAGAAAAATTCACGATTTTCCGAGTAAATTAAGGTTTTATCGAAGGGAATTTTGCAATGACTGAAGGTTCATACAGCGTTCTTTCTCAGCACGGCGGTGTAGATGTCATTCGCGCTTTCGTGCTCGTTCGGCACAAAAGGATTTCGTTTGCATTCCGAGTCCCCCGGCCCTTTCGGGAGCAGCCTTTGCTCTAGTTCCGTTTCCGTTTCTGAATTCTTTATCCGGGGGTGGTAGTGCGAAAAGGGTGCGATCGGAATGAAAACGGAAGCTTGCCAGAGCACTCATGTTTGTTTAATAAACACCCGAGGAAGCCAAGGCCGTCTATCCGTCGATTTCTGATCTTGTTTGCTCGCTCCTTGGAACCTCCTACTTATTGAAGTTGAGACGCTAGGAAAGCTTTCAAACGCCAAATTTTTTATTCCACCCTTTGAATTTGCTCAATGATCTCCCATTTTCATCCTGTCTTAGGTTACGGGGAGATCGTTGATGCAAAGGAACCCAGACTTATAAAATTTTCTTCTCCGTTTCTCGGCATTCAATCCTTCAATTTCCCTAGCTCCTTTAGCCGGCCTCCTATAGTGCAGTCCTCCCATTTCCCAGAACTAGTACCGAATTGGAACTTTTGAGTTTTCCTGAATTTTTTCCGGAACTTATGAGATTCCCGAGATGTTTCGGATCTTTTCTATTTTCCGGAACTTTCTCGGAACTTTCTGAAAAAATTTAAAAAGAATCCCGGGGCTTCTGACGGTTATTTAGTGAGAGAAATTGGAACAAAAAAGTTCCGAGTCCCGGAACTTTTAACGGACATGAAACGGGAGCACTACTATAGTGGTTATATGGCTGTCTCCATAATCAGAAGGACCCGGGTTCCATTCCTGGCGAGCGACCCAAGTTGGTGGTTTTAAACAACGGTTGCCAATAGTTGATCGTTCAGTAAAAAAAGGAGAATGAATTAGGTCCGAGTTACAGACGGAAAACGGCATCTAGTTCTCTAGAAAATAAATTGAGAGTGAGTTAATTTATTTTTATACCCATGGAGAGCGTGAAATCACATTGGAATCTGAAAGAATCGTGCCCTGAACATGAGAGGTTAGAATTGTATTTATTTTTTTCAAAGCAACATTTATTGATGGACAGTAATAGCTCCGGTTTGGCTTGAAAGCAGTGTACTGTGTATTACAATTTTCAGAGGAAACTGGTATCGATACTTCAATCCTGACAGTCTGAGGTCTCATTTTCTGTGGGGGATCACATTCATCACTATTTTAATCCTATTTGTGTCCTATTTTACTTTTTTACAAGTACTTTTATCCTTCCTAATTTTTATGTAGATTGTGGCGGGTACAGGCTGATGGAAAAGTATACCTCTACTATAGACAGCTAATGGGAGCCCCTGCTAGTTGTTGTTACTCCTACGTTTTTGAAACGCTTTGAAGTAACGTCTCATTGTCATTTCGTAACAACGCCGCACAAAGACAAGAAAATACAGATTGCCTGCGGTTCTTTGTGTATACAACACGGGCCGCTACATAATGAGCACGTTTAGTTGCCTCCGGGTGTTATTATCAAAGTAGGGCGCCTCACTCATATAGTACGCGAAAGCAAGAAAATACAGAATGCCTTCAATTATCCAGGTATGCAACCGGGACAGTCGCTGAACACGAATAGTTGTATTCAGGCGTTATCATGAATTCAAGGCGCCTCGCGTTTGTCGTGCTGGGTCTCAACCGAGGTCACTTTATTCTATCTCTATTTTTGAGAGAGCCGCATGGTGGAATTTAATCCAACATATTTTAAAATGAGAGTCTCGTCTTAGATGATGGCTTGATAGGCCGATACGCGTCGGTAACAAAAATTCAACAATTTAGACTAGTGAGTAAATTTTTAAAAACATATTTTTAAATTATTTGATCCAAAATAGTCGATTAATTGAATCACTCAGTTCGAAAACAATCCATCTCGAAGAAAAAATTCGGGAGATTATGAAAACGGCGTAACAGACAGAAAAGGATAGTATTTTTATGCAAAATAATGAACATCGTATCAAACCAGAGTTGGGTCCTCTTCAAACTGAAAGGTTAAGTTGTTCTTGTAGCGCTTAAATTATTTAAAGTATTTATTACTCTCCATTGAAACCACTTCGATGGCTGTCTAATAATAAGTGTCAAAAATCGGATCAGCAGAAGGTAGATCCATGTGTGAAGAGTATATGATTTTGTTTGTATCCGCGAAAATTCAGGCCGATAACATTTCAGCTATTAATCTCAATGTCAGACATTTTTTTCGGCCGTGCTCTTGGCTCTATTTTTGGGCTGATCAACTTCAAAATGTATTCATATTCTCTTTAGGCATAGATCCGATCCGATCAGATTTTTTTAAAGAAAAGCCCGAGTGAAACTCATTAGTAGTCATATACAGATGTGGTTGCAATATGCAAAACTATGTGTCCCAAATGTACCTCAAAGCTATCACTGATAACAATTTTGGAGTGGAATTCTGTACCGAAGTCAATATAACGCCCAAAACCCCGAGTGATATGAATGCGGAGCGGAATCTATCTTCTTTTTACGAAGAGACTTACACTATCAAGGAGCAAAATCTTCTCTTTTTACGGAGTGTCACACGCTTTAACGGGGCTAATTTTACGTCGCATTTATATCATTCGAGGCTATACAAACGCTGGCACCGAATTTCACTCCTCGATTTTTACAGCGTAAATCCTTTTTTTGTGACCTGAAACGCGCGCACGAATTCAGAGAGAGCAGAAATCCAGCCATCGGGAGAGGCGTTGAAACGTAGAAAAGCGAGCTCGTAAAACTGCTACATCATCATTTCAGCGAGCGCGTCAAAAGTTCGGCTGAATGAATGAGGCAAACATAAAGCACCCGTCACCGTAATTAAACGGATGTTACTTCTGAGACCGCGCTTTCATTTTTACGGCAGCCGTGAGCCGCGCATGAAGGGTTGAGCATCCATTCGCTGCACAGTGGATCGAGTCAATAGTAGATTTCGGACAAAATTTGGAAACTTTAAACACTTATAACTCCGTTTATACAAAATTTTGAGGTTTTTAAAGTGGCTCCATTGGTTTCCTCGTAAAATTTTCTTTCAGAAACACCCCTCAAAATTTAAAATGCGACGAAATAAACATCAAATTTTACAGTTTTACTTTAAAATTTCATGTCCGACCTCTCTAATTGATTCGATCCACTGTGCGCCCCAGCCATGGCTCCGCAACCGCCCAACTGCCAACTGCTTCGCGCACGTTTCGCGGGTTTTTCCCCGTCCACCTGGGGAGCCCGTAAAAACGTTTCAGCGCGCGATTTTAGCAGCAGTCATTATTAAAGTCCGAGGGAATGGCGACTAATTTAAAGTTTGATGACGTTCGCAAAACTCGGTGAAATGTGTATCACCAATTTTGAAGCTTGGTTTTATTTAGGTCATCATTCGTGAAGAATTTAATGCTGGAATTAGAATTAAAACGCGTAGTTACCGAGTTTAATGCGGGATCGATCCTGACATCTAGGAGTCCCTGCGGTTTCAAACTTTCGGAAAGCGTGTGGTTTTATCCCGCGTGATAGATTTTTGTCAAGTGAGCCTTGTTGTTGTTGGAAATTGAAGAACCGGGTGTTGAGAATTTTAGTCGACAAGACTGAAAGACTGTGCAGACTCTAATGGCTCGTAATTCAATGATTTTGAAAACAGTCTGAAAAACCATATCCTTAATCTTGAGTTTAGTAAAACAAGGCGTTGTGGTACATTTCGTTTGAAAATATGCATGTTGATGCAGAATCAAAAAAATACATACGCACGGAGAAAAAAACCTCGTGCGTGAGACCCGAAGTTTAGGTCATATGGATCTTTGAAGTTTTTGGATTGAGCATCTGAACACTTAAGGTCTAGCTGTCGAGGTTCGGATCACACATCTGAAACTTCAGTTCTTACATCTGAAGCGCTTCGGTTTTCACTTCCGAAAAGCTTCGGTTCTCACATTTGAAGCTCTTCAGATGTAAGAACTGAAGTTTCAGATGTCTGGCCTGAACTTAGGCAGCTAGACCTTAAGTGTCCAGATGCTCAATCCGAAAACTTCAAAGATCCATATGACCTAAACTTCGGGTCTCACGCACGAAGTTTTTTTTCCGTGCGTAAATAAGACAAAATACTTCGACGGTATAAGTCCGCAACCACGTGTCTCGGTTTGCGATGTCGCAGACTTCCTGTCATGCTTTATTTTTTAAACGGAAAACTACTAAACGGCAATTCTTGAGAAGTGCCGTAATTTTTTGTCTCTGAGCGAAAAAAATCTGCAAAAACTTCGATGAAAGTCAATTGACAATGATGTCATTTTGTCAATTTGTTCTCCTTTAAAAAAATAATATAGAGGTGGAGATTTTCAAACACCGCAACCGGATGCGGACTTAGGCCGCCGACTTCTCAAGTGAACGTGTAAACGTACAAAAATTTACCTCAAGTCATCATGACACCACTTGACTGATGACAAAAATTATGGGGTTTAATGTTGATATCGTTGATCTTTCTCGTTAAATTAATATTTAACTTTCATTAGGGAAAGATACAGTCATACACTGTCACAATCACAGGCATCTTGTTTAACTTTACGCAAACATTCTCCTCCTCAATGGACACGCGAACAATTTGGTTAAAAAATAAATACGCACGGCTCTCATCTGTGAACAAATGAAGACAATTGAACAAGGAATTCTACAGTTGATATGTAACAGTGAATGAAAAATATTATGCTTAATCTATTCTATATGTCCATTTTTTTTTAAAAAAAAATGTTATTTTCAAATTTCTCTGCATCTAAAAATTTGTTTCCATATGGTTCCATTGCTGCCTGGACTGTCTATGTATCGTATAAAATTATCTTTTCCTTTGTTAACTTTGCTGTTAAGGGGAGTTTTCTCCTCCGCCCTAATCTTCTGTCACGTTTTAATGAGTAAAGCTGTTACTTCTCCGGCGGTCAGTTTAATTTGTCACCCCCTCGAAATCGGAGTGGAGACAAAAAGCTCGTTTTCGAGAAGTCATTAGGGATGGACCATTTGGGATTCCGGGAAAACTCGACAAACTGCGCTACTCAGCGTTCAGGTCAAGTTTAAGTCGCATGAGGACGAAAGACACAAAAAGCTTTTATGTCATCCTCTTCTCTCATCAAACAAGCCCACTCAATTTTCTTGACGGTATATTTCATCCTCATTTGAGAAAACCTTGGATTTTCCGACGAAGGAAGAATGATACAGTATTCAAATCACCGCTTGTCATTTCAAAATAATTCAATCGATATGATTAGCTTAAGCAATGAAAAAAGATATCACTATAAAGATCACATATCTTTTCGAAAACCTTGAAGCGAGTTGATTGAATGTGCAATAATATACTGTTGTATCCCAATCTTCTTTCTTTCTTCCCGATGACTTTCCATGCGACGATGGCCATTTTTGAACATTAACTGTTCTATCCTCAGGTCCTAAGAAAATTTTTATTGCAATAGTACAGCCAAGGAATTAAGTTTGTTAATATTTTTTATTTAAAAACTTACAATATGAGAGCTTTTCGGGACATCGTGCCCCATCTTCAGAAATTATTACTAACAAAGATGGATTACTATAACTAGATAAATCAATAACATGTGCGAACATACAAGCAGATACAGTTGCATTTCTCAAAATAATGTACCGGATAATGTACGGGAAACATACAGGATTGCAAAATCTTTACAGTCCTGTGTTCCTAGGATTGCAAACTCGCGGTGTGTACTGTTAGGGAATCGTGTACATCGAGGTAGGTCCGACAGCAGACACCAAGAAAATACGACTTTTCAACGATTTGAGTGCGCACCGTGCTATACGCGTAATGCATGAAGTATTCTGCAGGCTTGTAAGGCGCTATGCTATGCGCGGCGCGCGCTGTGCTGTACGCGCAAGGCATGAAGTATCCTTCGGTCTTGTAAGGCGCTACCATGCGTTTACGTCAGCCGCGCGCCAGCCGCACTGTATGGGGTGCAATTATTCACACTTGCGGCGTCAGCTGTTTTCAACTTATGATTTTGAAGCTACAGTTCGTTGGAATTCTTGTCAGTCCAAATGATAAAATATTCCATAAAACTCAACTAATTTTCTTCTCTTCATTTAAATATTTGTATAAATAATTTTAAATAAAAGCAAGCAAGTGAAACGTCATATACATGAAAGCTCCCTCGTTGCTCAGTAATGCAATGGCGTGATCATTTGGACTACATTTTACTTTTCGGAACTACATTTTCTGGCTCATCTGTAAAAACTCTTCAGTGCACAGTGAAACTAATGGTGCATACGTTGTTCTTAAAAGACGCCAGAAATCGTGGTTCCTAATTGCAAAATGAAGTTCATTTGATTGAAAAGTAAAAACGTGAATCTATCTAAAAACCCGTGTTTTTTCTCTTCTACTTCTTCTTCAGCTTCCTAGTCTTCCTTTCCATTTCTCACTTTGATTTTTTGACTTTGACTTTTTTTATTATTATTATTATTCTCTTTTTTCTCATTCTTTATATACGATTAATGTTTATTATAATTGCGCCTTACTCAAGTTTTAATATATGTCAACGTACTTTTGTTATTACTTTTTTTTGTTTTGTATTATTTCAGTTGACTTTAATTTTATGTCTGATCCGGCAGAATCATTGGGTATCCCAATCTTCCGGGCAGATTAATGTTGTTTTTTACTTTATGTTTTGCATTTTGAATAAATATCTTATCTTATCTTATCTTATTTTTCCTATGGAGATAAGTGCTTTTATGAAGAAACCAAAAATAGTTGTTCCTTATTGCAAAATGTAATCCAGTTGAAATTGATTGAATTATATTTGATGATTTCAGTTGTGGGATCCTGCTTATTCGCCTACGGACTACGGCAAGGTGAGCTCTGCAGGAGAGACAACGATTGCGAGACCGGGCTCCTGTGTACGGACACCGGAGAGGGAAGGTCGTGTCAACCTCCGGCCTCCTCTGGCAAACAGTACAGTAAGTAATCATTCATCAGTAAGACCCAATCCAATTTGCTGCCGTCCTAGGCAAAACTGCTGTATGAGCATTCGAATGCTGCCGAATTTCCTCAATAAAAAAACTGTTTTCGAGAAAAAAGTTTAAAAAATTTTCATATTTTTTCGATTAAACAAGGAGGTAAAATAGTTCTGGATCCCCTTTGCTTTGCGGGGAAAGCAAGACCACAAAAATCCAAAAATGTCAATTAGAGTAAAAAAATTGAGCTCTCACGAGGATCTATACAAGACAGAGAGGGAGAGTGTTCGACTCAGGTAGATGCATTGCGATACTTTGTGAGCTGGGGTCACGTCACGCCGATGGATCTATAAAGTTTTGGGCCTTCTTAGACCTCATCAGTAGATCACACTTGTCAGTGAACAATGCATTGACGTTTCTAATGCATTATTTCAATGCCTAATTTTTCATCTGCCTAAGCTGAACACTCTCCCTCCTCAATCTTGTACTGTTACTGATTAGAGCTCAAATTTTTTACTCTAATTGGAATTCCTAGGAATTTTTCGGCCTTGCTTTCCCCGCTAAATAGTATGGACCCAACATTATTTTACCACCTTGTTACGTACAGATCACGTCATATTTTTAATGTTTTCTTCTTGCTTCCGATTAAATTAAGAACAAACTTGTCTGAGAAATTGGAAGGAAGTCTCCCAATAAATTTTGTGTTTTAAGAGAGGAGATTTGGCAATGACTGAAAGTTCTTACCGCATTTTTTTTTTTTTAGCACAAACGAATTAGAGTTCAACAGAAACGAACTGTGTTGCATCAAAATTACCGAGAAAAAGATGTTCAATTTCCTCCATGAGACTTAATGTTAAGGATCCAGTGTAAGAAAAGGAAATAAACAACGCTGAAATAAGGATAGTAGCCCTCGGGTTTCTACAACTAATTCTTCACTTTCCTGACAAAAGAGCGTGACTACGTTCCGCGATGAACCCTGTTGTCCATTTAACTCAATGTTCTCTCGGGCTCATCGAATTGCAGTTACACCCTTCTGTCAGCCAAGCGACTAATTATTGCGTCGCAGGTCTCCCTCGTAACTTTCATATCGTAAGAAAAACACGTGACGAAAAAAGTGGAGGAGAAAATAACTCGAGAGAGGATTTTGTAGAGAGTGTATCACATACAGTCTGACTAATTAAAAAACTTTTGAGCCCGAAGAATTTACTGTCAAATTAAACGAAAGTTGACGACGTGGACTTTGCTTACACGGCAAGGGAAGGGGGAGGGGGCGGAGGGGAGAATCAACAGAATTATTTACTGCCCCGAGCACTTTTCAAACTTAGCCATGAATATTTTGTCAGGCTCTTTTTCATTTCTTTACTTTTGATGGTGAACCAGGCTTTCGTTCACTGTGAACGCAGTGAAAATTGAGTCTTGCTTATCCCGTGGGTTTTGGAAAGACAGTCAAGGTCTGCCCTGCCGTATGAGCTTTCAGATGTTGCCAAGTTCCCTTGGCAAATCACTATTTTTCAGGAAAATTTTTCAATATTTGTCTGCCAATTTCTCAGATAATTTTGGTTGTAATTTGATCTAAAGTGTCTGAAAACAAGGGAAAATATTCATTAATTTCCTCAAAAATAAACATTTTATCGAAGGAAATTTGGCAACTCTCGAATGTTCATACGGCGTTCTTCCTTTCCGCGGCAGTGCCTGCATGTTTTCAAGTATTAAAAGTTGACGAATAACCTTATACTTTCTTCTCCATGTAGGTTCATTCAAAGCTGCGTATTTAAATTTCTCACCGACTATAATTAACTAACTAACCTTTATTATATTTTGAAAAAAAAAGCAAAAATGAAGTATCACAAGTTTAATTACTTTGAACATTTTGCATGAATGCTTTCTTGCATTTCAAATTCATAAAGTATGAACATGCGTGTTTTTTTCATGATTCCAGATGAATTCTGTTCTTTGAGCAGTGAGTGTGATATTCACAAGGGTCTATGCTGTCAGTTCCAACGAAGACATAGGCAAGCGCCGAGAAAGGTAACAAATTACTATTCTTTTCAAAAGATATTTAAAGTACACGAAGGAGAAATACTGTTAACGAGTAATTGCTAAGACTCACGTCTGAATGTGAACAAATTCTTCAGAATATAATATCTTCTACCAAGTTTAATTAATTTTATGAGTAAACCATCGACAATATAATTAAAAGAGCACTAGTGACGTTACAGGCTCATTTATTTTTTACGGAAATTACATTTCTTAGGACCAAATCTTGAATGCACAAAACATGGCAACACCTTATACGAGAAAAAAAATTTTAAAGTACAAAAAAATTTACTTTAATGAGGATTTCTGTAGTTTTTCAAACCAAAAAGCACGCATACCGTATTATCTTTACAAATCAAATCAGCAATCTTCACTTTGGGCACACACAAAAAAGCCCCTTCATTTAAATAAAATACCACAAATCATACAGTACACCATACGGATCGAGGTCCCCACTTTAATGAGAAAAGATATCAATGGCTGAAATTCAATGACGTTTTTCCACATTGCAAGATGTCTATCCTTATTCCTCTTCCTAAAAAGCTTATCTTTACAGTATTAAAATCGTATTAAAGTACATCTCTACTTTGTACTCAGTATATTTTCAATTAAATATCTACCATAATAGAGGATAGCAGTCCTAAAAAAAGATCAAAATGGAATGACGAGAGATATTTTAAAATATCACCACGCTGGATTTTTTAATGTTACCTATCGAGAGAGCAATAATTAAACTGAGTAACTTACTGATTGTGGAGCGAGAAATGTACTTATACAGTAAAGTCCGTGCTCTTAAATCACATTTTCTGCAATTCTGCAGACACCTGTCAAAGAGATAAGCCTTGCAATCAATATTCTTACGGGCTCATAGGGGCTAACAGGTGAAAATATGGCATGGCATGGGTAGTTGCTGTTACTTATCCTCCGTGACCCTGTATTGATTTTTATTCTTATTTACACATCAATGAAGAAAAGTAGAAAGACGCATATCTCAACTCTCAACGTTGAAAATGTCCTCTAATTTTGTGCCGGTGATGGTACAGATATGTCGAAAGCAAATAGTGAAATCAGACATTTTATCAAATGCTTAGGTAAATAGTCAAGTGTTCTTAGATTGAAATTTTGATTTTTTACCCTAATTTTAGACAAAATAATTCGTTGCTCCTGTAAGAAAGAATTATCTGTAAAAATATGCAGCATACAATAGTATTTTAACGATTTTAAAATCCTGAATCCACGTTTGGACGTATTTCTGCCAAACGGAACTATGTGCATTAAGACATGAGCTCTGAGACCCATAAGAATATATGTATAACAGGGTTCACATCATCATGCACATAGTTCCGTTTGGCAGAAGTAAATCCATTTACGTTTGGCAGAAGTAAGACCATTTATCATGAAATTTTCAGCACATCATAAGACATAGAATTTTTAAAATTTTAACATTTAAATATACTGCAGGCATGTAAAAAGGAAGGAACAAGGAGAGTTCACGGATTTGAAGAGTTTTTTCCCAAAATATTGAAAACCCGTGAACTCCTCACCATAAATTTACAGAATTCCGTAAACTGTCAAAATTTGACTACCGGCCTAGGCATTTAATTAAATGCCTGATTTGACTAATTGCCTTCGACATATATATAAATTGATATTTCCGTTCTTGTGGCGAGTTAGCAGCTAGAGATAAAACGGGCATAATTTCGTCAGAGGCTTACACTCTTCACAAGTCTTGAAATTTGGGCCTTAACACCTTTTGGGACGAGAAGATAAGAGTCCACCCACACAGCCATTACGTGACCAGTAAGAAAATTAGTTGAGAGTGAGAACCGAACAAAGAGGAAAAAATATTTTTTATCTTAAAATGTTCGTCATGGAACTTCAGCTTTGAGGATCTTTCCGCAGCTCCATCACTTTCATCTCAGAACCCGGATGAAGACGAAAAAGCTGGGGAAAACTGCCTTTGGAAAGGTTATTATAAAAGTGGAAACGGAGTGGTCCATTTCCTGCTTCTTTCATGACGCTTTTGGGTCGTTTCTATGCCCCGCGGCCATTTCGAAGGGATTAGCGAGTAATCGCATTCAGTCCCTATATATAAGAGGAGTATCAGATTTATACTACTACTGTTCTCTTCAAACGTCAGCTTTCGCAATCGAACAAATTTTCCCGAATTGATTATTTTCTCACATAAAGCCATTACAGATCTAACCTAATCACGTTAGGTACAACCAATTTAAAGCCTTGGTGAAGGAAGGGCATTGGCAACATTACCAAAAATAGAATATAAAGATAAATAACTTAAAGTTCTTACAATTACTTAGCTCTATAGCTCAATCTTTATATTTTTATCTGCCGCACAACGGATCGAGTCAATTAGAGAGATCGGACATAAAATGTTTGACTAAAACTGCTAATTTTGATGTTTAAGCAGGTCAATTCTTCAAACTCCGACTTCCAGATTTTGCTGGAATATTGACGCCATAATGAGTCGTATTTTGTTCGAAATAACAAATTGTTTCTGTATTTTTTCTTGTTGTTTTTGCGTGATTCTGAACAACCAATGAGAAGGCGAATTTCAATTTCAGGTTAGAAAACAGCGTTGTCTTAGGCAACAACATAAAGACGACTTGCCTCTGAGTAGGTTGCAGTTGTTGTACAACAATGTTGCTGCAGGGGCTCCCAAATTTTTCGCGCAAAAATAAGCCCCGCCCCCACAACACAAAACAACTTCGAACAAAATGCAATTGTTACTTACTTTCCCAACATGTTGCGGGTGTTGCCTCCGAACAAAATACGACTTTGTACCGACCTACGTCCAGGGGTGAATAGAGTACCTATATTGAGAGAGTATGGCCACTGGGGTTACCACCTCTGATTGGCTCAGCCATCTTAGGCTGAATTGAGCCCTAAGGACCCAAAAATGGCGGACGCCATAAATTAATGTAATGCAAAATGACTCAAAATGTAGTTTTCTTTGCTTATCGTAACGAGAAATTTACTCAAATGCACTATTGCGACATCTTTACATATTTTTAAGACTAATCGTGTGCAATGTTTGAGAAAAATTATCTTAGATGTAGTAAGGTTGGCAGCAAGTGCGGTTGGTGATAACCGTCAAAAGTTGGCAATGACCCCCCTCTAGGGTGTCCCTTATTTTTGAAATTTGAGAAAAGTTAAGCTCCCCAGGTCTCAAAACGTGCTATGAGGTGTACAAATAAGGAATGTTTTTTGGAAAAAATTTTAAAAAAATTTTTAGGACTCTCTCAAGCGCCCTAAAGGGCGTCAGTCGAAAACGTTCATTTCTGGTAGAGTGGATAGTCAATCCTAGGTGAAATTGACGAATTAACGTCTATATGGCAAAAATTTGGTCCGTTTGGTCGTATCTTTGATCGTTCAGCCGGAAAACCAACTTAAATGGGCGGGAAGTCGAGCCGCGGCCGCGCGCCGCGCGCGGCTGACCGAGACAAGCTTTGCATCGCGCGCCCGCCGGCCGCGCGCGGCGACGCGCGTGGGTTGTGAGTGAGGAACATGTACTCATACACAGCTAAACGTAGTGCAGGAAGCAACGATGGGGAGGCTGCAAAAAAAGACGAAAAAAAGAAACGGGGCGTTTTGTAATATTAACTTCTCATGCTCAACTGGAAACCAAGAAAAATAAAAATATAAATAAATGAATTAATAAATAAATAAATGAAAATAAAAGGCTAAACACGAGTTGTTGATTCGCTGTTATTGCGAGACGGAGACTCAATGTTGTTCTTCAGAGGGAGGACAATTAAAATTCTGATAAGGCTCTTTAAAATTAATATAAATTGTTCAATGTTTAAAAACGTCTTCGGCATGAAATCAGTTAAGCGTACCATCGTCCAACTTGCGTAGTAACATATTTTTGGCAACAATAGCAATATTAGGTAGTTTAACAAAAGTCAAAGCCTATCAAAATTTTTCGATGTCATTAGCTAGAATTTTTTTGGATATTTTATGAACATTGTTTGTGAAGTGAGACGATACTTGTAGTAAATCTTGAAATTTTGCTCACCTTCAACTTTCTTATTAAATTTTTGCATCAATTTGACGGCCCTTTCAGTATGGTCCTTCACAACTTCATTTAATAAGGCTCGGTGGATGAATAAGGCGATTCACGCTCTGAAGATCTTGATGTTAGAAATTAGTTCCCCCTTTTAGGAGAGAAACAAAAAGGAATTCTTCACGTTAATATTTTTTATTGTTAAGGTGTATATAAAATGTCCGTTTCGTTCTCCCCATTCTGCTGGCGCTCCCAAAAATGACCTTCAGCTCATTGAAGACTTAGTAGAATTTAAAAATTTGATCCTTTAGCAGGTAGCGAGCTCTACAGAAATTTTCAAACCACTAATGGTACTTGAGTGAAGTGCTCGTCCCTCTGTCTCTTTTCGATAAGAGAATTTCGTCGAAGAAGAAGATGCTGTGTGTTTATAATTTAAAACATAATTCAGGCCTCCCTGCCCCACTCAGACGTCGAGATGCTCTGCCTGAGGAATTCACCAGACTGACTGATTTATTTACAAAAAATAGCATGGCTTTTTGTTGACATTCTTGGTATTTCATCGGCATTTTTAGATATAGACCCAGTATATGTCCAGAAAGCCCGGAATACATACATATGTACCAAATTGTTTTAGCCCTTGAAGTAGTGAAGGACCATACTGAAAGGGCCGTCAAATTGATGCAAAAATTTAATAAGAAAGTTGAAGGTGAGCAAAATTTCAAGATTTACTACAAGTATCGTCTCACTTCACAAACAATGTTCATAAAATATCCAAAAAAATTCTAGCTAATGACATCGAAAAATTTTGATAGGCTTTGACTTTTGTTAAACTACCTAATATTGCTATTGTTGCCAAAAATATGTTACTACGCAAGTTGGACGATGGTACGCTTAACTGATTTCATGCCGAAGACGTTTTTAAACATTGAACAATTTATATTAATTTTAAAGAGCCTTATCAGAATTTTAATTGTCCTCCCTCTGAAGAACAACATTGAGTCTCCGTCTCGCAATAACAGCGAATCAACAACTCGTGTTTAGCCTTTTATTTTCATTTATTTATTTATTAATTCATTTATTTATATTTTTATTTTTCTTTGTTTCCAGTTGAGCATGAGAAGTTAATATTACGAAACGCCCCGTTTCTTCTTTTCGTCTTTTTTTGCAGCCTCCCCATCGTTGCTTCCTGCACTACGTTTAGCTGTGTATGAGTACATGTTCCTCACTCACAACCCACGCGCGTCGCCGCGCGCGGCCGGCGGGCGCGCGATGCAAAGCTTGTCTCGGTCAGCCGCGCGCGGCGCGCGGCCGCGGCTCGACTTCCCGCCCATTTAAGTTGGTTTTCCGGCTGAACGATCAAAGATACGACCAAACGGACCAAATTTTGGCATATAGACGTTAATTCGTCAATTTCACCTAGGATTGACTATCCACTCTACCAGAAATGAACGTTTTCGACTGACGCCCTTTAGGGCGCTTGAGAGAGTCCTAAAAATGTTTTTAAAATTTTTTCCAAAAAACATTCCTTATTTGTACACCTCATAGCACGTTTTGAGACCTGGGGAGCTTAACTTTTCTCAAATTTCAAAAATAAGGGACACCCTACCCCCCTCCCATCCACAAAAACCAAAACAAATCACCGCCATTTTTGGGTCCTAAGCCTCTCCATGGGGCCCAGTGGCCATTCTAGGGGTGAACAATCCTCAAGATGCAAAAACCCTCTTTTTTTCTCTATGACTGAGATCATTCGCAATGAAACTTCACATTAATTTTTTCTTTTTTTTCCCAGGTCTGCTCGTACTTCAAGGATCCGTTAATCTGCATCGGTCCTGTTGCCTCCGACCACATCAAATTCGCCGACATCGAGCACACATCTGGTGAGAAGCGACTCACCGCTAAGACGACCGACAGCTTCGCTCATTTGACTCGCTGAATCCGCAACCCGCAACACACATCTTCACCCAAAATGTCATCACCTCCCACTGACATCCTACTCTTCCTTCCTTGATGTATGCCACAACTTCAACCTGATGGCGCCCACTCCATCCATCAAAATAATCCATCCTTCTGTGTCAACTCAACGCCTCATCCTTCGATATAAGATTTTCAGATTCATCTCGTCTATTTTGTTTAAATATTAGACACCCTAACCGATGACGAAAACCTTGAGAGCACACCTGCTGTTCGCCGTTAATTGAATTCTCTTTGCCGTAATACATTTCAAGCCATTATCAACTGAGTTAAATCATTATAAACTTGCCTCTCAGTGCTGATGGATGCTTTGTTTACTTACCCCTCATATCATATCATTATTTTATAAGTAAGTGAATGGATTCAGATGGCAAGATAATCATAGATGTAAACGAGTGTGCACAGAGAGAAAGTATACCGAGAAAATTCATTGATGCACTAAGAATATTTTGAAGGTGTGAAATAAGTTGTCTTCCTGTTCCTAATTCCCCGTCAATTGAAATTAAAATTGTTCAAATTGATGATATAGTAGAGACGTCGTAATTTAAATCACTCCGTACCCTATCAATCCGAACAAGTATTGGAAAGCAATCGTTATTCAAAAGTGGTTTACAAACCAAAAAATCCCCATAACACAAAAAGTTCTACTCCTTAAAACTTTTCAAAATCAAGTTACCTTTACATACCTAAACAAAATTAAAATCAAAATGAACTAGGAGCTGAATTGGTTCGACACTGAGGCTCTGTTCCTTAGTTCCTGATCGATGTGACCGCATACTTGTTACGACGAATTTCAGCGTGTTTGAAAAACTTATCTAAATTTTAAAATTATCTTTTGATTTTTTTGAACCCGCAGAAATTCAATGGTTCGATGTATTGGATTTTCCATACGCATTTTAAGACTTAAAAAAAAAAAAAAAAAAAAAAAAAAAAAAAAAAAACCGTATCAAACATGCTTATTTTCCACCATTTAAATCATGTTTACATTATGAAATGGTGAAAGATGCTGGTATGACTTCCAACTTAACAATTTGGAAAACTTTAAAATTAAATCATCATGTTGAGTTTAAATTTAGATACTATGTGATTGAATTCAAATTGAAACATGATTGTGCAATTTGTCACATACTGTGGCTAATCTCTTAATCCTCTTTTCCTCGTTTTTCGATAGCAAGAAACAGTCTTTTTAAAAAAAAATTATGCGCCCATGTCTATTCATAGTAGTGTAGGTACAAATTAAGGCACATTTCAAGCCAGTGTGCAGATAAATGGCTACATGTACTTCTCAAGATCTGAGGATAGTTCATAAGATATTTGAGGAAGAAACACCAATGGGGTCCATTTCGTTTCAATCTGAAGATAATCTCGTGGTGAGGGAGGTATGTGCCTCTGTAGTTTATATTTTGTTGAGATCTAGAGAGGAACTACCTGAAAGAAATGCGTTTAATTGTTAAGTTTGCACAACTTGCACTGGTTCCTGACAAGGAAGATAAAAAATGAAAAAAAAATATTGACAATGCATTGAACAAAATCTAAGATATTTATGTTAATGTTAATGCACTAATTGCATGAAAAAAAAATGAAAAAGCTAACCTCTAAAAAATGGGAAATCTGCTTGTCTTTTCCAAAAATATCCTGCGGGAAATCAAAACTTTCACGATAAAGCACAAAGCTGAGTAAAAAGCACAACTTGAAGACGCATCTGAGTGCTCATACTCTTTGTTGATAGAGTTTATTGGCGGATATATTTGAAATTTCATGAATGCTACATGATAGCATTTACGTCACCTGTTTTCTTTTTTATCGAAATATCTTAATTGACATATCCATGGTTTAGAAAATATAGGTAGATTTATGTATATTTCTAAATGTTATTCTTTACTTTTAGTCATTTAGAACTCTATATATTTTACTACTGATTAAAATAAACTTGATAAGTACCTATTAAAACAGATTTTGTTTCCTCATTTATAATCGTTCTTCGAAGAAACAACTATCATGAAGTCCGTGGATGTGGTTTTTTTATAATTGTTTCGAGTTGAAACCCGATCAATTTCATCGCCTCATAATCTTCCAAATCAAGAAGAGGAAATAAAAACATATGATAAAAAATCAATAAATAAATACACAAACATATAAAATAAATCAATTCTTACATCTACCTCATAAAACTGATTATAATTCTCTCCTAAAAATATTTCAATTAATTTTCTTCCTCCTTCTACGTCAGGTAAACAATTGAAAATTCTGATCAATGCCACTAAAAAATATTTCTTGTTCCGTGAACAAGGATCTAGAATTGAATTCCACACGATGCAGGCAACCTACTCGACCCCACCCGCACGTGCCGTGCGTATCCACGGTGAAACTCCTAAACCACGTACGTCGTTTGCAGGATTACGGATATCCGCTCTTATTTTATTTTATTAAAGAGAACAAATCAATTTTATTCCCTAAAGTTTTCATCTAGTTTTCGTCGCGTGGAGAAGGAAAATCTTGGAATTCCACAAGAATTGACGTTAAGTAGTATCCCGATTGAAAAATAAAATATGACAGAAAATCTGCAACGTCGCAAACCGAGATACGTGGTCTGGTCTCTGGTGGTTTCACCGTCGGTATAGCATTAAATCCGCAGGCCTAGTTAACAGCATAATTTTTTAATTTGAAGGTGAAGAAAAGAGACTGTAAAAGGGATGGAAGAAAAAATGAGGAAGGAGATGAAGATACGAGAAAGAGAAAGAAGATAAGAGAAAGATAAAATTAGAAAATAAAATAGGTACGATGGTGAAACTCCAAAACCATGTACCTCGTTCGCTAGTCTAAAAAGCTCCACTTCCGCTTTGCTTTTTTAAAGGAGAACAAATCAACGTCATTTCATAAAGTTTTTGAGATTTGCTTCCTGCAGAGAGGAAAAACCAAGGTAGTTTTTAAGAATCGACGTTGATGTAGTTCTCCGTTTGAAAAATAAAGCATGACAGGAAGTGTGCAGCGTCACAAACTGAGACACGTGGTTTGAGAATTTTACCATCGACTAGCTTTTCACCAATGAGAACTAAATTATATGAACGTCGTATCAGTTCACCTTCAATTTTTAGTTTAGGCCATGCGAGCTCCTGCGAGATCGTATATTGGTATCAAAATGAAATGCTACGCTCACTTTAGACACACACTAATAAGAGCTTTTTACGAAACGGGTGATGCGAGATAGTAACAGATCGACAAGAATCGATTGAAACGGGTTAACTTGAACCTCTTCTCTGTGTTATTCATTAACTGTAAGGGAGAATAATTTTTCTAGCAGTATTTTCTTAAACACTCTTATGCTCGTAGTAACAGTGTAATCGGGAGTTTCATTAAAGCTGTAAACCTCCTTAGGATTCCTATAATTTTAACCTTCAATTCTCTCTCCTTATGTTTAGAAGAATTTAAGAGCATAAATTCATTGCCTAAAATATTTTTCGCTGTACCTGTGCTGCAGTTGGCAGTTGCTGATCTGATACTGTCTTTTAAAAATTATCGTAGAGGACTGATGAGCCGATAATTTTTTTGAACGACAATTTTTTAAACTCCAGAGCGACCCTGCAAGTCAGTCACTAAAACCAATAAAGATCCTCTATCGGATTATTATTGATTTAGTGTGATCTGCGTACTATTGACTGACCTTTTGATAAGGTTCACGCATGATAAAATCTATGTAAACGTCCTTTCGAACAGAAGAAAAATTCATAGTGACATAGATTCGTATGCCTGTTATTTTTGTATTTGCACACCTCTTGACTTTCTTTTTACCTCGTTCCAAAACGCGCAGATTTTTGGGGATGGGTCGGCAAAATAAATACTCTAAGTTTTTATTTAACTCTGTGATCATGGGATGAAAACCTAGACCTACTTTTTTACTATTTGAGCAGCTGAGTTATTTGAATACGAGCGTTGAGCCGATAGTGTATAAAAAGCCTAATAGAAATAAACTGACATGAGTCGATCAGTGGCGTGGTGCGAATGATCGATTATCGATATTTCCCCATTTGAGTCCGTGGTGAAGAATCGATTATGAAGGTGTTCGCTGCGAGCAACCTATTAATCGATCCTTTTCCATTGGTTCAAATGACAGATCAATCGATACATCGCAAAGCACGCCACACCACTGGAGTCGATGAGAGTACGCTCGGTTTTGAGAGTAAATATTCATGAGCGAAATCCCCTGACATTTTTTTAAAACATCTGATGCGCGTCTGGCTGGTTAAAATTGTGTCTCCATGTGTGTGATAGATGGATTTAAACTAAGAAAACAATTATCCGGCGAATAGTGTTTGATTAGATCGTTGTCACGTGTGAGGACAACGACATTTTCAAAACGAGAAGAGGAGAGTAAAAAATACATTAATGGCATACGTTTACCGAAAAAATAATTAACACTCATATTATACAGGGTGATGAAAAATTCCCGATTCTCGCACGAGAGAAGAATTTTGAGAAAACTTGATCGTGGAAAAGTGGAGAAATCCGAGGGTTATTCCCTCTGAAAATGAAAATTAAACTGTGACTATGATGTAAATTTTTAGTCGGTGATACGGGCTTGCGTTTTTATTTAATGGAAAAAAAAACGTTTTTGCGGAATATTGAGAGGGTAGTAGCCTCGTCGTTCACGTTTCTGCGTTAAGATCTCCCGGAAAAAATTGCACATGCTGTGCTAAAATGATTGGAATATGAGCTCATCAAAACAGGTTGATCAATTGGGGGTGGGGGGAGCTGTTTTTTTATTTTTCTTTTAATAAAATATCAGGTAAAAAAATAGGTATCTATGCAATTTTATCCCAAAACCAACAAATTACATCCTTACCTGAGTAAATGAAGAAAGAAGTTCTGCGATGTTACTAACTTACTACTACAAAATTTTGACACACCCTATATTTTGTCAACAAGCGTGTGCGTTATCCATGTCGCTCTTTTTTTGGAAGAAACTGCGCGCTTTAAATTTTAAAAATATTCCAATACCTTCACCTACTTTACTTTAACATTCCAACATTATTGACTTTCCCAAAATTTGATCGATTCATCATCAAAATCAATAACCTGGCGATGATATAAATTCGAGCGTACATGTATTATAGTTCATTAGTAATATAGAATCATACCTTGTGCTCCTCGCCTCAAAGTCGACTACTTTGCGCTCAAGATGTACCTCAAATCGTGTATTTTTGTGGCCTCATCACTCATGCTCTTGCACGTCGTATCGGTAAGTATACCCTGGTAGAAATATTTTACCGGTGAGATATAATCAAGGAATCTTGTAACACATTTTGAGATTATCTTTTGCGTTTTTGAGTGGCGGTGAAGCCGTCTTAAAAACTCCAGTCAATAATTTTATTTCAGAAACTTACCGATGGCCAATTTGCGAAAGCACCTTCCTCCACTTGTGACGCTGCAGACTCCCTATTATGCTTCACTTTCTCTTTGGAAAGCTACTGGACGTAATTTTTTTTAAACTTCCTTGATTTCTCGACTCTTTTGGCAGAATATTCCGTGTTTGCAAGTCATAAAAGTTGCTTTTAAAATTCGAAAAAATAAAATCAGAAGAGACATTTTGAAACGCCGCGATGGAGGTATGTGGTTTCGCACCTTGACTATCGGTATTCTTTTAAGTTACCTATAAGAATGCGATTCGTAGAAACCAAGAGGAAAAAATTGAGAAAATGAGAGGAAAAAGTAACGTAAATTATATACTTGTACAAGATGCTCCTCTCATTTTCCATTACTGTTTGTTAAGATAAATCGTATTTCAAAAGTGTAACATTCATTGGACCACTTGACACGGTGCGAACTTAATGATTATAATATAGGTTTCCTCATCAAGCAACTTAATCACGATAATGAACTATTTTGATGCAAAAATTAAAACTTCCCGCTCATAAGATAACAATAAACTCCTCAAGTCAAATCGTAAACGCTGTACATTACCGTATAACAACTTCTGCGGCGTAAAAATGTGTCAACATCAATTCCGGCGCTTTGGCTCAGCTGTTGCATGGTGTTTACACTTCTAAAAACTCATGAAGGGGAGGAAGGAGGACACTGCTTAATTCAGAGACCTGCCAAAATCGTTTTACGCGCGATTTGACTTACGTACACTCTGGTTTTTCTTGTGAGCAAGGGATTTAAGTTTTTCGTACCCAGAGCTCAACGAACTTTATTATCTTGGTTGAAAGTTGATTTCAATACTTATTGTTGTGCAAGTCGTGCTATACGTGATATTTTAAGGAGTTAACATTTAGAGAATGCTTTAATTGTTCCTTCATTGGTAGTTCATTAGATACAAATCTGGAGAATACATCTATGACCATTGTGCATTGTACATATCCACGTATATCCGTTTGCGACGTTCAAAGACTTTCTGTCATACTTTTTTTTTCTGCCGAAAACAAGTCAACGTAATTTCTGGCAAACTTTCTTGATTTTTCATTTCTGTTAGCAAAATATTCTGTATCATGTCAAGCTGAAGTTGGATTGTCTCTCCTCAAAAAAATAAAAAAATAAAAAATAAAAAATAAAATAGGAGCAAAATTTTTGAGGCACCGCAATGAAGAAATGTGGTCTCGCACTTTGCCCATTGGCATACTTCCACTGTCCCTTTAAGGTGATTCGACGGACGCCATTTTTTGTGTCAGAGCGACGTGCGATATATCGCATCGATTCGTTCAATAATTTTAGCTACTTGTCATTTTTTTCGAATTTTGAGATCGCACTTCTGTTGTCATGGGACTAAAGAATTTATGTACCAAATTTGACAAAGAAATTCAACGTAATAAAGGTAGGGTTTTTTAGAGGAAAAATATCGCACTCGATACTGATGTCAAAACTGCACTCGAATGCGATATTTTTCCTTTGAAAAACCCCTGCCTTTATCGTGTTGAATTTGTTTGTCAAAAGGTACACATGAATTCTTTAGTCTCATGATAACAGCAGAGCGATCTCAAAATTCGAAAAAAATGACAAGAAGCTGAAATTATGGAACAAATCGATACGATATTTCGCACGTCGCTCTGACACAAAAACTAACGTCCGTCGAATCACCTTAAAGGAACAAGTGGAAGTACGCAAATGGGCAAAGTGCGAGACCACCTTCCTCCATTGCAGTGCTTCAACATTTTTGCTCCCATTTTACTTATTTATTTATTCATTTTTTTTTTTAAGGGAAAAACAATCCAACTTTAGCTTAAATTGATACAGAATATTTTGCTAACAGAAAAAAAAATCATGGAAGTTTTCCAGGAATTACGTTAACAATTGTTTTCGGCAGAAAAAATGGCGTCCGTCGAATCACCTTAAATACTCCGAATATAAATTGATAGACAATACTGATTTATCTCTTGTTCTTCAGGCGGTAACGCTTAAGGACTTGCAGGATCGTTTACCCTCGGCATGTACTGGTGCAAGTCCAGAATCGCACCAAAGGTGTCAGAAATTGTACAAGGATTACAAGGAATTGGCGAAAACAGACCAGTACAAGCGTGTAGCGGATAAAAAGTGCGGGCGCTTGGACAACGTTCAGTGTTACAGACCTGAGGCATCAACCGCAAATACCCCCCAGTCGAGAATCTACACGTGCGCTGGGAATCCATTAAAGGGGGGAGTTCTCAAGGAGACCAACCTAGAGGAGAAAATACCAATAAAACAGTGCATAGATAAATTAGCAGGAACAGGTGGCTCAGGTAGCGCAGACCCAGGTAATGCAGGTAAACCAAAGTAAAAACCTAAGTCATGCTCAGTTATATTCGCTGCAGCAGGAGTACGTCAGCCGCGCTCAGTGGATCGAGTAAATGCGAGAGGTCGGACAAAATTTGGAAACTTTAAAAGCTCATAACTCCGTTTTCACAAAATTTTGAGGCCTTAAACTTGGTCCCATTGATTTTCTCGTAAAATATACACCCGTAAAATTTAAAATTTGACGAAATAAACATCAAAATTAGCATTTCAAGTCGAAAATTTCGTGTCGGACCTCTAATTGAGTCGAACCACTGTGCGGCGGCCAGAAGCTCCTCCATTGCAACTTTCACTGCGTGAAGCTTATGAACTCTAGAAAGGACGGATTTCCTCCGCTGTAAAATTAATTTTTTGGGAAGTATTATTTACTATTTCTGAAACCGATGTATATCTATTTTTTCCGTTTTTTTTTTGTATTAAGATATTGAATAAATCATATTTGAATTTCCGCAATTATATTCACTCCTTATAAAACTCCTGGATTTCATCTGTCTTTGTTTCCGACTTTTAATGGGTTATTTTCGCTGGTCTCAGAATCGTGTTTTGATGTTTGATTCTTGTCGATTAGCTAAAAATATTAAGATCCGTCCAAACAGCAATTTTCTACGTTCAATATTAATTAATTGAGATATATTGCCCTTTGAAAAATTGGGTTTATGACATCATCCACCCACGGTAATGATACCCTTGTTATCATCCACCTTGCTTTCATCCGAGTTACACATTGAGTAACCAGAGAAAATGTGTGTTTCCCTGACTACTGAAAATAAGGTTGAAGAAACTATAAGTGTCACTACCGCGGTGGAAGACGTTATACTTAAACCGAATTTTTCAAAGTGCGATATCTCAGTTGACATTTAACGTAGAGAGTTGTTGTTTGGACAGATTTTATCATTTTATTGCTGAGTTTACTATTCTCATACCTCAACAAGTTTATTATTAAACTCGCTGAGGTATAAGCAATTAGTAAGCCTCTAATAAATTCAATTTTGCCGATTTCTGCTGATGACCATTTGAAGCACGCAATTCTGAGTTCTCATTTCCAACTTTATTTTGTCACCCATGAAAATTCTTATAATGTCGATCCTAGAAAGTTAAAAAGCACTGTAAGTATTGACGCCTATATATGCAACTGGACAAACAAGCTTTTTCATCCATGCATGCATAGTGAGAAATTTTAACACAAAAGTTTGGTTAGTACGGAAAGTAAAACATAAAATAACCCTAGCCTTCGGTTGACAGTTTCAAGAAAAAATGTCTTGAGTTTTCTTAAAGAATTTAGTAAAAAAAAACTAGTGATGAAGTGTAACTTCGCAATCGGAGGAGTGCGCACTTGCCCAGTCTCTCCATTGCTTTCTGCCCTAAATATACCGCGAACTGCACCAAAATCAACTTAAAATGTGTGATGGTTTGTGTTTCACTTCCTATATTAACTAAAAATACTCACTTGCCGTTTTCTCCGAATGACCCACCGAGAACCCACGCAACTGGTCAGAAAAGGACGTTAAATTCATGCCTTGTTGCCTTTCTCGCGAAAAAATCACGGCAGATTTCGAAGTGTCCTTTTTCCTTTACCCGCACTGAGTAGGTAACTTGCAAAAACTTGCAACTGAGGTAACTTGGGGATGAAAAACTTGCAACGTTGCAAATTGAAGTATGAATGTTTTTTATCTCGCTGTCGTTGAAGAGGAAATGTGTAACCGCGCAAGCACTATGGTGCGATTTCAGCGGCAATCGTCATCTTCCGCCATCAAGTCGAAGCGATACTGTCGCAGGCGCTATGAGCAACTATTCCGCCACAGAAGTGTTTCACGGTATCAAACGTAATTGAAGGCGCACTGTCGTATGTAAAACCGGATTCGTCGATCACTGACTGTGAGTGGAGTCCTATTCTGCCGTGATAGTGAAGAGAGCAGTAAGTGCAGAAATGAAGCTTGGAGAAAACGGGCTCAGAAGTATCTGGCCGGGAAATTTAATTGAAAGCCTCCGTTCTTTCTCGAATTATCACCAGTCGTCGATCCGAAAGACTCCTAGAGATCGTACATGGATTATTAAAAATCGACTGATTTTATTTCAATTACATAAAAAGGGTATTTTTTTTTTCTAATTTATGATAGGTTATTGTTAGGCAGGGTGTTTGCGTTTTGGTCACACAACAAACACATTTTCAGGTTAGAAATTGGCTGAAGAGGGCCGCACTTTACTTAAAAGCACTGATTTCATTGGCTCCCTGCCAGCTGATTATTGAAACTACATGTCAGCACAACAAGAAAAGACATAGCATATCTTAACCATGCAACATATCCAAGAGCATTCCAATGTCGCTAACCTTGCAAACATAAACGATCATCTAAACTAGTTTCACCTCTACTCCCAATAAACTATGAATTCAAGACGAAAATTACCGTCGCAAAGTTTACTTTTTGCAAAGAATGTACCTAAGTTGCACAATCCCAGCAACATTGAAATGCTCTTAGTTCCTTTTTGCAAAATGCAATCCAATTGGTTGTTGCTGCAAAAAAATAGTTTCCCACAACCTGCTATACAATGCTCCAGTGACCATGTAAGTTGGCCCGAGCACTAACTTTTCGGGAAGAAAGCCTTTCCCCTACCTGGTTTCTCACTTAATATCCGCCTGAGTTCCGCATACCTATCTTCCGTTTCTCCTCATCGCAGCTTCCATCAAACCGCAATTGCCCGGAAACTAGGACCGCACATCTCATCTGATAAAATCGTTCGCCCTTAGACCGATTCTGGGGGGTTAGGCTAGACTAGTCGATGAGTCAACTGTTGATCTAATTTCATTACGTGAATGTAGAAGAAAAACGGGGTAAAAAATCACTAATGTGTGATCAATTTTCAAGGACAATTCTATAATTTCTCCTACGATTTTAAATAGATTAAAACGCGTAATATCGAAAATCTAGGCTCAGATTCGGATTCCTCGTGAAAAACTGATGCGATTCCATGCATCATATGTTAGAATAGCGTGAAGGAAAGAGGTTTAATGACGTAAAAAAACACTAATGTGTGATCAATTTTCAAGGACAATTCTGTAAATTCTCTTACGATTTTAAATAGATTAAAACGCGTAATATCCAAAATCTAAGCTCAGATTCGGATTCCTCGTGAAAAATTGATGAGATTTCATATATCATACGTTAAAATAGCGTGAAGGAAAAAGGTTTAACGACGCGTATAGATTCTGTCATACTGGCCCTTTGAACTACGCCGCGCCGGCGCTAACAACAAGCGTTCGGTTTCGTCCCGAGGAATTTCTCACGATAAATTCTTATTCTTCCTCCTCCGCTGACCCACTGAGCACTATCCATGTTGCCACGTTGGATTCATATGCTCGAATCAGTATGTCTACGTTACGTCTCTTTCCTTCACGCTATGCTCGGGTATGATACATGAAATTGTATCAATTTTTAACGAGGAATCCGAATCTGAACTTCGATTTTGGGTATCACGCGTTTTAAGTCAAATTTTCCAAATTCGAAAATCTGAAATGACTGACGTGGCTTAAAATACCATCTCGGTTCCTGTTCGATGGATTTTCCTGAAATTCGGTGTCAGGGTATGATACATGAAATCGCATCGATTTTTTACGAGGAATCCGAATCTGAACTTCGATTATGGGTATCACGCGTTTTAAGTAAAATGTTTCAACTCCAAAAATCCGAAATGACTGAAGTGGCTTAAAATGCCATCTCGGCTCCTGTTCGATGGATTCTCCTGAAATTCGGTGTCAGGGTATGATACATGAAATCGCATCGATTTTTTTCGAGGAATCCGAATCTGAGCTTCGATTTTGGGGATCACGCGTTTTAAATCAAAATCTGTCAAAATTCAAAGAATTCAAAATTCGAAAATCCGAAATGGCTTAAAATGCTATCTCGGTCCCTGTTTGATGGATTTTTCTGAAATTCGGTGTCAGGAAGTATTTATCGACGGGAAACTCGAATTTTTAGTCCATTTTTTAAAATTCTCAAATTCAAGATGGCGGACGTGGGCTAAAATGCTATCTCGGTTTCTGTTTGTTCGAGTCTTGTGAAACGCGGTATTACACGGAATTTTTCAACGGAAAACTCGAATATTTAGTCAGTTTTTTAAAATTCTCAACTCCAAAATGTTGGATGTGGCCTAAAATGAGCCCCGGTTCTAGCCTCCGTTTCTGTTCGTTAGAGCTTTGAGAACCGCGAGATCAGGGGTACTTTTCGACGGGAAACTCGAATAATTAGTCGATTTTTGAAAATTCTCAATTCCAAGATGGCGGACGTGGCCTAAAATGCTATGTCGGCTCCTGTTCGATGCATTTTTTTGAAACTCGGTGTCTGAGGGTATTTTTCGACCGGAAACTCGAATTTTTACTATGTTTAAAAATTCTCAAATCCAAGATGGCGGACGTGGCCTAAAATGCTATGTCGGCTCCTGTTCGATGGATTTATGGCGCCCCCTTACTACATGCCTACTCTTGTATTTCTGTACAGCCGCAAATTTAGGGTCAAGGGGCGCCTGACCGTTTATGGACCAGGTGGAGTTTTTGTCCTGAAAATTTACCTTTAGACGGCAATTCTCTTTATATTTTGTCTATGGTTTTTATGCCCCCCCCCCTTTCTCGCGGACTCTCTTTTCACTTTTCTTGCCTCCTTTTTCCTTCCATTTCCCCCCTTCTTCCTTCCTTTCACTGCCCAACCTTGTTTCCTTTTCCTTTTTTCCCCTTGTGATTTCTTCCCTTTTTTTCCTTTTCCTTTTTTCCCCTTGTCCTTTCTTCCCTTTTTTTCCTTTTCCTTTTCCCCCCTTTTTTCCCTCTCTTCTTCTTTCGTGGCGCCTCCCAAAGGCTGGCGCCCGTGTGCGCCGCACGCCCTGCACACGCCCTAAGTCCGGGCCTGAACATATCGCACTTCGATGTCTTATCGGGCTGCTTTAAACTTGAAATTAACTTGAGAATAAATGTCACTTACGGCTGTTTTGCCTGAAACTACGTATTTTTTCAACATTTAAGACTTTCATATATGTCTAATTTTTATACAATTAAGATGAATTTTGCTGTTGTAGCTATTTCAGTGATTTAATCTAAACTAGATTTGACGAATTTTGAAGGAAACTAGATTTCGAAAATTATTTGACACTTACTGCTCTCTTTGCTTACGGCAGTATTGATCCGACGATATGAGGCAACAATTCGTTTGTTATGGCGCTTTTTGTACTCTTCTGGCCTACTTGCTTCGAGGATTTTAAATTTCGGATCCGCTTTTATTCGTCCATAGTTCCTACTTATACTTATTTTTCCATTTTTGAAGATAGCATGAGCATAAACTTGGGTGAAACATTAAAAAGAAAAAATTTTCATCATACCTTGGGAAAATCATGGCAGATTTTAAAGTGTTCTTCTACCCTTATAAAGCAGGCACTGAAAACTTACAAGATCGCATATTGAGGTATGAACTTTTTTTATCTCATCGTTGGTGACGAGGAAATGTGTAGCTGCGCGCCAGGGCGTGGCGTGAATTGCGATGTATCGATTGTTCTGCCATTTCAACCTATAGTAAAGAATCGATTGTGAAGGTGTTTGCTCCGAACACCCTGTTTATCGATCCTTTTCCATAGGTTTAAATGACATAACAATCGATATATCGCAAAGCACGCCACGCCACTGCAACACGCACTCTAGACTAAGGTTTCAGAGGTAATCCTATTTTTTTTGCAATCAAATCGAAGCCATTTGTCCTCTTTTCTATTGTTTTCATACAATAAGCACTGAAAAATTTGCAATGTCGCTAATTGAGGTATGAATGTTTTTTATCTCACCGTCGTTGAGGAGTAAATGTGTAATTACGCACGCGGGGTGTTATTTCGGCAATGATAATCCTGATCCTCTGCCATCAAGTCGAAGCGAAACCGTCGAAGGCGCTATGAGCAACTATTCCACCTTAGAAGTATTGCACAGTATCAAACGCAATTGAAGGCGCACCGCGTGACCGCTACTGAAGGTCAGTAGCGCTCAGCGCTAACGTTGTTTCCTCGTACTTTAAAATAGGTGCTCAAAAACTTATCAGAAAAATGATCTCGCACTTAAGACACTCATTTGCATTATAGAATGATCAAATTGAAGCATCAAAATGAAAATCTCAGGGATTAAAAGTCTGATTTCCGGTCATTTTGATGTGATGAGACACCATCAACCTATTCTTTCTTTGGTTTCCGCTACGGTTTTTTTTTTTTTTTTTTTTTTTTTTTTTTTTGTTATGTTCTGGTATTTAACCGCAGAACTTGCGCTGAAAAATTACAGTTGCGCGAGTTTAAATTACGCGGTACTTTTTTGGCGGCAAACTTTCTGCGTTCAAACACCGATGGAAGTTGAGTGGTTTGTTTACGTGCTTCGTGTTTACAAAGTTTTCAGGTTATGTTGACAACTGAAACTCGTGGAATCTGCAAAGTGCTAAGTTGGAAGCTCCGTGAAAATTCCTTTTGAAGCAAGTTCGTGCAAGTTTGCGATTGTTTTGTGTCCCATTTATTTATACAGGGCTCTCGTTTCAATTTGCGAATGTTCTCAGTTGTCTGGAAGAGTTGAAATTACCATAAGCTTCGCTCAGTGTCCAGTCAGAAATTCAGGATGTCCGGGAAAGAGGACACTCCAGCACCTGAAAGCAAGCACGTGCATCGGTTACCCTCCTTTCGCTCTGCCAGAGATCTGAACCTAGACAAATATAAACTTCCTACTGCCAAACCCAACGCGAAAAAATATGTTCCAAACCTGAACGTCACAAGAAAAAAGCAAGATGAGTAAGCATCCATCTCTCACGGAGTACCTTTATTTCCATACTTGGTCATCAATTTTTCTGTAATCATAGAATAACACACCTTGCCCAAGATCTTCTTCGAAGTGGGTGATGGAGAATTGTTGCCCAAGTGTTATAGATGGAAGGAATTTGGATTGTAAAGTAGGTTAGGGAAATTATATTATGACTTTCTATGAAAAGGGCTGCGATGTGATTCCAAGGAATACGGTGACTTTGATGGCTTTGGAGCTTTTAGAAGTTCCCAGAAGCGTCACACAGCTCTCAGAATTCTCCCCGCCACTGTCAATAAAATACTTTAACTTGCACGTATCTACACTATAAAGTTGTTTAAATATTTTTTACATTGTATCCTACTGTTTTAAACCATTTATATCACGAACCTCATCATGAAATCTTGTCAGTCCTCGGTGGCAAATTCTCAAATCAGTTTCGATGACCAATTGCATCATATGGTAAAATCACTGAGGTAAAGGACACAATGTGTAAGATAGATATCGACGGTGCAAGTCGGCAATCACATAACTCGTTTGCGGTGTCTGAAAATCTCTGCAACTATGTTATTTTTATAAAGGAGAACAAATGGACATGATTCCATGAAGTTTTTGCAGAATTTTCCTCGCACAGAGAAGAAAAATCATGGCAATTTTAAAGAATTTTTGTCGAGTAGTTTTCCGATTAAAAAATAAAGTATGACAGGAAGTCTGCGATGTCGCAAACCGAGTTATGTGATTGCCAACTTACACCGTCGATATGAATAAAATGCACTATTGATTGGTGCTCTCAATGTTTCCCAACATTTTATGTGTGTTAAAGTGCGATACTCGTTAAGCATGAACCATTTCTTATTTCTGCAGGTCAAACGCAGTACCAAAGTAATATCGTGTCATTATATCTTGTTGCATTTCTTTGTTTTACAGCGAAAAAGGTGGGACAAGTTCAACATCTAAAGAAAATGATAAAAAACAGAATGGTATACCTCAGCGTGGTCGAGGTCGCGGCAGGGGTCGAGGAGCTAGCAATCTTGTTCAGGTATTTCTGTCATCCTATCTCATTCTGTTCGTAAATTTCAATATGACTCCCATCGCTCTTTCTTTAGGTACGTTTAATTTAATAGCTAAACATCAGTAACTATGTTGAGAATTGGCTAGTATTAGATGATTTGATGAGATTTTAACTCGTAGCATCAAATGTTTCACCAAAGTTATGGTCAGTTATCCCTCTAGGGGCAGTTCATTAAATAGGAACAAAAAGGTAAACTTCGGATTTTTGGATGTTTGAGGGACACTTTTTCACTCGCTTTTAATTTTTTTTGATAGTAATGGAAGAAAAATCACCACATAGTCTTATTTTTTTAAATTTCATTTATTCTGAGGTGCGCTAATTCCTGATTTTAGTAGGTATATAGATTAAAACTGAAACTGAGTTGGAAAGGAATTTCCATCTCCAGTTTCTGTTTTTTTTACGTATACCTAGAGAAGTTGTTTCTACAATCATTTTTTACTCTGTTTTGTTTTCAGACCAAGTCAATTTTTTCGGAAGGAATGGGTGACAGGAAAGGTGCCAAGTACATGAAACCATGTGATGTCGAATCTGTTCCTAGAACATCAACCGTAACAAAATCTAGTTTTTCTCAGGTTAGTTGTTTTTTTCTTTTTATGTAACATTGCAGAAAAATTTAAATTAAAAAACCTAGGTAATCCCATGACAAATAATCTCGGAAACTGTCACAAACTTTTCTTATGCTTCAGTTCTATTGATTTAAAGCCTGTGCTTTTTCAGCACCAAAAATAGAGAGGAAATGTGAAGAGGAGGAAGGTGTGTAAATGAAAAAATATGAAATGAAAAAATATGTGTGAATCACTCTACATAATTTTTTTGCACTCAGCTTACTATTGATGATGATAAATCTTTACTTTTAGAAGACGAAGTGTATTTGGCATCTATTTTTCAGTAAAAGAAAGGAGAATTACAAAATCAATATTTTTTATAAACTACTAAAATTATGAAAATAGAAGAAATAGTTTCACCCATTTTATTAATAGTAATAATTTATCTAGTTTCAAAAATAAATATAATTAATAGATTAATTATGATTGAATACATTTCTATTATAGTGATTCCACTAGTGTATTATAGTGATTTCTCCTTCTCCTTTTTTTTTCATTCAAGAAACGCATCTCTAACTCATTCATGTTAGCAGTAAGTAAGCAATCATGTGCATAAGGAAACAAATGGGAGGTGCGTTGTTCCTAATAAGAAAGTGAGCTAGAAATAGTAGTTCCTAATTGCAAAATGAAGCGCATTTGACAAATTCAGTCACTAATTCTTTGTTTCTTCCCAACTCTCAACCAACTACTTACTTTTTAAAGGGTCATAGCAGAGGTTCCAGAGATAGATCTTCAGGCACTTCAAAATCAAGGAAAGAGCATGGTGAAAGATTGCCAGATGATGATTTTATTGATGACGTAGATGAAGGTGGCTATGAATATTCCTTCATGAAGCCTGTTAGCTTACCATTACGATTATGTAAGTTGAACTTTCAAAGATTCTCATCCACAAAGGTTCATGTTATTTATTTTAGGTGTTTGCAAGTTGTTTTATAGTAGATAATCATATTGTTGTCCAGCTAATTATGGCTACTTAAATGAAAATGCAAAAGATTGGAAAATTTCTTGGAATTTTTTGAAGCCGTTACGTTGGAAAGAGCCAGAAGTATTTTTTTATCGAGTGCTTCGAGGACATTAGGATACAAACTAAATGGAAATAGCACAGCCTATTTATATTTCCTGCTATCTGCTGTGATTACGCATAGTGCACAACCTCCAGCTAACATTGTACAAACACCCACCAAACCTAAACTTACAAAATTTGTTCTTGTTGGTGTATTTTATTTTATTTTATGTTCTTTGTTTTCTTTCTTTTGAGAAGTGTGAAAATATATTTATTTAAAGTGTATTTGGTGCATTTCAAAAAAATAAAAAATTCATAAGGAATGCCATTGATTTTTCGATGAACGTTAGATAACATATTTTCCGAGAAGAGAAGGGGAGAATGAATGAGAGAGGAACAAAAAAATGTGATATTTTTGTAAAAATTCAAGCACATCTAATCGGTGGTGGCTGGCTTTGAACCTTTGACCTTTTAAACATTATTGAAGTGTGGTAGCCAGTGGCCAATCACGCAGTAGTGTCCACGTATAATCACTAATCTGTGCAATATTTTCTGTCCAAAATACGGAGCTTTAGAGGGGTTTGGGTGAAATTTTAGTTATACATGAGCGTTCATTTCAAACCAAAATCATTAAAATGATAGGCTGGCTCATTGTGACCTCTCCTCGTTAGTTTATCATTATTATTATGCCTTCATAGCAAATTCATGTTAAACATTACTATTTCTTTCTTTCTTAAATAATAATATTTGTTTTCTTTTTTGACTCAGCTGAAAATTATGCCTTAGAAGATATCTGTGATGATGAAGAAATAGCTCCAGGTGTTAAAAGTAAGTTGTTGCATCATAGTCTAATGTGTATCTGTGACTATTCATGATGTGAGGAAACAAATTTTTTTTAAAATTGAGTGTTTTTGCAGATTAAAAATCAAATGTTTGAATGTAGGCAATGTGTGTTTCACGTATTATTTGGCTTGTTCTGATGACCTGAAACCATGATCTGACCATAACTATCTTTATTTCATGTCACAAAACACTTTACTCTAATGTCATTATTGAATGCAAAATAGTTTTGTGACGCTCATCAACGTAAGAGCAAGAAAGTGCATTATTTACCTCTGAAATAACATTAAAAAACAATCAAAATTTGCTGGCAGACTTTTCAAAGGCAAAAATTTTCTTTGTTTTTGATGACTTTTACAGCAGCAAAATTCTTATGTTACAAAAGCTGGCCTTAAAAAATTGAGAGTTGGCTTATTTTGAGAAAACTACATCCTTAAGTTATGGGAGGAAAAGTTACTGGAACTGGTAGCTCGTATTTTCAGCTTTCTAATAAGCTCTTGCTAAGCTCATTTGGTTACAAATCTATTCAAGCACCACATATTAAATGTTGTAATTCTCTTTTTGTATTTAGTATTCTCATCATTTCTCTTCAATTTTTTTCAGTTAAAGCTGAACCCGGTACTCCAAAAGTCAAAGTTAAATCTGAAAATAAACCAAGGAAAGAATTTACCAATGTCAAAGAACTTTTATCTGATTCAAAACCTCAATTGTTATTTTTGCAGGTCTGTATTCCAACCTATTACGTTTTTGGTATACTTTTAAAGTTTGTTTCACTTCCCCTTTTTTTTACCCTCACTTATATTTTCAAAGGCAGGTATTTTCAAAATTGTTTCTGGAATTTTATAAATAATTCTCATTTGCAAATGATGACTTTTGAACTCCTATGTATTTTTTCATTTCTTTTTCTTGGCTGGTTCTACAGTCCAGTGTAAGTTTTGACCTTTAAAACTGTGTTTACTCTACGTGTATTGTGAAGGAGAATCCAATGTAGTGTTCTTTTTTACGACTTACACCCTGGCTGACAGTTTTAATTTCTTTGTTTGAAAGTAAATCTTAATTATACACCATGCCAAATCGCAGTCCAAGAAACTCACCCAAAAACTCTTTATGGCTGTATTGTCGTTTATCCTGTCAATTTTTTGTGTGCACGCATATCATAGCGCTGTAGTCTTTCAGCATGAATGAAATAGCCGAATATCATTTAGCAAAGAAGTTTTGTTTTTCTTTTAATAAAACCACATGTGAAACTGCTAAAATGATTATCAAAGCTTGCAAATGAAAGAAAATGGAAAGATCTTAAATTTACAAGAGGCTAGTCCAGCTTAAACCAGATGAATTGTGCATCGACAACTTTGAATGTCCGCCCTATCCTTGTATGAGGACATGAAGGTACAACAGCCCAAACTTTTGAGGCTGTGAATGCACATTTCACTGCCTTTTAAGTCGTGTCAGCTGTGTTTACATTGATTCAAGAGATCATGATCCTTTAAATCAATTGTAATAATTTATGTCTATTTTCAATGAAGAATAATTATTTTCTAGTGCCTCAAACCCCTTTTGCTACAGCTGTTTAGTCCTTTCAGATTTTAATTTTATGTCTCATTGCTATCATTGACTTGTCCTGCAGTTACCAACCAATTTACCCGGGCTCCTATTAGATGACAAGGCAGACACTCCTTCTGTGATACATAAAGAAAAACCTATCGTGATAAAGAAAGAACCAGGCACTGAGGATAAACAGTCCCTCAAAGCAGAGCCTAGCACTAGTAGCAATTCCAGTCAGTCCACCAAACCAAACACTGCGCAGGAGGCAAAGGTAATTTTCTATTCACTATTTTGGTAACTTTAGTTGTGCAGATTGTGCCACACAAACTGGAAGCAGGACAACGCAAGAAATATGTCATTAATGCAATTTGAAGGTTATCACATGGAGTAACTACATTGGACGCGTTGTTAAACTCGAGTAAATGTACCATGAATATCTGTGATTGTTGTCGTCTCAGCTGAATGCTTCAATTACAGGCTAGCAGCTAAAAAATCGACGATTGAGTTAGAAAGGGCATTTCGCTCTAAACTTCAGTGAAAACATACTGTATAGCCAGCTAAGTTCCTCCACAGCATTACTGCTATGTTAAGCAGCGGTCATTAGAAATAAAAATGTGAATAATTTGAAAATAGCTTTTTGCCATTCTGCTGGTTATTGATGATAAGTCCTCAGCTATTGCTGACCGATTCCTCATGGCTGAGCTCATGCTGGCTCTGATAAAAATGTGAAGTGACATTGTGATTTTGAAAAAACTACGGTTGAAGATGCAAGATGAAACTGTGGCCTGGATACACGCGAACTTTAAAGTTGAATTTTAAGAAGAAGAAAAGAGAGTCCAGTTTTTTATGTTTTTTTAAGCATACTTAAAGTTAAGTTTGACTCGAAAGAACTAATATGTATCTCATTTTTTTCTTAGCTCCGTGTCTTTGCACCTGACTCCTAAAACAGCATTGTCAATATTCTAGAATAATTATCTTAGGGTATCTACTGTCAGTAAAAACCGGAAAATAACAGGAAATTTGACGTCATCATGAAAAATCAGGAAAATCGGTCATGACTCAGGAAATTCCGAGTGCGTCAAACAAGTTTAAACTACATGCAAAAATGAAACATTTTATTCAATTCATCAAATATGTTGGCGTATAAAATGTAATGAGTGACAATTTATTAGAGCAAAACATCAGGAAATTTCATTAAAATGTCAAACAAATCCAATATGAAATGTATTATGCAAAGAAACATAAAAGGGGGTCTGTGGATCTCACAAAATGGGCTTGAGTTTCTTCAGAGTTTTATTTTTAAACTGGAATCCAACAAACAGAACAAAATTCCCAAGACTAGGAAAGCAAATACATATTTAGTATCTAACTGTAGTAAGAAAAAGTAATCATCACTAATCAAGTAACATCACCAATAAAAACATAATGATCCTACTCAGCAAATTTTAATNCAAAAGTGGGTCAAATTTTAAAATTTAATTAATTTCATACATATATTCTGAAAGCTCTCATTTTTCTGGAAATTTTGACACCAAGATCATCTTTCTACGACAAACCGTTGAGAAGTTATGCTAATTTAAAGGTTTTGACTTTGACCCCCTCTCCCCCCTTTTCCCTGGGGGTTAGGCAAAAAATATGACCAGTTTTGAGTGTCTGGGAAGACCCTCTGTCATCTCTGAGAAAATCGTACGATTCCGTGTTTAGGCCGATTTGGCCGTTTTGTTGTAGGGTCGTTTTAATTTTCTTTCTTACTAATATGTAGAGCATGTCTGTATTCAACCTTGTATTGTTTCCATCTTGTTTCCTCATCATGTATATTCAACACAGTTGTCTGGAAATTCATCGTACAAAAGAGCAAATTTTTTTATCTCAATTTTATTTTGCCTTGAAGAATTTTCCATCAGCACCTTGTTTTGTTTGTAAATATGTATACATCCAACGCATTCAATATTTTTTCTTCATTCACAGTCGAATCTGTGCACGTTGAAGGAACTGCAACCTGGATGTATAGGCAAGATTCAAATACTCAAATCTGGTAAAGCCAAACTCAATTTAGGAAGTTGCAACTTTCTTGTCGACCTTGGTAGTCAAGTAGGTTTTAAACAGGTACGTTCATGGCTTTTTATTTAAATACTCTCTTATTTCACTTGAGAAAAGATGTTTGTGCAACTAAATCATTAAAAGAAGACCTTGAACACTGTTCGTACGAGGGTCATCCAGAAGGAAAGGTCTTCTATGGATTTTCTCACTTGTCAATCATTAACGCCAGAAAAGAACCAGCTATACTATTGGATGCAATATCCTCTCAGTTTTAATTTTAAATCCTCATTCATGAAAATTGGATCACGGGAACCTTCAGGAAAGCAATGATGTTAGAGTGGAAGAAATTGCTTTCTCGAGCATTCCTGTGATCCAATTTTAAAAGATGAGGGCTTAAATTTAAGCTGAGGGTTTACTACATTCAGTGGTATTTCTGGTTATTTTCTAGCATCAATGGTTAGTGAGAAGATTCATTGGGGACCTTACTACCTGGATGACCCTAGTACCTAAAAATACATAGGTGTCACAAAGTGCATAGATGTTTCACTTGAAAATTGAGGAAGTGTCCTTACACTTTTATCTAATTATATAAAATGTTTGAACCGGAAAGTTTTTCTCTCTGTTTATCAAAGGCTCATACCGATGATGAAACTACAAAAATGTATATCTTGATTTGCAGCGTTGCAGAATATCTATTTTATTTTGTCTTTCACATGGGACACTATTATACATCATTTCTCAGAAACTTTGATGACTTTTCCTCTCTGAGTGAAGAATATTCATGAAAATTTTAATCCGTAATGTTAGTCGAGTCTCCTTTTAAAAAATAAAATTGGAGCAAAGATTTTGAAACACAGCTACTGAGATGCGCATGTCTGTAGTTTCACATTCGATATACGACAAGTTCATTGAACATATTTGAAATTAGTTACTGTTCATTCCTGTTTTTTCCATGAAGCCTATTAATACTTGTTTTTAAAAAGAAAAATTGAAATTAAGTATCGTGTTAATGTAGGCGCTACTTTAGCATATAGATAATCTCCAAAAATATTACTGAAAAATACTACTAAACTTTAATTTTTGATGTACATAATCCTACGCAAACCAAGATTAGAATAAGAAAGAAAGAAAAGAAGTGCGCAGGGTAACTGCTAATAATTCTGTAAGCTTTTCTATCTGTAGATCACTTTTATTTTTCCGTAATTTTCATTTCCAATCCTAAAGGGAACTTGGAAGCTTCATTGAGATTTCTCATGTGGCCTCCGCTCGACGACTCTTGTCCAACATTTCTATACTCTACAGAGTTAATCAAGGATGAGCTACAACTCATCCTTGATTAAAATGCATTTAAAAATACTCAAGAAAATTCTAACTTATAACCTCACCCTCTCTGTTTTGTTACAGGATTTAGTCTCTTTGGAATTGAATGCTGACACAAAAACTGGTGATACAATTAATTTAGGACCTCTTAGCTCCCGCCTCATAATTTCACCTGAGTGGGAGGATATGATCAAATCTAGCATAAAAAAATGATTGTTAATTCCCAACATAGAAATATTATCCCTGCTACTTCTTTTTAATTGTTTTTTGTTAATACAGCGACTTCTTTTTCATCAAGTTTTGAATCATTTTATGAATATTGTCCATAGTGGGTCTGATGCTTTTGAGAGACTCAGTCAAGTGAATTGACTTGCTACGGATAAAATCGCACGAAATCGACGGTGAGCACATCACTGAAGGCAGAAATCCCTCCAAGTGTGCAATCTACGCAGTATATATCACGCTTTTTCAAATTTCTTGTGTTCACTGGCAATTTCTCTCAGTGGCTGGTAAGCAAGTTTGCACGAAGAGAGATGTACCTAAATTAAAAAACCTTTACCTAAATAAAAAAAAAAACAGTCCTGCAAACTGTCACAAAGTTTCCTTACATATGATTTCAATCAAGTTGAATTTTTTTTTTTTTTTTTTTCTTTCTAAACAAAGTAATGAGGAGAAAGCAAACGTTTGAAATCCTATATCAGAGGGAAAGGCTGAAAGATCTTTTGTTTATTTAAGTTAGGTTTCCTTACATCTCTCTCTCTCTCTCTGGGAGAACCTGTTAGCTGTTGACTAAGATAAGAAAAACTGCCAGCGGATAAAAGAAATTTAAAATAAAGAGCGGATATCATACTCGACATGGTCATTGTGATTTTCATGCGGTTTTACTGAGAAAGAGTACTCACCTGGCTGTATCTTTTACCTGCAACATACATATTTCATTAATGGGGGGCATTTCATCTTTTAATGATAAATTATTATATCAAAAGAGAGATATTAATGGTTAAATTAATTAGTTTGTCCCAAGAAGAAGTTAATTCTTTATTGAGGTTAGATGTAGTCACATCAACAGTCATTACATATACTTATTTATTTTCATGAATGTGAATGTGAATCTAAAAAAGAAATTTAATGGTGTAAGTCCGCAATAACATATCTCGTTTGCTGTATCTGAAAATCTCCGCCTCTATATTATTATTCAAAGGAGAACAAATTGACATCATTCCTTGGAGTTTTTGCAGAATTTTCCTCGCATAGAGAAGAAAAATCACGGCAGTTTTAGAAAATTGCCGTTAAGTAGTTTTTTGTTTAAAAGATAAAGTATGACAGGAAGTCTGCGATGTTGCAAACCGAGTTATGTGATTGCCGACCTACACCGTCAAAATGTTCTCTAAATCAATTACGTATCATTGCATCTCCTGATTCTATTTCCCTTCAATATTTTCAAAGACGGAAGGTGAAATATCTGTTTGACCATTGCACATCATTCAATTTGACCAAAAATAACTGTAAATGCTCAAAATATCAATTGGCAATAAAGGTACTAATTGCATTTTTAGTTTACTCAATTGAGGAAGACAAAGAACTTTTACTCAAGGAGCCACCAAATGGATAGAGGGCATTGAGTTAAAGGAAACTAAATACAATTTTTTTTTAGGGGGAAAAAAGGCATTGGGGCTAGATTAGAACACAGTTTTATATTTTCTTCTGCACCTTGAAGGCTTAAAATCCTTCGAAAATATTTTTATCCAAAAATTTTCGCCAAAGAATGTTTTTTTCCTTGTTGAAGGAATGAAAGGTCAACTCTATCTATGTGTCTTTGTTCAAAGTCCATGTCCCCTTTTGTCAAATGATTCCTTTTTCCTACGTAATGTTTTCTGTTCACTCAAGGGTCCAAGCTGGCGTTCATTTACTACATCAGTTAGATGAAAAATCTGGGTGAGCTTTGAAATTTTCATTTAAAAAAAGAAAGAAAACTCATGGGGACAAGACCAAAGATAATTTTTTTTTTTTAAAGTTTTTTTTTTTTATTATTATTATTTTTTTACATTGCACCATAGAGGAACTTACTCTTAATTGCTCTGGCTCTGAAGTTCAATCACTGGAAGTTAGCTCAAAATAAGCACAGAAAGTGGCTAAATTTGAAATAATGAAAACAAGATTTTTTTTTCAAAAGAATGTATGGCATATGACATTGGAAATGAGAATGAATGAGGTATCCAAAGTAGAATTTTTCAAAAAGAGACAAAAGAGCTACTGAAAGCATAAAACCAGTAATTTATTTGTCGTTCATAACGCAGACCGTAACAACGGTGAAACTGCATAAATGCGTATCTTATTTGCTATGTAACAAAATCTCGAATGAATCAACATGGTTGAATATTATTCAGGAGAAGAAGAAAAATGAGAACATTTTGAAGAAATGACACTGACAATGAGTATTTTTCAGTTCTGAAAACAAATTATGGCAGGAAGTCTCCAATGTCGCAAGTTACCTACATGTCTCCGCAGTGTAATTATGACAATCTTTTCAAAAAAAAAGGAGAGGTCTCCCACGGTACGAACACTTGTTTCATCATTTAGAAGATTCGCATCACAAGCTCTGATTCCAAGTTCAGCAGGAATTAAATTGTAATTTTAATATGAGATAATAGATAATCAAGGAAGATGATTGAAAAATCGATGCTAAAATGTGAAAGCACGTACTTATCTCCGTTTGCGACACAAATGGTACATGACATGTTTTTTTCTTTGGGAAACTAGTCTATGTAATTTCTCGAAAACTTTTTTAGGGTTTTCTCCTCTCGTGGTAGAATATATTTTAAATTAATTGCAAGAAATGAGTTTGGTATTTTTCTCATCATGAAAAAACTCAGGAGGGAAAATTTTGAAACATCGCAATGGAGATACGTGGTTTTGCACTTTGGCTATCGATAGACGATTATGATTGGTGATAACGACCGGGGGGGAGGGGCTGGATTGGCGGGAGATCATCATCGGGATACAGGATTGGGGAAGGGAAAAATTCTTTGGATTTACTCTGCCGTCAAATGATGTGTATTGTTTTTCTTTTCCTATCCAATTTCTATAAAGGAAAATATGGTGTCGAATAAACATTTTACTTCGGCTCAGTTCGTAGAGTTCGTCTCTGTCTCTAATCGCTCGTTGCGAATAGAAAATGAGTCGAAGAGAGGGGGCCAAAAAAAAGTGAGACAGAACCAGACCAGTGTGCGACAGAGAGAGCAAAAGTCCAAATGGGAGGAGGGGGTAAGGAGAGGATGGAGAGATAAGATACGAAGTTGTTTTTAGTTATGGTGCCAGCTTACAAGTTGTTTTTTGTAATGCGATGGTTTGTTTGATAATTTGTGAATATGGCTGACATTTGTGAAAACAAGTTCTTTCCCCGACGAAATGAGATTTAGTCGAAATTCGCAAGTGCCGTGGCGAAGTCCGAGTGATTATGTGATCGAACCGTCCGAAATTGCCCCTTGTTGACCTGCGGGCTTTGACGAGTTCGTTTATCATCCTAACCTGCGAAAGTGATACGTGATTTTGTGTTATGGTTGTATATTTAACGAGATTTCTGTGATACAGTGCAATTTTGTCCTCCTCTCATGTTTTCACCTAAATTCGATGTATTCTAATGCGTCTAAAAATGGAGGTTCACAGGCAAAGGTATTATAATGACAAAAGTGAGAAAGAGAGTATCCATTCTGGTCATTTCATGATCTCTGACTTTGAAGCTGAGGCTCAAGATGATGGTGACGAAGTTCCAGGACCAATTCCTTTACCAGACAATAATACACAGCAGAATATCATCATGAAAAGCAGTAATTTAGCAACAAGTTACAGAGCTGGATTACAGTCACGATCGCAGCTTAACATTGAAACGTCATTAACGGATCTATTCCAGTGCATGTCTCTAGCGTACCGGTATGTTGGTTTAACTTTCTCTCTAATAATTTACTACTATTAATTCCTCTTGAAGTTTCTTTGCTGTCCAGGCTTTCTTTTACATGCTCAAGAATTTTAAGAACCCACCTAACCTAATCTGTTGAAACTTCTTTTAGGATTAACCTCCAATGACCACATAGGTTGCTAATTAAGAGTTATCATATGTTGACACATCAGCATGATGGAAGTAGGTGTATATTTGAATGGAATTTACCCATGTATCCGGACCGGATAAATTGAGATGCCTCTCGTTGTAAATTCTATTTCTCTTGGGCTGAGGAGCGGCAATCCTGGTTGATGAGTCGAAAACTACTGTATGAAACCAAACTGAAGGATCTGATCTGACTCTAATCAAAATGATAAGACTTTTAGACAAAGTATATAATATGTTAAGATGGCTTGGCACATAGACCTGTGGACCTTTGTATAGCAACGACAAAATTGGAGAACTCACCCAATGAGAATTGATTGTCTGCTGAATATAGCAGGTTATTCAAAGGAAATACCTAAGTAATTCAATTTGGAAATACCTCTCCAACAGGCTGTTAGACATTTTGATGGTGAAACTCCCAAATCATGTGTCTCGTCTGGAGTTTTACAAAATATCCGTTCCGTCTTTATGTTTTGTAAGGAGAGGGTCTCGACCAGATACGTAAATTGTAATTTTTACGGAATATTTTTCACTCGCAGAGAAAAAATCCCTATAGGTTTTAAGAGTTGACGTTTAGTGGTTTTACAATTAAAGAATAAAGTATCATAGGAAGTCTGTAAAGTTGCAAGTGGAGGTACATGGTTTGGGATTCTCATCATTGATCGGGATATTGCAGTGTTGCTAAAAAAAATTTCTGATACCTAAAATAAAAATTGTTTGGCTAACTATTGACCCTTTTCTTTTTGAATAATGAAGAGAATTTCACTCACACTTTAATCTCATGTCTCGGAAAGCTGTAAGATAAAATATCTGCCATGTTTCTCAAAACTACAAGTATTATTACAAGAAATTTGGCGACGGTCAAGTTTTCATACTATGTTTTTCCTAAGCAGCTCAGAAATAGGGAGTCATTTATTTGACTTTTTATTAACACAGGATGCGTTTCAATCACTGCAAACTTAAAAAATTGCTTTTTAGGGACTAATTGTTTTGCATTACTTGCAGAGTGTAGAAGTCATCTAATGGGCATTTTTCATCTTTAATAGGATGAGTTTCAATCTCTGCAAACTTTAAAATTTTTTTACTTGATCTAATTATCAAAAAGGGAAAGTGTATCCAGGCGGCTAAAGTAAAAAAATGAGTATCTCAGATTTGTCATTGTAGGTATTAGGTAAGCCTCCGCTTTTTTTTTTTACTTTTTTCTATTTTTTTTCTTACGGAAATCTAACCAACAGTTCCTATTTCTCCTGGGAATTTTTTTCGCTCATTCCCAAAGAATCGTTTCCCATTGGAAGAAAACATTTTGATTGCCTAGTTTTCCTTGAAGAGAATAAAGCATCATCATAGATTTTGAAACGTTGCAATGGAGATACGCATTTTTTTTGTATATGTAGCCATTGATATGTTAGAAATCCAATTTACTTGTTGCTATTTCCAATGTCTCACTGAGTGTTATGGCATTCAAATACAAAGAGTCTCTGCCGATACATTGCTACCTATTGTGTTGGAAACCTCTTATTCATAAGGTTTGAAACTTTACTATCACACATTATTTCGAGCCTAGGTATTGATCAATATAAAATTATAAGAATACCCATATGAGCAGGTGTGTGAAATAAAGAAAAATGATGAGTTTGCCTCAGGGTGTTGGTAGATAGGTAGTAGTTACCCTGTATTCTTAATCATAATAAATATACCTAAGTAAGTCAGACGTGCTGATAAAATCCTGAACTTTAGCACCATATTGAAGCAAGTGACATGAATTCTCTGAGGTTTCTTTTCACACAGTTGCCCAGTTTATTCAAATGTTGCCCACTGGTAGTGTTGTTATTCTGTTATAAAGTGTCCATTAGGCATTTCTTTTTTAAATCCCATGCGAATTTGTAGAAAGGTAGGTTGAGAAAATTTTTCAAATCCAAGAAGTATTGTAAATGCCTATTATTTTTGTTATGAATGATTTTTCCCAGAGTTTTAAGTGGTAATTGCAGACAATTTATTTGAACTTAAGTTCAATTAGAACTACAATGAATGTTGAATTATGATTTTTATCTTTGTGTTCCTCCTTTATCTGCTATTTTCCACTGATTACATTGTTAATTTTGATGTATGTAATCAGACAGCTTTCTCAGGAAATCAATGAGAGATATTTTGCCTGAATATAATTGAATTGGTCATTCTCCTAAAACCTTAAGTGCCAGAAATTAAATTAAGCACTTACAAGAAAACCACAAAAATAAGAGTTCAAATTGACATGTTCTGAATCTCATAGCTCCATGATATTAAAGCATTTAATTGATTAATCACATTATCACTTACTTAAACTAAGATTAAAAATGGGTCTATCAATACAGTTTTAGGTAACTGTTTTTCTTGTATTTTCATCTCTGGAGCTTATGTCTTTCGGAGAATGACTGATTCAATTGGAGTCACTTAGAGCTGGGCAAGAGCTTGGAAATTCAAAATCAATCGGAAAAAAATTGTCAGTTTTTTACAGATTGTTTAATAGGATGATCGTTAAAAATTATTTCAGTAACTCTCTGCCAATGTGCTTACTTAATCTTTGAATTCCTCAAGAATTGTGGAGCAAAGTTTCTCAAAAATTTGGCCAGAATATTGTTTTAAGAATTTTCAGGGAAAATTTTCATAGAATGTTCAGTTTCTAACATTAATCACAAATTTCTTCAAATAAATTTTGCAATTATAGTATTTTAGTATTGATAGGTATTATAATTTAGACACCAATGAAAGTTATTTTGAATTTCCCATACGAAAATTTTATGAACTGCATATTTATAACTAAAACAATCCGAGGTGTAAATTTAATTAAAGTTATTGATTTACCCACTTCATATCTTGCCAACTAAGGACATGAGTAGTAATGTTCATTCAGAGAATGTTACTTAAGCCCCAGATGTTACAGACAAAAACCTTAAGTGGCTTTACCCCCCTAAACCTCATTTTTTAAATTTAAAATTGCCACAACTCCGGTTAAGTTTGAACGATTTTAGGCAGTTTTTTTGTAATATTGCTTGTGAATTAGTCCCTTCTGCAACAGATCAGTAATTCACTTTACAAGTTTCAGCAGGAATCTGTCAAGTCCTCTCTCACAATGTCCATCTTGGAGTCAGTACAAATCAAGTTACATATTTTATTTCAGAGTCACGACCAGGAAGTGTGTTTCCTTTCATTTTTAGAGTGAATTTTATGGGTTCTGACTATTATGCTCCCATAAATTACATAATGGATTTAAGAGATCTATCAGATATTGACAATTCATTAAATTACTTGTTCTGTGTTTATCTGTCATGTCCCAAATCTGATAAGGACCATCACCTAACACGTGCCGGTAAAATGTCTGTGAATATTTGCTGGTACCCACAGTCACTTTTCACTTTGACGTAGATTTTTTTTTTTCATTATATTTTTTTCCAACTAATATCCACCCAATTGCCATGAAACTAGGATTTTGCCACCTACAGTGCACCTGACAGGTCACCTAACACGGTGTTAAGCAGTCAATGGACACAAGAGGACTTCCATACTTTTTCATCCAGCTTTTTGTATTGAAAAGAGATAATTTCAACTTTAATCATTTGTTTTCCCCCTCAGAGTTGAAAAAGCAATATTCTAATTACAGGCCACATTTTTCTTTCAATGAGCATATTTTTAAAAGGGCTTTTTTTTCATCCGAAGTGCAGAGCATTGCTACAGAGTGCATCTTTTTTTATCCCGTTCCACTGGCGTGTTCCAGTGTGTTCCGTGCGTTCCAGTGGAACACTTGGACCGCTCCTCCGAGGTGGATTGAGGCTGCGGTTAGGCCGGTTGAACCAGCCCAAACTGCAAAGATCCCAATCCATCGCGTTCCATGCGTTCCACAGTTAAAAAAAACCCTAAAGACCTACATCAAAATGATTAATGAAGTATTTGGATGAAAACAAAAGTATGAAATAACAATTAGGTACCTTCTTAGTTTCGCTCTGGCTGAGTCGAGTGTTATATTATGTTTCTGTCTGGAATCTCATCTGGGGATCTCTTTTCTTACTTACTTTTCCGCCACTTATTTAATGTACCAATTAGCATTTGTCACGTTGCTCAATATCTGAGAGTTAATTAAATTCTATCTTTTTATTTGTTCCAGTCAAAAATTGACCTCTCCAAAATGGAATCGATTCAAGGGAATAAAACTTCGGTGGAAAGAAAAAATTCGACTCAACAATGTGATTTGGCGTTGCTGGCATATGCAATGTAAGTTCAATTTTCTCTTTTCTTCTCATATTTCTCCGTGCCCAAGTTTTGATGAAGGATCAATAATCTGAAAATTTTTCGCAAAGAATCAAGCCCAATTTATGTCAAAGACATCTGTAGCTCTCTTTGCCAATGTGTTTTTACTTACGTATTTTTTCCTGTCCCAGGAAACACATCTTTAAAAGGGTTGGTGAGGTAACTATTTAGAAAAATCCCAAACCAAGGTCAAAAAATTTTGTAGCCGAAAGTTTACACACACCCACCACCAATTTGCCATCAGTTGGCCAACTTTTGTTGATTGTTGACCTCAGTGCACGGCATCATTGAACCAGTATTGTCCTCATGAGCCCAATGCAATGCCGCAGAAATACCTGGTTAGACCCATGAGCTTGATGTGACAGGCAACATCTCAGTAAAATATATTGGAACATGTATTTGTTTGGAGGGAAAGGGCTCTCCTTTTTAACGCTCCAAAACTGCTCGGCGTTATGGAATTATTGGAAACCGCATCAGTTCCTCTCATACAATTCTGTCACATCCCTCTGCAATGAATGCAATTCATATATTTTTAAGAGCGTAGGAAATGTGTCGTACATAAAAGCTCTATGAAGTCTTCTCCAGTAGCATCAAACTTTGGAAGTCAACTACTCATTTCAGGTGCTTGTTGTTTTTTCGCTCCAGTTTTGTCGGTAATTCGATTAATTGCGTCCATAATTGTCTGCAAAATTCGCATCTTTTGGCTGCTAACTGAAAGCTTAACTCGAAATTATGAAACAACATGAATTGCGTTTTCGATTATTGGGCTCAATCATTTTCAAAAAATTGTTTTTATACACTAAAAAATACTTTTCATTCAATAACTCGCCATTTAATTTCCTTCTCCTCTCCAAATGAATGAAACCTCATTTAAAAAAAATCGCCAAAAATATGGTGGAACTTTTCTGTGGATCTTGGCAAACTGAGGAAGTGTAACATCTTATCAGTTCCGTCATGACACTCAACAGTCAAAGATGCTACAGTATGTGTCTGTTAGTACTACTGATAATGAAATTTTAGCGGGAAAACCAACCTAACACCTTTTTTTCTATTTTTTTCTTCTTAAATTTACTTTCCCCTCTGATGAATCAACACACAACATCCAATTCTTTACAAAACCACGAAGAATGATAATGTTTCTATAATGAATGGAAACTTATTATAAGTAAAAAGAACTTACTAGTCGTGCTTTGAATTTTCTCTGTGAAGTCTCCTCAGACTCACAAACCAGTCCTTGCAGCAATAATTGCTAAATTCAGAGGGAAAAGCTGCTGACAGAAAACATGAACTATTCTCTGCTGTTGTTTGATAAAAATAATTGAAATTGGGTAATTCAGCACCTAAGACCATGAGCTTTTCAAGTGAAATTAGAGCAGTTTGACAACCATGTGGAAGATGATGACAGAGTCTCCGCGGATTATCCGTTGAACGAGCATCTCAGCTTATGTGCTAAAATAACAATTAACTTATAGAAATGAATCCACCTCACCTGCTGAAGTGGATAGGTAGCTACAATGTTTGCAGATATTTTTATTCAAACCCCCTCCTTGCCTCTTTTTTGAATTGTATTGTTCGTGATAAGATAAAGGAGAATTTATCTGAAGAATAACAGGCATCAGCTTACTAGTAATCAAAAATCCCTCTCGGTTCTTAATTTTTGCCTTTTGTTTGTTTTACAGATGTGTGCGCTTTTATTTTTCTCATTGCATTTTTAATTTTATCATTTGCGTTCAGTTTTCCTCCATATTTTGTTCGTTTCGCGATCTACTCCCGCTGTTATTGACCTTCTTTAGTGGTAGGTCAATCTCTATAATGATTATTTCACAGTTGTTGGCTTCGGTTTATCTTTATTTGAATTTTTATGTCGAGCTTCGTTAATTAATAACGGTTTTCTCCTTTCTCCTCTCCTCTTCTTTATTCTCCCATCTTCTAACAGTATTACTGACCTGGCACTCCTATTTTTATCCCCCTGTAATTATTTTTATCCATCGAACTACTGCATTCGAAATATGCATTTCGACGACCGTTCGCAGCCAAATTAATTCCAAGAATTTCCATGTTAGGAGACAGGTTTTGTTTGTAGGTTTAACTATTCATCAGTTTAATATTGCTGAGCAGATACCTTTAGATACTCAGAGGTTAAAGATACAATTTTAGGGGAAAAAGGTGAACCTCTAGATACTCAGAGGTTAAAGATACAATTTTAGCGGGAAAAAGTGAAAGATTCATCATTCAGGTTTTTTTATTTCCTGTGGATTTTGCTATTTCAAAAAAATTACCTACTCGTATCATTTAATTTAATTTATATCACAACAAATTTGAGAGCCATTTTGATGATCAGCTCTTCAAAACTTACTGTTTCATCAATTAGGTTGTGTCTCGGCACATTCTATAGAAATATTTAACCCCCCTCCCCCCCTCTCCTTAATAAAAGTATTGTAATGAAATTTTGAAATGCTTATGCACTTACTTCTGGAGCATGTGACCCTTTCATACGCAGTCAAGCAAAATAAAGTTGTTAAGGAAGACCAAAAGTTTTCAAATTCATACTCTAAAGGCATTCTCCCACATCTGGGGCTCCAGCAGAGTGTCTTAAAAAATACAGCTCCTTGGGTTGAAAATCGAAAACGGAATCTATACTATTTCGTAATTTCAGTGTCATGTCTTCAGTTGGCAGCCAAATTATGCGAAATTTGCAGCTAAATCTGGACCCATTTAATTGAATTATCAACTAAATTGGAGTCCAAAAAACAACAAACATCTGAAATGAGAAGTTAGCCTCTTAAGCTTCATGTCGATGGAAGAAACTTCATAAAGCTCCTTCGCGAAGCACATTCCCTATGCTCCTACAAAAATTTAAATTGCATCCATTGCAAGAGGATTATACGTTTGTAGGTAACTGATGTAGTTTCCCATATTTCTGATCCACCTCACAATTTTGTAGCTTTTCTCACACCAAGGTGCTCTGGCTCCTGGTAGTAGAGACATATTTGCTTTTAGACACTTTAACTTCTGATATAGCTGCAGAAAATTATTCAATTTTTGGAAAAAGGGCCTTGCCATCACATGTAGGTCTAATTGGATTTTGGTTTTGACCGGTTGTATTGTGTATCATTAAACGGTCATTAATGCCTTCAGCCTATATCATTTTCCCCTTAACTTGGTTTCATTTTGTGTGAGTGATGTCGTATTTCTTAATTTAAAAGCGGCACTGAAAAACTTAATGGCGTAGATGTGTGTTTTTCATTCTTCTCTCTGTGAGCAGATTTCCTCACTCGCTTTGTATTTTCCTCAGCCAAAAGGAACCTTAGTACTTAGCTGTAACTGTCGAATTTTAATTGAACTTTAAAATAATAAATGATTTAAGGATTCCTTTTCGTTCTTATGTCAATAAAATTCATGCCAATTTTAAGTTTAAAAAAAAATATGAAAAAAAATTGGCATCTAAATTTTGTCAATTTCTAATTGATTCTAGACACAAAATAAAGTTCACTACATGCAATGTAAGAAATAAGAATTTCTTCTAAAATTCACGCAGTATTTTTCAATGTTTCCCCAAAGGAACTGATGAAAAACTTGTGAAAGTGCAAGGTAGAATTTTTACATACCTCAGAACAAGAAAGTTTTTTTAACTTGAACATTTTAATCGTTTCTTTGAGAGTTTCCTCTTTAAAATTTACAATTTTTTTAAATAGCCAATGTTCCTAAAATAGCTTAATCTTCACAACCATTCAAAATTTTGTTCCCTATATGTTTGTATTTTCATCAGCCGAAGGAAAGTTCACCGTGAATTCATAGGATGAGATGAAGCAACTCCCTCAAGAGAAATTGTTTTCTCTGTTGGAGGTTCTCATTAAGATTTTGGTTGCTTCCATTAGGGTTTTTATTGGATGAAATTCAACGTCATTGACAACTTGAGAGCACTAGAGGCTGGAGAGGCTCTCTTACTGGGATGTAGGAAAGAATTGTGCATCTGAAGGTATGCTGTAGACACCATAAGTAGGGACAAATAAGATTATTGTACAATCTTATCAAATTTAATTCTTTTATCAGCCAAGTTCTCAAAATGTGTCTGATTAAAATTTTGACTATTTAGCTGCCAATTTGCAGATAGATGAGAATAAAATAAAGTTTGCTCTCCTATCTCAGGTGTTTGAGAGTTTTGCTTCGCACCTTGAATCTTCCATCTTGGGATCTTTGTGTGACTTATATCTTCTCTCCTCATTTGCCTCCATCAAAATAATAGCAACCTTTAATCGTCGCCTTACCCCCCCCCCTTTTTTTTAGGTGACAGTTAAATTGGCACTCATGCATACTTAATGAGGATTATCTTGATAATTCCTAAGAGGTGAAAATCAAGTGTTTTTTACTCAAATCCTGTCAGTTTTTCTTGTATCCTCTCTCTTTCACCGTTGTTAAAAAATTGCGTTAACCTTACAAAATCAAGCAGTTGTATTTCTGTGCAAGAGAGTGTTAGAAGATATCGAGACTAAATTTTGTCAGATAAGGTATCCATCCACTTATTTGTCATCGTTGTTTTCTTAAGTTTTTTATTCTTCTGAATGTCTGAGTCAAATATTTGTTTTTCATGCCCTATGTGCAACTGAATTAGTGAAGTTTGGTGTAAGTGTAGCATGTTATGTGTACATTTTAGCATCTTAAATTGTTTAATTCTCACAGATACATGACCTTTGTCAAGTAATTATCCTTCTAAAACTTGTATCTGTTACCCACCAAGAGGCTTCTTCAAAATTTTCCTTATTTCTAATTTTTTCACCGAGTTGTTTCGAATCATTTAATTAAATTAATTATTTCTTCCTTTTTGTCTTGTTTTAGTCATCACAAAGAAAAATTCTTTAGTCTGCCAGTTTGCATCTCCTCTTGATGTTGATACCCACAACAAACCTGAGGTATGTAAAATTGATTTCTGTCACTGAAACTAAGAATTTTTTTTTTCTAATTTATAATAGCCTAGTGCGTTGCAAAAATAGTTAAAAATAGCTGCCACCTCAAAAACGGCTCACACTGCTATTATAGTAACCAAGGTACCAAGGACAATTTGAGTAGTGGCCATCTAGGTAAGCTACTGTAGCAATTCACGTAGAAGGCAGCTATGAATGTGATATCGACAATAAAACTTCAGGGTTGTGTATTTCGTTTTTGGTGTTTCGAAATCCGCTCCCATTCTATTCAATTGAAGGAGAAGAAATCATTGCTTTTGCTTAAGTTTTCGTAAATTAATCTGTCTATGAGGATGAAAGATCAGGGAAATTTACGAGAAATGATGCTGAGTATTCGCAGTTTAAAAAATAAAGTATGACAAGAAGTCTACAATGCTGCAAACCACGATGAGCGTTACTGTAGTTTCTTTGTAGATATGTTCCCCTATCTAACACAAGGATGAGACTGAAGTTGAGAGTAGGGTCCCAGGTGGGGAGAATATTGCAGAATACAAATAAATAGAAGGATTTTTTAAGTAAAAGATCAGTTGTGTAACTTAACTACTATAAAAATTTAGAGAAACGTCTGTTATCAAGATGAAACTTACGACAATTGATAGGTCAATGAAAAGGTTGCAACTTGATGTACTGCAAGATGCTCTGTTGATGCGTTGCTGCCTAATTTACGCATATTGCTTTAATTACATACCTAATGAAGATATCGATCAGTGTGCTTGTTATTCTTGCGATGATACAAAACAGCAACCCTCTGTAGGTGCCAGAACTTGCCTGCTTATTAAGAGTTTTCACTTTTTCAAAATAGCTTGATTTCTAAAGCATTTATATTTCGTCTATTCAATAAAGGTTTATTTCTAAAATATAATTTAGCACTTACAGTTCATAGATTGCAAAATTTTGGGAGGGTTCCAAAAGAAATTGCTTTATTTGTATTTAGTTTGTTTATCATGTTGAGCTCATAGCAAGGTTCAAATTTCACTCCCAACATCACAAACCCCATTCCAAGTATTCCTTAGCCCAGATCTGTTTTAATTTACAAGAGTCATTGAAATTTGTTAACTCTATGAGAATTTTTAAGGGATTTTGCATCATAAAGCGTATTTTAGTTGATGATCGATCAGACCAAAATGGGTGGATCAAGCACCCAAACGGTTTCGTATTTTGTTTTGACGCGATCATAATTTTTTGGAACAACATTGGGACTCACGAGACAGATAGAAGGTGGAATTCTTGCAAACGTTGGGGCCAAAATATAATCCTACAAAAAGTAGGGTTTAAAAATAACTTGATGAAGATAATGGCATCCGATCAGTCTCAATTTCGAAAGTCTTGTTTACAAACCTGATTATGATCTCGCTGCCATTGTCACGGCATTTTGGCTCGACCAATCATCAACAAAAATACACTTAAAAACCAATTCTATTTTCAGCCTCCTCCTCCCTCCAGTCAAGTTTTATAGCAGCACCATTCTTCAATTGAACTGCATTTTGCAATAAGGAACTACTGCTGGCTCATTTTAGGAACAACGCCCAGTTTCCTTGTTTGAATGGGTGATTTTATGGATAAGCCACAAATAGTAATTCTTTACTACAAAATGTAGTCCAGTTATCAACAAATAACATCAATCTAAGAAAGGGGTAAAGGAAAAAATCTGATATCCCTTGATCACTTTCAGCTGATCAGTGCAATTTAATTTCAATTATATTTAAAACACAAATTTTTACAGGCGGTTGTTCTGGAAGGCAAATACTGGAAACGTAAGTTGAATGCTGTCACTGCTGAGTACAAAAAATGGCGCATGTTCTTCCGAAACCAGGCTCTTGGAGCCGCAAAAGATGGCCAAGATGCGGTATGTAGCATTTATTATCATCTTATATCAATCCAAGTGATGTGCTCCTCTGCGCTCCTGAAAAGCAACCTAAAAAGTCTGTCATGAGACACTCATTATGCCTGTCTTTTTTTATCTACAAGTAAGAAGTCAGTATTTCGAGTTTTGCAGGCAGGCTTGTGAAAAGTTTCTTTGTATGCCATAATCATAGTTCCTTAGTAACAGGCATTTGAACTTCAATACCTTGCCACTTAATGGTTCTCTGTTGAAAACCATGGAAAATACTTAAAGTATATTCTCATCATTGTAAGATGTATTGGAAGCACATCCTGCTATGTTGTTGCAAACGTTTTACCACAAGACAAAGAGAGCTTGCAAAAAAAAAAGAAGAAAAATAGTGAAATGTTAAGACTGTAAACTATCATTACTGAAGATCTTTGGGACACAAGTACTATCTGCACCTTATATGATTAGCTACCAGATGGATATAAAAGTAACGTTCTGCATAATGGAAGTATATTGCTGTAAAGACTGGACACCATGACCGTTCTGACTTGAAGCGAGTGACAAATACTCGCGCACCGTGTCTGATTTTGAAGATATCAGTTTTGTAAAGAACAAAAATTGAATTGAATTCAAACTTTGATTGTCCTAGAAGGTTGAAGGTTCCTGGTGGCACTCCACCTCCTAAACGGTTGAAATTTTACTCACAATATATACTTTTTTCCTACAAATGTATTGGGCCCCTTACTATTATTAATTTTTAGTTTTGTTATTCAAAAAGTTAGTCATCTCTCTCATCTTGCAGCTAGTTTAAAAAAAGTAGTATGCACAGTGAGCTCTCAGCAATTTTTCCAGAAACATAGCCACTCAAAATTTGAAATTTACTCACAATGTCGCAGTATTGCCATGATTTTCCACGATTTAAACTTTAATATAATGTTTTAAGTTTATAAAATACGTAAGGTTTAAAAATGGATTCTTAGACTCCCTTTCTCCCCACATAACACACTCACAACACATGCCCACACCTCCTTAAATCATTATGCAATGCATAGTTCTATCCATCCCCCTCAATGACACTTTGTGATGAATATTGAAAGAAAAATTGCCACCTTGTGTTGATCACTTGTAAATCTTAAAAAAATTAGCACTACTTTCTTATTTTAACGTTCTGTAACACAACTCTGAATTCCCTCCCCCCTTACACATAATGCAAGCTCAGAACTCTCCTAAAGTTTTCCCCCCTTAAGCATAATGCAGACTCGGATCTCTCCTAATGCTTTATGTATTTTATGAATGGCTCCTTATGTAGAAATAGGGAATTCACAGGTGTCTGAAATTTGATGAATTTCTTGTCTTCGTAGAAACTGCTGAGTGAACTGAACACGAGGATATCCTTGGTTCATGAATTGAACAATTATTGGAGAAGATATGGCATAATGATCAAATCTGCTAAGATACGTGTGTTGTGTTAAAATGGGAAATGCCACCAGATGACATCATTAGGTGGTGAATTTTCTCACTTTAAACTCTACTTTTATCCTATTTCCCATATCAGAAAAAAATTATAATAAATAAGTACTGTGAAATCAGCTCTTTAAGCACTTTCAGATGAAACAATAAAAAATTTGCATGCAAATTCTCTATTGATATCAAGCTGAAAACCATATTTCCGCTAATCTGTTATTTTTCCCCCTAAAATATAGCTGGCAGAGGCCATAGAATGGAAGACTCATAGTTTTGATAATGGAATGATGATAGATGAAGATTACATGGAATTTATGAGTGACACTCTGTTTTCTTCATTATCAGCCAATCAACCATTTGCATTTCCAGACACTCGTGAAATCGGTAAGTTAGTCAGCTATTTGTCTGCAGCTGAAGATCGTTTGTATTTGAGGATGTTAACTGCTATCATCTGTATCTCATTTCTGGAAATCTCTCTCCTTTTTGCCCTGAGTATCAATTGAAAATGCCCTATTTGCATAACACTTCAGATTTAGCTGAAATTGCTTCAACGCTTGGTAAATTAAGTCTCCTTTTCATTTCGTTTATCTGAATAATCCCCGCTTTAACTGCTCCAGCAGTTTCAGGCCAATTTCTGATAGTTGAAGGTGCATTGAAAAAATATGAATATTTGATCAATGCTATTTTTAGTGATATTTTGAGTGATGAATTTATAACTGAAAGTAGTCTAGAAACTTCAGTCATGAAGATTAGCAACTCTTTTAACACTCAAAAGATGACTTTTAATTTCTCCAGATTACTTAAATTACTTTATAACTGTCTGTCCTCTTTTTTAATCACAGCTCGAAGCACAAACCTAGCGGATTTCATTCAGCCCAGTCTTGTTCAGCTTCAGCCCAACCTAGATGATTTCATGGATACGTTAGATCCACCAGGTATAGAAATTAAATTTGTCCCTTTATGAATTTTAATGGAAGTATATACTATTATCATTCAAATAATTGAATGAAACAAATACAAGAAAATAGGTTAAGAAGGCTGAAAATATGATAAAAATGTTTCAGAGAACAAAAATACATTTAAAAAATCATGATAAGTGTGAATCCCTTGATGGTGGTGGTAGATGATAATCTACGTTTTTTATTATTTTTTCTTTGTTCACTTTTTTATCCTTTCCTTTCCCGGTTGATAAGGGGTTTAAAACAACGTCAAAGAGTACCAGACACATTGATTTGTATTTTTAGCCATTTTTACTTATTTTCTTAAATTTGTTTGTTTTTTGCTCATAGTTAATTAGCTTATTTATTTTAATTTATATTATAGCGATATTTTTGATCTGTTAGCTTTCAAGGTTGACAGCATTGGCAATTTTTAGGTATTAATCGTTTAATTAAACTGCTGCCAATTTAATGTTCAGCATGGCTTATGAGCTCCTGAACTTTATCTTGTTTTGAATGGCACATTACAAATTTGCCTCTACATTTTGACTTGCAAAAATTGCAATAGTCCCAAAAACTGTAAGCTATGAAGGAATCATCATGAAAATATCTGTAGTGCCTTGTAGTGAGACATTTACCAGCTCAAAAGTTTTTACTCAAGGAATGTATTTAATTATTTTTTTCTTTCAATTGACATTAAAGTAACGAAAAATAGTGCTCTCCAAAGCTTTGAAGGTTGATGTTGGGAAAAAGGAGGATTGAATGGAATGATATTGAATTGCAATCAATTTTTGAAACAATCGTTCATCAATTTGAACTGTCTCTCCAGCTTTCTCCTGCTTTCTCATTGAATGGGTCTGTTGCAAGCAAGAGATCTAGCCAACTGAAGACACATTTCAAATGTAAATTCACTCCAAAATCATGTTGAGCACATCAAAAAAGTCTGAAATCCATTCCTTAGTGTGCAATCTGTGTAGTTTGTAAGACTCTTTTAATTTATCGCGTATACAGGTAGTTTTTTTTGGTGGCTGGCAGTCAGGTTTGCCTAGAGAGAAACCTAACCCTAATAAACAAACAATCTCGGGAACCTATTAATAAACTCTCCTTGTCTAAGATTTCAATCAATTCGAAGCTTTTGTTTCTGCAAAATAAAGAAAGAAAGCGAAAACCAAAGCTTGAAAACAAAAATGAAATCATGCAATAGAAAAAGTTAGTTTATCGTTTGTTTTCTTGGAGTAGTTCTTTTTTACTCCTCTGCCTGTTTAAACCTGGTCAGCGGTGACTGAGAAGAACTGCCCGCAGACGCAGAAAACTTGAAAAAGAGTGTCACAAACTACGCGGGTAGCGCACTAAGGAGGAAATTTCAGACTTTTTTGATGTGCCCAACGTGATTTCTGAGCAAATTTACCCTTAGAAAATGTAGAGTACCTGTATAGGGAGAGTACCAACAGATCGGTTCATGGAGGGCCTAGGGCCCAAAAGTGCAGCCACCCTTCTAACTAACTTCTAATGCACAAAATTTCACTGCCAGTCTGCAGATTCCAATTCTAAACAAGATGGCCAAGAATGTACAGAAATGAGCGTTCTTCCGCGAAATTGAGTAAATTTATGAAAAAACTGAATCAAACACGTGCTTAATAAAGGACGGTTCGTAACAATAGTATCAGTAAATCGCTCTGGATAATTGAAATTCATAGGTTGGCTGCCCTTTTGGGCCCTAACTTTATTCGCGGAGGCATCGGTGAAGGCCTGATGGACTTTCGGAGTTTCAAATCTGTCGGTACTCTCCCTATACAGGTACTCTAAGAAAATGTATTCAGTTGGCTGTATCTCTTGCGTGCAACAGACCCAGTACACAGAAATTTTTATAAATTTCTAACTCAAAACATCGTACTTTCCGAGTAAAATTTTTATGTAACACATTCTAGAGTTATTATAGTGATAAAACTTTTGAGTGTATTTTTTCCTGTCATTTTTCCTAGTTTTACGGTATCTTGTTTCAGATTTTTTTTACTCCAAATTACCTCCAGTACCTGAAGAATGTGCCACCAACGGAAGTTCTGACGAAGCATTCAAAGTTGAAAGCAGCTTTCATGTTCCATCTGCCAACACATTGCCTCAGCAGCTAAGTCATCAGTCCGATCAGTTATCGTCATCTTATTCAAGTGTGAAGCACAGGGACAGAATGAATTTGAGCGATCAACAGGTGAGACCCTACCATTTCTCACAGCAGACGCAGCAAAGCAGTCAGTTCATGTACAACGCTTATCAAAATCAGTATCAGCAACAGCAAGAACAATATCAACAGTTACAACAGTCTCAGCAGCTTCATCATCAGCATCACCATCAGCCAACGCAACAACAGCCTGTGCAAACGCAACATCATCATCAGCAACAACAACAGCAGCAGCAACAACAACAACAGCAACAGCAGCAGCAGCAGCAACAACAACCAACACAACAGCAGCAGCAACAACAACAACAGCAGCAGCAGCATCAACAACAGCACTCAACAGCAGCTCACCATCAGCTCCAACATGCACATCATCAACAAACTATGCAGCAGTCTCTTGGTTTAAGCAGTAATGTTCAAAATTATCAAGCAGCAAGCGGCACTCAGTCGTATCAGATTCCGAACTTGAACACGCAGTCATATCAACAGTCTGTCTCAGCATCGCGAGCTACAAGTGACTATTCCAGTCTGGAATACATGGACATCCATCAATTAGCGTACAATAATCAAACGAACAACTCTAGCGAATCATATTCTAGTCCATCGACAGAATTCAAAGTGCCATCATCCCCTTCATCTGCTTTCAACATGCACCACAATCCGAGGCCAACACTTCGATCAAACAGTCTCCCACTTATGAATAACAGCCCATCTATGCTGCCTTCAACGGATGATCCAACCCCAATGCAAGGCGCAAAGGTATGTATCAGACGTTGTATTCTTTCTTTTTCAGACTGGAAAGAAAAAACCCAAGTTTTTGAGGGGATAAATCATACAACTATATGTGTTTTCTACCTTTTTATCCGTTACAAGCTGAACGATCACTCGAACTTATCCCTACAGAAATGAAAAGTTTATTTTTTATTTATCATATTAAAATGTTGTCGTTCTGCTAATAATCGAAAATTAAATGAAGGAAAAAACCAAGGAAGTGAAGCAGCTCAACTTGTTTGAGTCAAAACTGAGTTTTTCTTATTATTCAAACATACGGTCATATCTGGTTATAATGTTTTTGGCTTTCCTTTGCTGACTCAACAGGCTAGTTACTCTATAATATGTTTTTTTCTTTCTTTCTTTTTTTTGTGCCAGACAGTAAAATTTGAATGCTTGTTTTAGAAAAAGTTTAGTGCAGAAGTTTTCATAGTAGTTTCTTATGGGCGTTTGACTGAGACTTAAAAAAACAAATAATGTATCCACAAAAATGTTATGTTGGGAAACGTTTTAACATGATACAACTGCAATTAAAATACGCAGGGGCTTTATCATTTGAAAAGAAAACATATATAATCATATCCAGCCGTCAGTCTTGTGAAAGTTTTCACTGTAACTATTCAAATATTTTGGCGATAACAAAGCGAAATTGTTGAAAAGAAAAATGACTCCTATTCATTTGGAAGTCTAAATTTCAAATGTGAAATTCTGCCCTTGAAGCACTTTAGGAGTGCAGGGGGTAAGCAAGGATGAAACATTTTTGTCCATACTGTTGAGACTCTCGAAATTGAACATTCTCTGGTGGTCTTTTCAATTTCAGTTGAAGCACCGAGTCCGATCAAGGAACAATCCAGGAGCATTATCAAGTGGAAGGAAAACCTCAGTTCCAATGCAATCGACAAGCAGTGATGCAACTTCACCAAGTGCCCTTCTCACCCAGTTACTGACGTCAAGTAAGTTTTCTCCTTTTATTATCCGAGGTACGGTTCCAGGTCGCTGAGCGATAATGTGTCCGTTGCGCCAGTCACAGAATCATTTTTTATGATTCAAGCTCATACATCAGCAAAAAAAATTAAGATCTGTTCAAACGCCAAGTTTCTACATCCGATGTCAACATGACTTTGCCCTTCAAAAAACATGGCGTTCAAAGTCATCCACCACATTAATGCATACCACGGTTTTTCCCCATTATAGAACCGTTAATCAGTGATTATTTCATTTGTAGCGGTTGCTCAACGTAAAACATGGATGGAACCAAGGTTGAGGGAACCAGGGTTTGCGCAACTGCGATGGATAATGTCATCCACCATGTTTTTCAATTAGCGATATCTCTGTCAGTATTGGACATTGAAATTTGGTGTTTGGACAGATCTCTTTATTTTTTACTAATCTATAAAGATCATCAACAAAATGTAAATTTGTGAATAGTACAACTGGCTCATCAAATAAAACAAATTTGGATTATTTTTTTGTGAAAGATAATAACCTCATAGTATTAAATGCTTATCGTTAGCTCTTTGAAAGAAAATGAAATGGCAAACAGCTTTTCCTTCTTTAAGCGAAATGCATATTTTATTGTGGAAAGATAGATGGCGGAGCGATTTTTTTAAATTTTTTTAAACAGTTCTCTACCCAGTCAAAGATTAATCAACTCGGCTAGAAATATATGATACTTGTCCATTTCTCTGTACCAATTCAATTTCCTTATATCATTGATCATTGCTCTTGTTTTTCATCCTCAGATGCTGGAGGTGTACAAGCAAGCTATTCACCTTCATTGACAACACAAGCCAGCACAGATAGCAGTAAACCCTCTTTCTTTGGATTTGATTCTCAAGTGCCATTTGCGTATCCGCCCTCCCATTTACCTCCTGTCAAACGATCCAGGACTCCTGATCATGTATTAACATCCTACACGGATCAGTACGTTTATAAGACGACATCGCCTCCTGTAAATACTAAGTCTCGATCTGTTCTTCTTTCTAGTCAAAGGTATTCAACTCAATTTACCTCTCTCCTCTCCCTATATATTACCGTGTCTGCCAAATATTAGTTTAAAGTTTTATACCAAGAGCAATACACAAAAGAGCCTGAATAATTCATCGAAGACAAACACAAGAGAATTAGTGAAAACGGCTATAGAAAATGCCTGGGACGTTTTAAGGGTGGTCTCAAACCCTTTATCAATCAGGAAACAAAATCAAAACCCTCCCAATTCCCAATTGTAATATCAGATGATGGGAGAGGTTAGTATCAGACTTTGCCTCTTCTCATTTGTCATCACAAATTATGCTAAAAAACCACTATTAAAGGGCATTTCAAGGTCCTTTTGGAGTTCAGAATCAAGCTTCTCATTGATAAAGAGGAACCTGCTAAGAATCGATGGGAAATTTTGCAAGGAGCATAATTGATACCTTGATATTGTTGTTTATTCCCTTTTTTTCAGAATTATTTGCATAAACTGATTTTTGGAGCCATTTGTACCCTTCTCTCTGACAAAAGTGAGCTTACCCGTAAATCTCAGGGACCTGTTTTTGGGTCATCAAGGGCCCAACTGAGTCCAAAGAAACAAAAATTGACTGTCTCGCTTTTTTTTAAAAAAAAATTTCCAATTGTGCTGAGACAACAATTGCACATCATCATCTTCCAGTCAAAGTATCAAAAGTGACGTCTTGCCAAACTTCTTAAAAACTTGTATAATTTTATGGTAAAAACAAATGAACAGAATCGCTTGAAAATTCTACCTATAATTTTTTTTTTTCATCACAATTTATTCATGGATTTTTCATGAAAGTATGTGCAGAAGTTTTAATGAAGAAATCAAAACAATATCAAGATGTCCGGCAACTTAGTGTCTAAGTGTGTATTGTGCTTGTGACTTTTTGGCTGGAAGGTAACAACATCCAGCCACATATAACATATGAAAAAATAATTTAACATTACAATTACATGTACTTTTTTCTGCTTTCAGTGAGAGCTCTTTATACAGCCTAACCAACAAAAGTACTGAGTCGCAGCGACTTTTCAATGTGTTTGGATTGGCAAACAGTGCAGCCTCCAGTTGCGGACAGCCAAAAATACAAGGCCGACGCTTTTCAACCAATGAGAATCCTTATGCCCGTCGAGATAAATCTCAAACTATGACCAGTAGTGGCAGATTAAGTAGTTATGGAGAAATGTCTAAACCTCACCCATTTATACATGGACTCCCGCATCAAAGCACAAGTTTAAACTCAATGGTACGACAAACTTTCCAGTATTTCATTCTAATACCGTTTACTACATCAGTACTAGTTTAGATAATGTTGTATGGTGTCAACCATCAGTTTAATTTTGACAGAGTCTGTGTCAACTAAGTTTATGCACTTATAGACTCCGACAGAAGATCCACCATCTTGCTTCTTGCATTTACTTCCCATGCGAAAGTGACATTGGACGATCTTCTGTCGCAGACTGAAAGTGTGTAAACTTATTTGACGTGGGTTCTTCAATGTTACTGTATAGAAACTAAAAATATGAAAAATAAGTTTTAATAATTTGAGTAGTAACTAATTTCATTGTGTTTTGGTTTTCTTGATCAAGTGTCCTTGTAAACATCTATTCCTTTCTTTTTTGCCTGATGATTTTGAAGAACTTGTACTAAAATTTTCCAGTCATAACTCAGTTGAGAAATTAACGTTTTCTGTGCTGATACATTCAAACTTCCTGCTCACCAAAAAACCGTCATCTGCTTGCGTCAAATTGGGCACTGAAATACTTTCAGTGCTTCTCACAAAAAAGTAATAAGTGTAGCGCACTGAATCGTTCTCAACAAGTTTACTAGTGATGAAGTTTGAAGGATTTCCCATTTAATTGTTGCTTGTTTTGAGTTTAAATTTTGAAATGTTCCATGCTAATTTCTATTATTTTACTATAACCTCTCTTCTGTTTCAAGGCTACTAGCATGCTAGGAAGTGCATCTAGCAGTCCGAAGTATCCTGATTCACCAGGCACAAGCGAGAGTCTTAGCTTATCACCACTGAATGTTGGAAGCCCATCTAGAGCTCCTGTCTCTCCTCCATCAAAACCCTCAACATCTGCCTCGCCTTATAAGGTAATCTGCTCTGCCTTATCATTCACCTTTGTTTGACAGCTTATCAGTGAGATCTTTGCACCATCGTCCTCTTCAATTATCTCAATTTTCCTCTTCTTTATGGTCTCTCGGCAAAAGGAAATACCAATAATGAACAGCATCAAGCAAAAGAAGGCTCTGTCCACTCTGCCAAAAGCCCCCAATGGTTCAAGAAGACAGCATTTTCAAAACTAACGTTGAAAGGTGGAAGAAATTTTTTCGTTGAACTCAGTCCGAGACACCCTGGTAAGAAGCCTATCAAAACCATTAAGCACATTTATCGCCATGCGGGTCAATTGACGGACTGTTAACAAACCAAGAAATTCAGGGTCGGCTAAATTTTTGTATTGTTTTATATGATGTTCTTTATGACTTTCAAAGCAGGATTGGATTTTAAAAGCCAAGTTTCTAATGTTTAATCAGTGAAAATCAATTCAATTAATTAAAATTGTGTTAAACCAGTGCGGGGTGATGAGATAGACTGCTTCTAAAAAAAGACACTGCATATTCTGTGCAGCAGCAATGCCACGACAGACGTCTCACAAAAAATGTGAATTGAAAATGCAGAAGAAAGTCGCCTTCCAACCCTGTTTTTCTTGAAATTGGCACATAAAACGTTGGATTTGAAAAGTCAATCCTGCTCAAGAGATTGTGAAGGATATTGGATAAAATGACAACAAAATTCATCTTGCATTGAATCCCTTGGTTTTCCGCGCAGGGTCCCTCAGATGGTCATGCGAGACTTCACAAACCAGTAGCAATAGTTTGATGTATTCCTGGGTGATAGTATCACCATGTGTGAGTCAGCCAGTAAACTGAATTAGAAATACTCGGCATGAGTCCAGCAGATACTTGCAGATGACAATTCTGGTATAGTTTTTGCCAGCAGCCATTTTAGTGCCAGTATTCTAAAGACGCTAATAAAAGCTCTAGATGATGAAAACTGTGAGAAGTTAAAATCTTTAAATTTATCCGTCTAAATTCTCTCTATGAAAATATACTTTTGCAGACATGGGATCGTCAACCCATGCGCTCCTTTGAACAAGGTTACCACAGTCAGGGAAATGTCAGGGAACTTAAAAAAACCTGGATATGTTTGGGAAAATGAGAAAGTGTCCGGAAAAAATTGTTGAGTCACCTTTTAGAATGGGTCAAACATACACTTTTGCTTGAAATCTATTTCAAATTACGTATTTTTTTTAACCATCTGACTTATCTTTAATTGTCAGGGAATTTTACCAAAGTGTGTCAGGAAAATCAGGAAAATTGATTTTCTAAATTCTGTGACAACCCTGTTTAAAACGTGAGTTCTTTAAGAATGTCATCTATACCATCATGAAAGTCATTATGCTTTAAAGGAGTTTCATTTTACTGTATTCTGAAACACCACCCGTTGAGTTTTAACACGAGTAAAGACAGATTTTGCAGCCTTCTTTGTCAGCCTCATACTGTGTCATCAGCGGTAGGGTTGATTCATGATTAAACTAACGGACAATTCCTTGAACTGGTCAATAGCTTAAACCCTAGGTCTGTTGTAGGAGCATCGGAGAGTGTGTCACATCAATGCGGAACAGAAGCGGCGTTGCAACATAAAGAATGGCTTCGACACCCTCCATTCGCTAATACCTCATCTGAATCATAGTTCTAGTTCTAAGGTAAGCTGTAACTTAGAATACACAAGCTTATCGATTGATCTTGCTATTGTACAATATTTTAAATTATTTTGCCTGTGCTTAAAGAAATCATTACATAATTCGTTTCTTTTGGATATTTATATCAAGTCAAAAAACTTGGAAAGATAATTCGGCTAAATTTTTTTGTTCATCCATGTTTTACAAAAACCAGTCCCAGTTTTTCAAAAAAACAATTTAATTGTGTTATAGTTATCAGGGTAACACCAGAAGCAAAGAAGTGTGATGGCTCTGTTGCATGCAAAAAGTACAGCTAAGGGAAGAGACTTTCGTAATGTGAAATCGCACCTATTTTGCTTCTTTTTTAATCTTAAGTAGATTATTGTTATAATTTTTTTTTTTTTTTTTTTTTTTTTTTTTTTTTTTTACTAGGAATGTGTTATATTCTAGCTTAGTAAATTTTGATTAATACAAATTATCTTAATTTAATGTATTGTTTTTTTTTTAAAACAGATGAGTAAAGCTGCAATGCTACAAAAAGGAGCTGATTATATTCGGCAGTTGCGGGCTGAAAGGAGTCAAATCGAAGAGGACATGGAAAATTTACGGCAGCAGGTGGAATCACTTAACTCTGCGATAAGGTAAATATCAATCAAATCTACCTCTCTATTTTTTCCTTTTTTTAAAACACATTGCCTGCCGCACATGGTACCTTTAACCTTGTCCAAAAAAGTCACCATTGATGAAAATTTTTTCACCGCTAAACTAGAAAAAGTAGTTAAGTGGTCAATTTGACTAGAAAAGAAATTGTTGGCCAGGAAAGGGAAGGTGCAAACTGACATAAAAAGAGAATGTCATCTTCTTACTTATGGAACGGATTTAGAAAGTTTTAGTGCATCCATTGTATTTGATGTAAAATTTTTTAACAATTGTGCTGCTTAATTTCGCTCTTTGTCTAGTAGTCCACAGTGGCAATTTTGCGAGTTCGCAACATGTTTTTCCTCCATTTAAATTCATTGAAAATATCAATTTTAGGCAAGAGAAGCTGTCTCACCGAGAATCAATCGTTTTACATACATTTAGATGAAAGAATTACAGTGTTGCCAACTTTTAAGAATCGCCACTAGTGGTCCGCTGGGCGGTTTTCAATAGAATCCGGCCAACCACTTTTTTTTAAAAAAAATTCTTTAAACAAGGCTACAAACAAACGAAGTACCAAATTAAATAAAATGAGAATTGCTGATTGCAACAAATACGAACTTCCCTCACTTATTTCTCCAACTGTATGTTGTTTCCGAGAGTTCGCCACCCTCCACTTTCAGCGATGATAACCGGGGTTTTAACCGCTAAAAAGGGGAGGGCGGCAAACCCCTCAAAACAATGTACAGTTGAAGGAATGGGTAAAAAAAATTCGAGTTTTTTCAATTTAGCGATTCCCATTTTGTCTACTCTTCTTTTGCCTAATTTCCTGCAACGTTCAATTTTTTTAACCAAAAGTTACTATTATCTGAGCATTTCTCTCAGATTTTAAGGGAAAGACCCTTGCATTTGGAAGATGAAATCTCTTGTGGTGCTGTGCTGAGAAAAAACGCCATATGAACATTTGAGAGTTGCCACATTTCACTGGATAAAACGTGTATTTTTAAGGGAAGTTCTCATTTTTCCTTGAAAATTAATATACTCTAGATTAAATTGCGATCCCAACTATCTGAGGATTTGGAGAAAAATGTTCAACATTTTCCCAGTAAATTCTCTTTTTACTGAAGGAAATATGACAGCGTCTGAAAGCTCCTATGGCATGCTTCATTAGCACGCCCATGTGGTTCTCTATTAAAAAAAGAAGTTGTCCAAAATGCATTAGGATAACTGTGATTAAACCTGAGTTAATCTCTAAGTGCTTAAAGGTGATGTGTAGTTTGGGCTCCATCTTAAAATTTGATTTGAATTTGGGATAAAGAGGCTGAATTTGAAATAAGTTGTGTAAAAGTTTTACCTTAATGTAATTGATTTTCTGTAATAGCAACTGTCAGTCACTGCTGCCCGCGACAGGAGCGCCTATATCAAGACATAGAGCAACCAAAATGAAAGAAATGTTCGATGATTACGTTAGACGTAGAACACAAGAAGACTGGAAATTTTGGCTGGTATCCTTTTCAACACTCTCGTTTCATTGATTTTCTTTAATCTTTTTCCAGTTTTGTATAAGTTACTAGTTTAAGATTACGTAAAAGCCATGTACTGCATCAGGTTTTTGAAAGAACAATGGAAAAAAGTAAATTGCGGTCTCCTATTGGTTCTATCACTGCCAATGACATATTATGAGGGGCTTGAAGGCAATCAAGTTATGGAATAATTGGTGCAGAACAACTCAAGAAAGAAGAGCCAACTTTATTCCAGAAGCTTGTAAGTGCTTGCAAACTTGAATGAATTTAAATAACTCTAGCACTTTTCTCCTTTTTCCTTCAATACATCTCTGCCATTCGCAAGAAAAAAAAAGTGAATTAATTTCTTTGACCGATATTTTTTAAGCCAAAGGATATTGATTACCAATGTAGGAAACGACGTATCTCCATTGCGGTGTTCCAAAATGCCTGCCCCTATTTTATTTTTAAGGAGAAACAACCCAACTTTACATCTTGAAATTTACACATAATATATTCTGCTGACTTAGAAGCTAAATCAAGGAAGTTTTAAAGAAATTCCATTAACCAGTTCTCCACAGAAAAAATAAAGTATGACAGGAGGTCTGTAACGTTGCAATGGAAATACGTAATTTCGCAGTTTAGCCATCAATATGCTATGATTGAATTCTTAATTTCTCCTCCTGAATCATAATTTTTTATTTTCTTTACTTTTTTTCCTTAACTCTTAATTCATTCTCAGTTAAGTCTGATATGTGAACCTCTCCTGACTTCTTTCAATACTGTGGTGTCAACGGCCAGCGTTGACGAGTTATGTCGCACAACTTTACAATGGATTGAACAGCATTGCTCTCTCGTTCACCTCAGACCCAGTGAGTCCACTCTCTGATACTGCTCTGTGTTGAGGAATATCCTCTTAAAAAATTGCATTATTTGAAATAAGAAAGTAGGATCCTTCCAACAAAGAAAGTAATGCATTCTGTTTATGTAGCAAGAAATTTCCATATCGAATGGGATTCTTCATTCGTAGAGAAATATTTTTTTACTCTCTTGTATTTGTATCATTATTTCTCTAAATTTTCCAATTTTCCTCGATTGTAGAAGACTCTTCAAACTCATGCATTAGGTCTATTGTCTATTTTTTTTGCCTGTAACTTTAAATCTGCCCAGATTTTTCACCTAATTGATACAATATATGGATGCCAGTTGGACTAAAAGCAGACTCTATAAGAAATCACCTTAAGATGACAAAATGCGTTTGAATCAAATATTTTTATCAATAGGGCTGCCCGAGAACTAAAAATTTCTAATCGAGTTAAGCTGAGTCCCAATTATTCTACGTGAGTTAAACGTTCGGTAAAAGCAAGTACTCAAGTTGACTTGAATGACCTAAGTTTTTATAAGCTCCAAACTCTGTAATGAAACGAGGCTGTGCAGATAAACCAGATTTAAACTAGAAGACTAACAAGATCAGCTGTATCGAAAAAATCAATAAAATTAATGTAGAAAGAATCATTTGAATGGTGGCTTAATTTGTCTGTTAATTTTTCTCCGCAGTTGTTCCTGACGCATTGAGGAATCTTTGCACATCCACAGATGCATTAACCGAACCTAGTAGGTTACCCGAGCAAGCACGAGCTGCTGTGAACAAACGATGCAGTAAAAACTGACGATATACCTGATCTCCGTCCGGAAATTTCCTGATCAAGCCTCTCTTTAATTGGGTATTTGTTATTTATTATTTACCCTTCAACTTTTTTCTACAGCTTCACTCAATGTAAGTGTCTGGCTGGCCAATAAATTGATTGCCTTCATTTGAAATGTAGAATTTCTTAGTTTTCTGCCTCCAGAATTTCAGTACGAAGTTTTACGATTGTTACTCTTCCCCAAAGTATGTAATTTTTTTATTTTCTCTGTTGAGCATAGGTTGTTTTTTGCAGAAGCCTGACGACTCTTGTTTTTTCATAATGTCAAAAGTTTTATTCAATTGTATAAACTCTATTTTTTTCTATTTATCAAAGATTCATCGAAGCTCAATTTTGAAGTTTTGTTTTCAATAGTGTTATTTTGTTTTATACGCAGCATGTACCTTGTTTTATTTGCAGGGCACTGTTTATTTACTGTTCTGTTAATGAAGATTCTGTAATCGTTAGAAAGAATCATGAAATCATTTTTTAATTAATGTTGGCTTTGAGTGCACAGAATCTTATTTTATTAGTATCAAATATGTGCTGTTAATATCCCTCAAGTTACCTGGTTTGCTAAAGATAGTGGTAGGGAAAGTCTTGTTTCTGTTCAGAGTTTATTTTAAGTGATAGATAACTCTAAAATTTTAGATTTTTTTCAGTCAATTTATGTTTTTTGTTGCTGCTCTAGTATGTTTCAATGTGTGATAATGTTTCTCGCCACTTTCTTTCATCATATTCTCATACATTTACCACTTTACGGCGCGTGTACTCCCATTGTGCTGAAAAGCCCAGTTGTCTGTCGTTATAATTTATATCCCATAAATTGATATGGAAAAGATTATAAAGAAAATTCACTTATAGCTAACACCATGCCTGATCACAGACGTAAGCCGTTTTTGCTTTCTTGGATCATAGTCAAAGTCCAGAAAAGATCTTCATAAGAAATGTCGGCAGTTGGCATCGGCAGTTGACATTTTATTAGACTAATATTCCAGTGAAATCATTTTAGAAAGGGATTTTCTAGCCGAGAGATGCAGAAAGTTCTTTGTCCTCACATCTTTTTCTCTCATGCTTCACGATTTTTGTTGCATTAAAAAGCGCACTTAATTACTTTCTTTTCATAAAAGAGCTTATTAATCATTTCAGGGTTGCCACAATTAGGAAAAACAAAAAATGTCCAGGAATTTTTAAAAGTTAGAGAAAACTTGAAAGTTACCTTTATATGCTTTCTAGAATGGGTTTAACATTTCAAACAACAAATTTTGCCTGCAAACCATTTCAAATCTTGTCTTTTTAACCATCTGGTATATCTTCAGTTGCCAAGGAATTTTACCAAAATGTGTCAGGGATTTATTTTCTGAATTCTTTGGCAACCTGGACATTTCCTCTTCAAAAATGTAATGCGCTCAGCAGTTTCCTTCTAAAAAATTACCACGTTTGTGCCTTCTGCGTTTACATTATACTTTTCCCCCTTTTCAGGTGCCTTATCACTTTTTCTTCCGTTAGAGATACCTTCTCATCTCTGAGGCGACCGGTGGGTTGAGCACTTTCTGCACCCTTGCTTCAGCCCTCTTTACCAAACATTCATTCATTTTCTCTGAAATGACTTATTTACGCTCTTCAGTGTTTTAAACATACAGAATATTTGAGCCCAATAGCTTCCTGTGGCCGTAGGGTTTTTATCTTCTATTCTCTTTTTTTCCTCTGTGAGCCACATTTTGAGATCAAGCGCTCAATTGACATAAATACCCAACCAATATAATTTCAAACATTTTTATTACTAATCATGTTCATATTTGCTATTTTTTCATTATTCACTCATTTTGTGTAAGTAACATTGCTAATTTTATCAAGAGCAAGGAAGCTGAATCACGTTTAAAGTACTCTAGTGCTTTAAAGTATCTCATTGCAAATAAATTTCTCAAGTTGAAATAAAACTTATCAGTGATCGCACATCAAGAAGGAGAAAGTGGAAAAATCCAGTCTTGAATTCAAATTTTCTTGATCTCTCATTTGTAAATAACCTTTTATTAGGATTCTTTTTTAATTTGTTGTTGTTGTTTTATTTGATTGTTCGTTAGTCTTCATGGCTTTGATCCAAGCTGAACACATATGTCTCAGTTTATGATGCTCAATTTCATCCGGGTAGGAAGCACCTGTAAATATGAACTAATTACGTACAGTAATTTATTACCAAGACGCAGCTAATGCTATTGTACCAATAGTGTTGCGACTAATTGTGAAACATTCACTTCTTTTTTACGCATGAACTGTGTTTGATGTGTGTAAAAAAATATCTGGCTGGATCTGCAAAGGGATACTTAATTTTCCAGGAGAAAATTTTTGGTAACCTCTTGCAAATGCATATGAGGAAAAAATTCGGACATGCTAGCTCAAGTTTGACCCTTAAATCTGTATAATTGAAGGGAACATCAGTATTGAAGTTCCAAGACAAAAAATTTTAGGTTTTGGAAAAACATGGTATAAGTGTTTCCAAAAAGTTACGGAAAATTTTCTCTTCGGAGATCAGGTCACTTTTCACAGGTCCAGTCACACATAAAAACACATCATTTTGCTCATTTTATAAATTTAAACTATAAAATTATATAATTAAACGTGGAATTTATTTTTAAATGTATATTTCTGGTCAGCCATTCTGTCGTTTTGAGGAAAAAAGCTGTATGAGCGTTTGGACATTGCCAGATTTATGCTAATAGGAACAAAATTTGCATATGTGCCTGTATATTTTTTTTAAAACTTTCAAGAGAACTTCATTCACAATTTAATTTACCATAACTTAAAATGTTGAAGATAAATATTCATAACTACAGTAGAAATTGGATATTAAAGCATCGCTTCAAATGACACATTAGTCATAACAACAGGATCCGGTCAGTCCTGCGACTAAAAACCCAATGATTTTATGTATTTATGCATGAGTTATAATGGCGATCAGCTGGAATGACCAAATGAGGCCGATTCCTAGGAGATTGTTTCATCCTATTTCTACTGTTTTCTCGAAAAAACAACTTTCAAATGCACCATATTTTGCTATTTGGAACTACAATTCCCAGCTCAGTTCAGATACAACGTATGTGCTGTAGGTTTTCCTATGCATATAAGAGCTTTTACGAAGGAGCCAGAAATTTTATTTCGTAATTGCACAAGTAGTTCAAATGCTCATACAGTGTTCTGCCTTGCGGCAGCATAATTTCTCTATCCCCCCCCTTTTCTTGCCCAATGCTTTTACGAAGGCATGTAGCTATTGCAAGTAAATTTTACGCGTTTCTTTTTCGTGCTAGCTACTGAAGAAAATTAATTTCATGCTCATAACTCAGAGCTCATGTGATGTCAAACTTTTGACTAGAAAGTTGACAACTGATGAGCTGCGTCCTGTAAAGTCAATGATTCAAGCATTGTTCACACATTTGATAAGTCAAGGGAATTTCCTCAGGTTGCTATTTTAACAGTCATCGACGTATTCGTCCATGATCAACGAGCAAACAATCGTTGGATGAGTCAAATGAGGATTTTTTTTTTTTTTTTTTTTTTTTTTTTTTGTGTGTATTGAAATTTCTGTTTCATTTCTTGCCATTATTTCCATTGAATTTTTTTTTCAAATAACTGAAGTTTTACGGTTTTACACCTGCGTAGCAACTATTGACAGAAAGTGAAAGCTAAAAATTATTTCTGTTTTGTTTTAGAAGTAAGCCATAACTACCTCTGTTTTGTAATTTATAACAAAAATAATGAACAACTAGTGCCTTGAATGTTCACTTTATGGAAAAACCTTGAAAAATATTGATGAGCAGTCGCTCAGTAATGAAAGCTCTTGCAGAATTGAGCTTTTCAATGCTGCTTATAAGAAAAATATCAATTTTTTAATTGACATAAGCATGTTTGTGAAAGCTTTATTATTAATTATTGTCTTCCATTAATGGCAGTGAGAAAAATAATGTAAAAGTTATTCCAGATTTGAAATAAGTAAGTCTGTCTGACAATGAACATCCCCTTAATGCTTGCTAGCATACATATGCATATCTTATACAGTGTACGGAGAAAGGAGTATGTATTGAAGAATAATTATTACAATGGCAGCACTGAGGTGAATCTTCAGTCATCTTTGGGTGTAAAAAAAGTATCAAAATATAGAATTCATATGTTAAAATACTGGTTTTACTGCAGATTTTCGGCAAAAAGTAGATCCATGAATAAGGAAGTCGTATTTTTTCCTTGAATCTCTTAGAAATCTTGTCAAAAAACCTCTTGCAAAGCCAATATTATCATCCTCTGGAATTTACCGATCTATTTGATAAACTCAAGTGCCATAATTTGTTTAGTATAGTTACGGTTTTATGCAGGGTATTTCCAATATTTTTTTGCGGAAAATACGCCTCCAACTGAAGAGAATCTGTTTTCCCCCCCCTTCTTTCCAGGAATAAGATAGAAAACCAGTATTTTAGTAAAGTTTGTTCTATATTTTGGGGTTTTCCTCTCTTGTATTGAAGGTTTACTCAAAAGTCCTGTGTGAATTTGTAAATCTTACCAAAATACTTTTTTCCTCACCTTGCCATATTTAAAATATGTTGAGCTTTTAATCACAATACATATAATTTTTATACCTTTAAAAGTTCATACTTTCAAATTATGAATTTCTGCTGTCAGTAAATCGTGTGAAGGAATCAGTCACATTAAAAAATGGAGGGTATAAATTATTATTAAATTGGTTAAATGATGTGTGCTGCGTGTTTTTAATCTCTCACAGATTATCCTGATTAAAGTTATGCACTTGGTTCATTATCATTTATTTGAACTGGTCTTGGGAAATTTGATTTGAATCTATCAATAATGAGGGCTCTCTTATTGGTTTGCTTTTATCAGGGAAGTTTTGTCCACATTGAAAATATGTACATTGTTTTATTGGTTATCATGAGCTCATGTACAGAAATGTATCAATGGAAAAATTGTCTGTTTTGTTGATTTCTAGTTTAAGTTCTGTTAACTTACCTACTTTGTTATCAATGCAACAATTAACCCGAAAATGTACATTATTTTTTTACCTAACCTCTCTAAGTTGATCTTTCACGTAATTGGTCCGATCAGCTTTTTTTGAAGTATGCTACCTCTTTTGTAAAATTTATTTTGGTGTAAGTCTGTCTAAATAACCGTGCCTTTTGAAATACTCGTGGAATGTACAAAGTAATGTGATGCAAGGTCGATGTTGACTCTTGGTTCAGATGATGTTTTTGAAAGGTGACCAAAATTTTATTTTTCTTGTTTTTTTCATATTACTGTTCAAGTGATTAAATAATACAGCTTAGGTTTTGTAAGATTCATTGCATGGATCTATCTATGGTCTCTGAGAAACTTTCTAGTGTAAGATGTCCATTGTTTCGTATACAGCCTGAGACCACCATTGCATGAAACACTCAATTTCCATGGTCACAGGTTTGGTAAATATCTTGCATAGGTATTTTGTAACACTCATGAGCAAGTTTAGCAGTTCTTGGCAACATACACCGATTATCTAATCGTTTTTTTTTTTTTTTTCATCTTTACAGCGATGTTGGCATAATTTTAGGATTCAGTGAAACAGCACATTTTATTGGATGCGGGCCTTTCTTACTATGGATGCACAGGTTCAGTTGTTTTGCTTTTATTTGAGTGACCTGTACATCCACTGTGAGAGAAGTGTATTCTCCGAAAGAAAGTATCAACCTAGTGGTGGTTTTGTTGTATAGCACAGTGGCCAGTTCCTTTTTAAATCAAATTAATCATTAAAAAGAGCTTCTCCAAGATCGACTTTGCAATACAGCATTGGACTAAAATGACCGACTGTGCAACGCGACCCTCCTCATCCCACGCACACCTCACCTCAACCTTCGAAAGCTTTCCGTTGCAATGCGGCTGAGCCGATTATGCTCAAATTAAATACTAGACCAGTCCTATGTAAGAAGTTTCTCCGCTAGAAAATTTAGAGGAAAATCCTTAAATTTATGTGAGTTCCTGCATTGAAAAAATTGGGCCTCTTCCCTCTCCCTGTCCAAATTATAAGGGAACTTGATCTTCGGTTTTTCTTAAAGCATACATTGTCCTACTCTTGTACTTTGCATTACAAAGAGTTTCACCTGGACCTATATTGCACTAATAGAGAAAAGTTAAAAATACATACATGTATTTATTTATCCACATGACAGGAATATGAATCCATATGACAGGCATAATTTCTACCTTAAACTCATGATTAAAGCTCATTGCATGGTCTTTGGTCCAGGTCTGACGTAAGTAAAGAACTTAACGGCGTAATGCTTTCGGAAAGTACTCTCAAACTGAAACTAATTATGGAAATGAAAGGTTTAACTACCTATCTGATCAAATTGTTTTTTCATTAAAATGAGATCAGTCTTTTTAAGAGAACCAAATGAAAAAGAACTGCAATTGCTAAAAGAAATGATGTAATTAATTCTAAAAATTATGTTATATAAATCTATTCAGATCTACCAGCTAGTATTCAATGTTTTAATTGCATAACCAGAAATCTTTTAAGGTGGAAACTTCAGCAAGTAATTTTAAGGATCCAGTGTTTCATGCAAAGATTTAGAATTATTCATGCAAAACTTGTTTGTTATTTTACACATAGAATAAAAGTTTCAGAGCTTACCTAATCTATCTGTTTTTCTTACTTGTTCCCCCAAGATTTTTTTTGAGAAATTGTTTTAGCTGCAGAATTACAAATACTTTCCAGTCTAATTTTATGAATGCCAATTGATTTTCTCTTAAAGTTATTTGTTTTGTGCTCGCAGTTAGTCTTTGGTGCCCTGATTTCATTCTAAAATTGAACTTTTTACTTTGGCAAGTATCTGGCTCAGCTCTGTCCTTTTTTTTTCGATTTTAGACATGAAAAAAAAATTTCTAGATGGTTTCATTAACTGCGAATATGCTGATTGTGGAAATCAGTCGACTTGTGGGGCGTTCTGGACCAGAAATGCGGACTTAAATTCATTTCCTAGGAGCCTCTCTCGAGTTTACCTCAATAAGAGGACTTCCTATAAGACCCTGAAATTTTAGTCCATGTATCGCCTCATTCAAAATGGATTGGTTTTCTTTTTTTTCATATTTTCCTAAAAAATGTTCAATTTTTTATTACGAACATGCTCAATGAAATTGAAGAAGGGATAAGAAGTGAAAATGAGATATTTCAAACAGTTTACGTGCATTACACAATTAAAAATCATTTATTTTTGCTTAGGTCAAACAATTCTCTAAAAAAAAAGAAAATTACTCATTAAAATTAAAATAACACAATCAATAAGAACGTGTATGTCATCGTTTGATTTGTTCAGATGATGCTGCAAAATAGAGTGAACTTTTTTCAGTGACCAAACAACGGCAAGTTAAGAGAACTTGTTATTGGGTTGCAAAATTCGAAGGACGCCCAAATTGCATATTCCTAATCATGAAGTAAGAAAAAGAAATGAACAGCAAATTTTACAGTAAGTCACAGATTTAGTTTCAATGTCCCAGGATTCAATAACAAAATATCTGAAACATAACTGGCATGGTAATTTATTTTCGTTGCTTTAAATTGGATTGCATGATGATTGGTCACAAAACAATGTTCACAAAGTTGTCATCTAGAAGTAATTATTGGGGCATAAATTAATACTTCAGGCTGAACGGTGAGGTTAATATACGAAAAGGGGTGCGAAAACAGTGAAGGTTCAGTTCAGATAATAAAATTAAATAAATTATAAAAATACACACAGAAATTATATAAACAAATAAAACTAATATTAGTGAATAAAAAGTGTAAATATCACAGAAAAATGGTGTCAGAGTATATCATACTGGTCAGAAATGAATTGCTTATCAGTAAATTATTACTTGGATATCTTTAGGAACACTTGATAGTTTTCATTTGAGAAATCAGTCATAAGTTTATAAGATTGAGACTCGAGAAGATAGGTTAACTTTTTCCATACAATTCTGTCCTGTTTGTTGCAAGCAATACTGAGAGCAGTAATGTCGATCTTCGGCCAAGGTAGAGTTCTCAAAACCTATTTCAAATAGATACAACATAATTAATACACACAAAAAATAGTGCTGCTGATTAACCAGCAGCCATAGTGCCTGTTTCCACAAAAAAAAAAAAAAAATGGATAGTTAGACTTACTACATTTTGCAACTGTAACTTCTTTCTCATTTAAGAAACAACATACGTGACATCCCAAGCAGATAGGTGTTTTTATGTATGAGCCAGAAATTGAAAATCCGTATTGCAAAATATCCAATTCATGTGTGCCACAACTGGACGACCACTTGGTTATATTATTTCTCTTCAACTTGTCCTGATACTGGGAGACAGTGTTTTTAGTCAGAAAATTTTAGATCGTTAGATGTACAACAAAAAAATTATACGGATGTTTTGACTTCCTATGTTTTGTATTCATAAAACATGAGAAAGTGGTCGTTGGATGTCTTGCTTGGCAGAAAAAGTCGCATGTTTTCCATTCACAGAAGGAGAGGGGGGGGGGGCCCCCTCTTAGTGTCTCTTCTCTGAGATGTGTCATATCAATGGCCAAAGTGTGAAATCACATTACTGAGCATAGATAATAATTTCGAAACGTACCTGGAACTCAAAACCATGAGCATTGATGCACATCAAATCGATTTTTGTTGAGTTATACGCCAACAGTAACGAATATAATGGGAAGCAAAAAACTCTTTTGTACTCCACAGTTGTTTGAGTTTTGCTTTCTTCTCGAGGATTCTTGAAAGACACCTGAAACAAACACAATTGAATGTTCATGAAGCACAATAAAAAAAACCGAAATCGAGTTAACTGAAACTTCCATCAACTTGAATAACAAGACTGTTTCAATATGTTTTATTCCCGAGTGCTTCTCAAATTTTTTGTGGTGTGCAGGCACAAACTCAAAACCCATGATATGTACTTAAAAGCAACCTTAGAAGATTCTTCCCAAGAAAAGGCTAGCTTTGGCTGTAGAGATGTCATAAATTGGCTTCAGGGGCTCAAACACTGAAATACAGGCTACATAATAATGAGGAAACCCTATCCCTAAATGACCCTAAAAAAATGAAAAAATATCAGACCATTCCGATTTTAAAGACCCATACCCTATCTCCTCCCCCCCAACATTTCCAAAGTACTTAATAACTTCTTTTTTATTTTACATTTTCCCACCCTGTTTAAAAGTTTTGGACATTTTGGGGAAAAAGTGCAATGTCCTTGCAGACACACGTAGCTTTCCCATTTTTAAGGGAGGCCTTCTCATCTCAAAAACCTATTTACAGACCTTGCCATTTTTTCACACAGTCCAACGGTTGAGAGGTTCCTGTACCCTTGTGGTGACGCCATACTTGAGGGAGACAAGATGACAGGTAGAATTTTAACCTCTTTTTAGATGCATTCTGATTTCACAAGCATTTTTATCAATTCTTCACGATTTTTTTGGTTTGGTAGATAGTGAAAAATTGGGAACCTACTTTCATGAAAACCTGAAAGATTGTGGAGGGAAACCTGTTTGCCCCTCTGTCAAGCCCATGTTCTGGGACCCAGGAATCACGATTACAAAACGATATTAGTCAAAGTCATCCTGATTTATTCCCAAATCTTACTCTATCCCAATGCACCCTCATTTTTTCAAAAATCCATTCCAAACTATTCTATCTCATCACATTTATCCTTCGTATTCCCGATTTTCCAGTGCTAAATGTAGCGCACTGCTATGGGCGGTTCTTTGCCCTAACAGCCCACCTACCCTAATATAATAGCTCCTATGACAGCTAGGTATAAGGAGATTCTGTGTTTCTTCTACCGCAGCTTCTATACTTGGATTAAGTATGGAGAAGCATAAACTTACCTCGCGTGGATACTGAGTCGGACTGACACATGTGTTAGCTGAAAAAGACTGACTCCTCTTTCGAAGCAGCAAATTATTGTAGATGACTGGATCTGGCTGAATTAGCAGGCCAGACCAGTTCAATGCATCTTCCAAGTACTCTGTCATTGAAAAATTGTTGTCACCATATGCACCCACATCTACAAACACTCCATCAGTCTGGAAAAAACAAGTAATACATTTAAATAAGCTCTCCGATAAATACAAAAAATCAGCCTGTCTCCTTTGTTTAGTGCTCAAATTCCGTTGCTTAGAAGGAGGGAGGACACCTTTGGTACTAATAGAACAGTGGGTTCAAAATCGGGGAAAATTTAGATTTATTATAGACTGAAATTTCGGGAACAGATATCAGAAAAGGGACAATTTCAACCAGTTTTTCAATCTTGCATAAATCACTTTAAAGCTTGTAGATGACCGAAGTTCAAAACCAAGTACTTATCTTTGTTTGCAACTTTTCAGACTCTCTGTCATACTCGATTTATTCTATGGAAGACTAGTCAGTGCAATTTCTTAAAATTTTCTTGATTTTTCTTCTAGATTTCAAGCTATAAAATAGGCTTGTTATCTGGCAAGAAATAAAATCAGCGCAGAAATTTTGAAACACCGCTAAGAGGAGATGCGTTGTTTTGAACTCTGGCCATCGATGTTTACGTGTTCTTAGTGAAAAGCCATTAAAAATGAAATTGCAGGAGTTTGATACTGAGGTCAAGTTACTGACTGTTGATAAGTTATTCTAGATACCAGCTCTGGTGCACAGATGTTTAAGTTCCTGAAAAACGATCAAACGTTATCCATGCAAAATGCCTTACGATAATTCTCTGACATTATGACCATGGCCTCTGCATTACCTACTCTTAATTTTTATTCAAAGCAAGAGCAACAAAAGCAACAAACCTTGTTGCGAAACAAAGCTCCTACTCGATTGAGACGCCAGTTTTCAGTCATGGTCCGTCCATCTTGATGGGTAGTTAGAGTGACTTGTTGAGTATTTGATTCTGCTAACGTTCCCGGTGGATTGATGAAGTTATGTCTTATGAAGTCTATGAGCTGCGGATTGTCCTGTTGCACGCTTGTCAGATCAGAGTTTGGTTTGAAGGGTAAATTTTTTCTATGAGTTTTTCTCGCTATGGAAGAAAATAAACAAATTATAAAATGTCCGGAAAGTGATAAAAACATAAACATGCCAGAGAGCCTGGTACATATACTCCATTCATTCTTGCTGCTAATGGGCAGTTAATAGAGAAGTGCAAATTCTTTCCAGTTAAGTGGACTTATTCATGCTAAAAGGAACAACAAGCAAGTGGAAAGATGGGGTGTGCTCATGGTGAGCTGGATAAGAAACAATGTAAAAGTGGATCTACAGTTCCTTTTGAGAAAATAGGAAAGCGGAATTTTACAGTAAATCAAAAGGAACTGAGCGCTAACTCGTGAGCCTCGGACAAGTGACAAGAGCCTTGAGGACAGGGCTCATGAGTTAAAGTGCCCCGAAGACAAGCTCGTTGTCGTTCCACGTCTCGATCATCGCCCCTGACGTCACTAGCGCTTTGAAATCCCCATTCATTCTTATGGCCTTCAACTATTGTTAGCATAAATACATCCAAGTCTGAAGCTTACTCATACCAAAGCCCGCAATTCATTCAAACATATTCCTGATTGGTACCTGATAGAACATGGATACGTTCAAATAAAACATACAAAGTACATTCGATTTTATCGCTTTGAGTGACTCAAAGTATCTGGAATTGAAAGAATTTGTCATCTTGTAGGAATAGTAATCCGTTGTTCTTAATCAGCATGGCAAAGTGAGTAACCTAACACTTTGTTCTACAACTCTTTCATTGCTGCTTGTAGAATTTCAAAATCTGACGAGGACTCTAAAGGAGTTGAACTGAAAATTTACACGAGTTAAAAATGTACTTGACTTACCTTTGAGGTCGGTGGTCAGGAATAAAATAGTCATGACAAGTGAGAAAGTGCCAAAGAAGGCAACAATCGGAGGGATCCTCTTGTGAGAGTTTACTGGACACGATGTAATCATCCATAAAATTCATTCAGCCACTGACAGGAAAACTCAAAGATGATGGAAAATTAAAGGAAGAAAAATTTAACTCTAAAAAAACAGCTCTATCGTTATAATTATTCAAAAAATAAAATAAAATTGGACAGCGACTGCAGGTTTTATTTGTTTGTTTACAGTTGCACCATAGAAATACTTAGACTCCACGCCACACACACTATCTTTGTGCTCCTACAAGTTCAGGGTTGGCAACTTGACTGGCAGAAAAGTAATCGAGCCTACCAGGTCCACCGTAGAGAGTGAGTTGTGTACTGTGTAATGAAGCAGCTTGGCTCCTAACGTTTTGATACAACTTTTCGTACCTCTAGGATGTCTATGTTGCATACACAAAAATTGAAGGCGTTTCGTATTTCTGCTGCCTCGCTTCAAATACCTAATCATGCGCGGGGCAGCGGTTGTTAAAAGGACGAATTTAATCATCAAAACTTTAAAAATTCACGGAATCAGATTAAGTAAATTCCACATTGCTAATTTTCACGCAGGTATTACCAGTTGAAATGTCTATATGACTTTTTTTTTACACTATGCCAAAAACTGAAAAACATAACAATGCAAAAAAAATGTTGATCAAATATTTTTACAGTTTTGTGTCTACATACTTTAGAAACTAATCTGTATATTCTTGTTTAATCAGTGTCTTATTATTTTTTTTAAGATCGGTATTTTAAAAGAACTATTCAATGTCTGTTTGCAGCCTTGCGGATGAATTTGGTATATCGGTGGTGAAATTACCTCGCCACGGCTTTGGACTGCTATGTTGCGATTTTTCTTCTTCTTCTTCTTCTTAGAATGCAATTCTTGACATCTTCCCTTAAAATGTCCAAAAAATATTTCCGAAAGAACGGAAGGAAAGTCCAAATGAATTTCATCTTTAAAAACGAATGTCCGGCCGTTTTTAGAAAGCTAAAATGCGTGACAGGAGATTATTGTTGCGAATCTCCCGTCTTAGTTTTGCTCTTTATGACTTCTTTTATGAAATTTAGTCAGCTGATTTCGGTTGAATTAGTCTATTTGTTCGTTACCTATGATGATAGATGTCCGTCTGTTTACCTGCCAGAGCGCTACGAGTCACGAGCACGGTAACTTAAACCTAGACAACAGAAATACGAAACGCCTTCAATTTTTAAGTATGCAACATGGACATCCGTTGAGTATGAATAGTTGCATCAACAAGGCGCAAGGCGCTTGGAGCCACCAGCTGCCTTACGCACTGGTATGGTTGGTAGACACATGCGAGGTACCGATAATAGGTGATAGCTGCTACGGTTGTTTGGGTGCTTTTCCGTTCTAAACAGGACACGAGGTCACTTTTGTAATAGAAATTAAGATATGTTTTGTTGTAAAAAAGTTAAAAATGCATTAAAGTGTTTCATTTTAGATGACTGATTTAAAGGAACCATATTTATATGCGCACGTAGAAGTATAGTTTTTTCCCACATTTTTTTACCTGTTCTTATAGGATGGGATTAATGTCAAATATGAAGAATGGTTGTCCGTCCTGTACAATGACCTTCCCTCCGTGCGAAATTGTTCGTTGCTTTAACAGTGCTTTACTTGCATACATAAGAGAAATTTACATGTGAATAGTGCGGATCACGCCATAGATATTGTTGCATGAGCTTTGACAATTTTACCAGTTTGCCATCAGTACAAGTGAAGTAGTGGTTTAGGAATAACACGATTATCAGTAATAAGTGCCGATGCATGAATTAATTGGCTGTTGTGGATTTTTCAAAAACGAAGACTAAATAGCTTTTTTATATTTAAGTGAATGTCTGTGCTGATGATGTGAATGTCAAATGAAGTAGCTCAAACGAAGTGAATTCCATTACGAATACGTTAAGTACTTGCGGATCTTATATCTTCTCTAGACATATTGTCGAGATTCAAAGCAACACAGATCGCATCTGTCACTAGACATTTGTGGTAGACTGCAACGACAGAAAATCCGGATCATACAGCCGTTTAAAAAAGAAGAAAGCGATGAATTCTATAATATTATTACCTACATGCGTAAAAATTTTTACCGTGCTGGAAATTCGGGGTAAGTGTCGTAATAAAATAATTTTCAGCACAGAGGCGGATGCTTGCTGATTTTGAAATCCCTAAGGTAATTTTGAACATGTTAATTTTAATTTTTTTTCCCCCTGAACAAATATGAATTTTCAAAAATGATCGGAAATTTCCAACGGAAAAAATAAAATCGATTGTTAAAGTCAAAAATAAAACACGGCACACAATTCATGAAATTGCAAATCTACTCTCTTAAAATTTCTTTACTTTTTATCATTGCATTACGGTTTCTTCACAATTATTAGGGACTACTTCTGCCTGATGTTTTTTGTTTTTTGTTTTCTTTTTTACATGTAGAAATAAATTAATTTAAAAAAAAACTTTTGGAACATTATAAACAGTGAAAAATTACTGTAGATATTTTGACAAATTTTTTGGGGAGGCTGTGAATTCCGCCGATTCCTTATTTTTGGAGCGTAAATTCTGCCGATTGCCCACCGTCCCGAACTGTGAATTCCGCCGATTTCCCATTTTTCTAAAGTGCAAATTCCCCCTCCGTCTAAAGTAGACAAAGCTTCAGTAAGCACCATACCAGTTTCCCCGCGCCCGTTGGCAGTTGGTGATCAAACAGTCTCCCAAAATGATTCTCTGGTGTAATTTCAACCAATTTCAAGTATTCGGTTTCTCTTCATTTCTTTAAGTTTCATAGAACGAATGCATTGAATCTTTTAAAATCATATACGCAAAGAAAATGTGTGACAATTTACGAGGTCGTTTTTTTATTTATGCTAGGTTTTTCTCTTCCGTCTCTTTCTGCGCAAATCTGATTTCAGGCGGGTATGAAAAATTGCCCGGGAACGCGGCGAATATTAGAAAAAGTGCGACACAAGTTCGGCAAATTGGACGTTTTTAAAGCAAAAGGAATTATATTTATTTTACGATATGAGCCTTGTCATGCATGCAGCCTTATGGATCTAAAGGTTCAAGTCAGAATGGATATAATTTCTTTTGCGTTAAAAATGTCCAATTGTGCATCAATGGGTGGATTTTGGACATTTTTCACGTACTCACCATGATTTAAGAGCGATTTGACCTGTCGGAAGTGTATTCAGTTGGCTGTATCTCTTGTTTGCGACAGGTTTTTTTGAATAAACGAAAAATGTGTCGATTTTTCTTCCCATCGATGTCCAATAATGATCGATCGTTGCTGAGTGTTTGCACTGCGGTGACCAACCGGACCCGGTTTTGCTACCCGGAGACCTACGGCATAGTTTACCTAGCGTACCTACTACCGATCTCATCACAACCGCCAAGCCTCATCCTACTATACTTTCACTTTCATCTCTCGGCTAACACGCCATTACCAATCTCAAAAGTTGGCTTATTGATCTCTTTTAAACTGTTTACTTATTCCCGATCAGTTCACACTTTTACGCAGCTCATTTTGTGAAGCATACATCCATCAGGTTAGGTTGTTTCATTTTCAAAGTTTTACGATTGCTGCTTAATATTACAATTGCAAATTCTCACTTGGAAAAGAATATCGCGAACCGTGCGTTGAGCGTGTTATCAGTCTATTTTGTTTCCTAGTGCTCAGTGTGGAGCGGTGGCGACGCAACGCTCGGACTGAAGGCCAGAGCCTGTAAGTTGCGACCAGTTCTCCTCCGTAAAAAAATGTGACTAGAAATTTCGAAACAGACTTCGGCTCTCAAAAAATAACAGTTGAATAGACTACACGGAAAAATGGATCGCTGATTTAATAATTTTGTAGTTAAGAAACATTTCCGACATGTTTCAAATGTACATTTTACAAAAGTTGAGCAATAGTTACAATACTTTACAACACGCGCGTGGTTAAATTAGCATTTTTTAATTGTAAAATCTACATTGAAACATGTGGGACACTTTTTTGACTACGAGATTATTAAATCAGCAATTTCATTTTTTCCCCCGTCTATCAAGGGTTCAAATCATGCGTGAAACCAACATGCTTCCTAGTGAAAATTACGCGTGAAAAATATTTGTGTATTGAATTTTTTTTACATCTATACTGCCAAGATAATTCAAAAAATCTGCTCACTGGGAAAACCGAGGTCTACGTGATTAATCGCAAGTCAAATCGATTCTCACGGACATTTCAATCAAGTAGGATTCCATTAATCGTTCATTGTGATTTCCAATTTCTGTTTCATGTGTGCTACGCTTAAACTGACAAAAAAGCAACAGTCCGGTGCTTAGCATATGTATTGTTCTGAAAATGTCACTGCGTGCATCATTCCCTCGGTGCATCAATTTCAACCCTGCGTAGTGGCCATCTTTTGAACTTAAGTGAGCAACTGTGCGATACAAATATTTTAACAATTCAACGTGGAAGATGAGCCCCTTCAATCGGTGAATAGACAACACACGCAACTTTCCGGTACAAGCAACTTTACCACGTTATGCAATCTGCTCCACTTGGAATAACTTTTATAATTCGGCTAATAATGAATGATTTTTATTCGATGAATAAGGAGAATACAATATGATCAAGAAAGCTGCATAAGTCAAAGATCTAGAGGCACATTGTTGGAGCTTCGTAAATCCAAATAGATGCACTTATTAGCCGACATTATTTTTTTTTTTTTTAAATCCCTTGCTTTAATAGTATATCCTGATATCCTCATTTTCAGCGCGTTAAAGCCATCTTGAAGGAGTGAGAACAATCCTGTTACAATGCAACCATTTCTGATCTTAGCCTCGTTATCCGTTATAATTCTGTGTGGCTCATTTTTCATCGCGGATGGAGACTTCGCACCAGATGTAAGTACTTAGCTTCTGATGTTTCTGAAAGGATCACTAGGTAATAAATTGCAGAATCCACGTAAAGGGCTTATTGGAATTGAACTTCGCGAGCATATTTCATCGTCAGATGAGTCTATAACTGGCAAAACAAACCAAATTTTCCGGAAGACGAAAGTTTTTTGTGGTTTGTAGGATTCTCGGTGTTACGCCGGATTTTTTTAAGTAATTAAAAAATTACTACTTATCGAATAATTTTAGGTCTATTGTCTACCTACTAAGTTTCCGCGCTTTTAGAGGGCGATGGAAAATTAGCTGTCCTCAGTTTAGAATTGAGAGAAAATACATTGACGGAATCATCTGTCTCGCCTTAAAAGTGTGCAAACTTGTTTGGCATGGACTCCAATCTGCGTGTGCTTGAATTCTTTCTGTTAAAGTTGATCCTATACATATATGACGAGAAACTAACTGTCCATAATATCCGCAAGTCCTTTTCTAAAATAAAATAATTTGAAATTTTCCGAAAGAACAAATAGATACATCTACTTATTGCTAAATTACTTTCTATTGAATTTGACGTTTTTGATCGAATTTACTTGAATCTCGTAAATACAATAAATTCGAAGTTAGTTAAAATGTGTATGTTCGGCACAATGCAATTTTTATTTTTAACATGGATTGAAAGTAAACTAACTATGTACGTTCAACGAGAAGACACCTCATTCTTTGTCTTAAAAATTTTTGTTGAGTATTTCGATGTCTACTTATGTTTTCTGTTATCAGCACAAAATCAAAAAGTAGCCGCCGCTCCTCCATCGGAACTTCTTGAAAGTACTTTTTGCCCGTTATAACTTTTATTCATATTCATCAAACCCACACTCTCAAGTTGGAGACATGATTCAAACCAAGTCTCTTTTTGTTGCTAAAATTGCATAACTGAAAAACTGAAGGGGCATTGAATGCATAATGTATAGCATTAAGCAGAGCCTGTCTAACCAAATTTAAACATAGCCCAACTTTCTCTCATGCTTTATGCTAAAATAGAAAACCAAACAACCCCCCCGACTTTAAATTTCCGTTCCGCAGAAACACGTCCATTTTGTATTAAACATCTACTGTCTCCAGCTTCATTTAAAATCATCATACAGATGGTTTCCTCGTGCAGATATGTGATTTTATGGACGAGCAAGACCATACCTGGTAGTTCCTCATTGTAAAATGTAATCCAAATCACTTCGTTTAAATTCACCATGTTGCAGAATTGCCCTCTCCGCGCAGTGGTTGTTTTAAAGGAGGATGGAGTTGGAGCAAAATGTTATGGATACGTGGAATTTTGCCAAAGCTACCAGTCTTACGAGCCAGTTTTCATGCAACTAAATATTTATGGTCTCTCACCTGGACTCCACGGGATGCATGTTCATGAGAAGGGAGATTTGAGGCAAGGCTGCAACTCCACCGGTGGCCATTTCAACCCATTCAATGTGAGTATAGCCTCCATCAAAATACTCAAATTCATATTAACGGGGGACAAATGGATTGCTGATGTAACAATTAAATTGTTAAAAAAATATGTCCGACATGTTTCATAACTGTATATTTTACAATTGTGGAAAGCTAATTAAACCACGAAGGTGGATTAATCAGCGTTTTTTCATTGTAAAATCTACATTGAAACATGTCGGATATTTTTTTCAACTAAAAATTTGTTAAATCAGCAATATCATTTTTTATTTCGTGGTCGTTCTTGTCTTTTCTCTTCTTCTTCAAGACTGCCTTGGTAGCGTTCTTCAAACAAGTCATTTCTACATTGAACCTTATTAATTCATTTCTATATCGAACCTTTTAAAATTACCTATATTTGCCTCAGCTAAAGGCTCTTAGATTTTTCCAGCGTACGATAAGTATCTTGATTTATTTTGCGAGGAAAGATCTGTACTTGTAAAGGATGCCTGTCATTCTTAATACGTTCAATTTCGTATAATACTGTGCAACATCTCTGTTGTGAAATCGTTGCTTCAAGCGCCGCCGCACGGCGGGCGGGCGGCCAGCGCGAAGCGCGCATTGGCGCCTACAAACCCAAGGGGATACTTCAAGCATAGTGCAATGCGTGAGGTATCCACTTAGGTTTGTAGGCGCCAGTGAGCCTCTCGCGCTGGTAGTACGCCGCTGCTCCGCTCTGTTAGGCTTTAATATTTATACTCGCATCGTCAGCGTTTTTTAACTCATGATTTTGAAATGTATGCACACTCTGCATTGATTATTCTCATTTAAATTGATGGGGAAAAATATGTATCAATTTATCAAAGGAGAATAATAATATAATGTGTGTTGTCAACAAAGTCTTATTTTGACCCATGAATATGCTCCTGCAGTCTGGACGATTAACCCTGGATCACCCTGTATTTGTTTCTCTCTTCTATTAGTCATTGATTTTTTGCAATCCTTTTACGTTAATTCAAAATTATGCGTTAATCCTGAGCGTTATATTTTCATGCTGACAGAGCAAACACGGAGACCGTAACGCGCAGTTCCGTCACCAAAAAAGTCTTATTTTGATTCATAAAATACGCTCCTGCAGTCTGGTCGATTAACCCTGGATCACCCTGTAATTGTTTCTCTCTTCTATTAGTCATTGATTTTTTATAATATCGAGGGCGTATCTCAATTTCCGTATGAGCCCCAGAAGTACAGTTTTATATATCGACGGTGTAAGTCGGCAATCACATAACTCGTTTGCGGTGTCTGAAAATCTCCGCCTCTATGTTTTTTTTTTTTAAAAAGAGAACAATTTGACATCATTCCTTGAAGTTTATGCAGAATTTTCTTCGCACAGAGAAGAAAAATCACAGAAGTTTTAAAGAATTGCCGTTGAGTAGTTTTCCCTTTAAAAGATAACGTAAATGACGGGAAGTCTGCGACGTCGCAAACCGAGTTATGTGATTGCCGACTTGCACCGTCGATATGTAAGATGAGGCTAACGTGGAAATTGAGATACACCCTTACGTCAAAGGAGCGAGGATTTTTGGGGCTTTTCCACATCCACATTTTATGCACTCCTGGATTTTTTACAGTCCCTTTACGTTAATTCAACATTTATGCGTTAATCCTGCGTTATATTTCTGCCAACAGAACAAACACGGAGACCGTAACGCGCAGTTCCGTCACCTGGGGGACCTGGGGAACATCGTGGCGGACGGGTCGGGGCGCGCGGTCTACCAGCTGGACGACCGTCTCATCTCCCTCCACGGGGACTACAGCATCCTCGGCCGGGCCCTCGTCATCCACGAAAAGGAAGACGATCTCGGTCTCGGCGGGAACCTAGAAAGTCTCAAGACGGGCAATGCTGGACGAAGAGTCGCCTGCGGCATCATCGGCAAGCTATAAATCTTCCGCTCCTCTTCTGCCGTGCCCAGGAAAAAAAGACATGAGAACATTCGGACGTTGCCAGATATTCTTCATAAAAACACATTTTTGGATAATTGGACGTATTTCTATCAAACGGAACTAAGCGCCATAGGGGGAGGAAGGTAGAGGGGGGCTTGGATTGGCGGCGGAAACGGGCGTCCTGCTCGTTCCGTCCTATACTCGCAATGCTTTTCCGTGGCGCTTAGGTCCGTTTGACAGAGCGCGCTATCCGGGATTCTAAATTCCTCAAAAGGAACTCAAATTGGCGCTTAGTTTCGTTTGACATAAATACGTCCAATTGTAAATATTTCCCTCTAAATTTCTAGAGAATGCACCGAAAAAGAAGTGAAGTTGATTTAACATTCTGGATGTAAAAAAAGTGTGCGAGAACTTATAAACCGCAGAATTACACACTGCAGCAGTTACTTTAACAACGCCAAGATGTAAAACTAACTGCTGCGGCGGGTAATCCAGCAGTTTATAAGTTCTCGCACACTTTTTTTACTTGCAGAATGTTAGATCAACTTCGCTTTTTTTCGGTGTGGAGGGGTATCGATAAGGGTTGCTTTTGGACCCACCCCAGCTGAATTTCCTCAACTCCAATGCTCCCATTCCACGACTGTCAAAAGTTCCGGAATTTGGAACTTTTTAATTTCTCCCATTCCATGATCGTCAAAAGTTCCGGGATTCTTTTTAGATTTTTTCAAAAGTTCCGAGGGAGTTCCAAAAAATACGAGAGATTCGAAACCTTTCGTGAATTTCCAAAGTTCTGGGAGAAATTCAGGAAAATCTCATAAAGTTCCGAAATTTGGAACTAGTTCCGGGAAATGGGAGCACTGCTTAACTTTACGATTTTTTGCTCATCGACGGTCAATATTTAATGGATTGCATCATGATTTAGCCATTTTTGATCTGTTTTCGGGTCTAATACTGGCCTGAAAAAGGATTTAATTGGACCGATTTTGGCGAAAAATGCGGATTTTGCTGGTTTGCGGTTGAGTGCCGAAAAATCCGCATTTTTCGCAAAAATCTTTCCTCCGACCTATGTTTAGGCCAGAGTTAGACCGAAAAAGAGACCGAAAATGATCGAATTTGATGCATTCCGTCATAACCTTCAATAGGCAAAAAATTGCTGAATCGAGGAAATTCAGAGAGAGAGAGAGGTCCCTATCAATAAGCCTCCTTTCCAGAGAATTTTATTGGCAATTATTTCTAGTGTGATTACCTGAGTGTTTCAAGTAAAAATGTTCATAGCTTTTTCCAAAATAAAAAACCTTGTCGGAAAAATTTTGGCAACGTTCGAATGTTCTTGCGGCGTTTTTCCTCAAAGCGGCAGTGGGTTTACATCGTCTGCCATGGAAAAATTCTTCGTTTTTTCTTCTTTTCTTTTAATCACCAACTGGGACAAGTGTTAAAGATGTCCATCGAGCAGGCAGTCGAGATGAAACCTGGATGCTCTTTAGTCTCAGGAATCCGATTATTTTCACAATAGAGATAGTTGCATAACAAACACGCCCGGTGGGGAAGGGGTCTGTCTTAGTCAGTGTGACAAAATTTCATGGAATTTTCTGTGAATTAATTCTGAGAATTTCTGAAATGTATAAAATACATGCTTCAAACTGTTACTTTTCAGCTGAAACTAAATATCTATTAAACCTCTGTCAATATTACTTGGAAGAATCATTTTGTATCACTTATATTTTACACACGAGAGAAATGTATATAAATGTAGAATTGAAATGCGGTTTCCGTGGTGCAACGTGTCTGGTTAAAAAATCAGCACCTGAAGTACATGTTTCATATTTTTCATGGGCGTAGTCTCTCGGTATTGTATGAAATATTCCACGGAAATTTCCGATCTTCCATCTCTCCAGTCTCTTTCATTTCAAGCTGATCACTGGTACCCTATGCCATAGTTTCTGAGTCACCCCAGTAGTGCGACCCCTTCCTTACTCACTGCACACGTCTGTTTCGTATCTTTTAAAAAAATTGGTATAATACAAATATAAGAAATATAAAAGCAAAATGTAACAGCTAAAATAGATGATATGCTTGGATTTTGAGTAACTTAACGAGCAAATTCTTAGTCTAAAGTACACTGTTAAAAATCGTTGATTCCGTCCGACGGAAAATCCGGAGTGAGAATGAACACGGGAGTGCGGTTCAGCGCGTAGGTGCTGAGACGGGCTGCATGTGTAGTCAAAGCACTCCGCACCGGAGCTGCAGTACGGCCCGGAGTCACGCGCACCTTTCTCTCCCTCGCACTAGCGCTATATACTGTCTCTTCTCCCCTTTAAGCCTACCACTCTCAGAATGAAAATGAAAAATTTAAAGAGAAAAAAATAGAAAAAATAATAGAATAGTGGAAATAATAGAATAGTCGAAATTATGGTATAACAGAGACAATAGAAAAGAAATAAAATAAAGTAAATCAAATATATGATAAAATGAAGTCAAAGACTAAATTGAAGTAAATAATTAGAGGGAGCAAGGAGATGAAGAAAAAAATAAAATAAGGGAAACAACTAAATGATGTTGAAGAATAGAATGAATTTTAAGAGTAAAGTGAAGTCCAAAAATTATGATGAAATATTAAAAGAAATCACAGTAAATATAAAACAAAGTAAAGGAATGAGAAGTAAATAATAATTAAAGGAAAAAAAATGAAGTGCTTGAAAAAATAAAAATGAGTGAAGAAAAAATAGAGACAACAAGGAAATAAAACAAAGTAAAACGATAAAATATAGTTAAAAATATAATAAAGTAAAATATATACACGGACAAATCCAGGTAGATTGAAAATATCTTAGCGGCCCGTTCAAATCGACGTTAAATACCGTTTTTGCGTCGCTAGCATGCATCGTTCGCTATAGCTCAATCGGTAGGGTCGTCGGTTAGTGTTAGGCAGGTCCCGGGTTCAATTCCCAAGGTAGGTAATAAATTTCTAACCTTCAAAATCGGTTAAGTCCCGTATCAATGGTTTCATTATTTTTATTTTTCATGGTTTCAAAAATTATTTCCACAATTAACCCCTTTCCACCATCCCCTAGCTGCGAACCCCTAAATTTGCGGCTCCCGCGAATCCGTCCGGCGTCGGAGTGATTTCTATGCGTACGGCACCCAAAATCCGTCCAGCCGATTCTCCGTCGGAGTGACTCCTCGGTCCGACGAAGTGAGGGCCCGTTCTTACTCGCGCTTGTGCTGAGTCTCACTCCGTTTTTTTTAACAGTGTATAGCGAAAAATTGTAGTAAAATTATAAATGTGTAAGGCGATACGAGCTAAGTATAATGGCATTACTGCAGGTAATTGAGAAAGTTAAATTCGACAACATCTTCGTCTCTGACCTCGAAACGGCGCGAGTTCCTTATACTTGGATTCGAACCAGAGACTTCTCAACAAGCCGTCAGTTGCCGTGACCACGTCTGTTCGAAGAGATTGCCGTTCGGCTCCCTACGGTCTGAATGTAGCAATACGTTTTTTAACAGGATATGTGATTTTTGTTATTTGTAATTTTTATTTGTTTGTTTTTAATTTAATTGTGATTTCATAAAAACCATGAATACTGAAAAAATGTCGTTCGAATCCGTGTGTTATCAATTCTCCAATGGACCACCGCCCATCAAGTGCGGTTCTAAACCTTGCTGGTTTGAAAAACAAGATCCAAGTACGGTGAGTTTGCTCGATTTTATCTGCATTTAAGTGATTGTTTGATGTTGGTAAATTCAAAAACAAAGTGATCGTGAATTTGGAAATTGATTGCTGCGATTCAAATACAGGAATGTACTAAGGAACATGAGAGGTATGACCTTTCGTTCAAAATTTTGATTTCAAAGTATGAATGAGTAACTTCCTCTCGATGTTTAATAATCTCATTTCTCAAAAAATTACAGATCAATCGTTTCTCACTGCCCAAGAACGCTAACTAATAACGTTGCTAATATAAGTATTTTTGTCCAGTTCGGATTGAATGATAGAATTTTGTTTCCTCACTCAAGTTTTCGATAAACTTCCACAATTTCAACTTCAATGAGTTCTCACGCCTCTACTTAAATAAGTACTTTCACAGTGTGTTTAAAAAATTTACACAATAGATAATTTACATCATTACACAATTTCATCGAAAAAAAGCTCTGGCTCCAAAACCGTATTATCAGCCTTTTTGGTGCAGTCAAAACCGCAGCCTCTAAGGCCGGAACTAACGATCTCCGAGTCTGAAATTGTCACGATTTCGGTTCAACCCGTTTATAAGCAAGGCTTTTAGACCCAATACATTTTTCCAATATAAAGTCAACTAGTAACGTAGCGTACTGTGCGATATATCGATTGATCTGCCATTGAAACCTATAGGAAAGGATCGATAATTAGGGTGCTCGCAACGAACACCTCATTATCAACACTCAATACTTTATCAGCGGCGTGGCGTGCTTTGCGATATATCGATTGATCTGTCATTTAAACTTATGGAAAAGGATCGATTATCAGGGTGTTTGCAGCGGTGCGGACACCTTAATAATCGATACCTTATCACGGATTCAAATGGGGAAATATCGATAATCGATCATTCACGCCTCGCCACTGCAGTCAAATTTCACTTGAAAATACCGAGCATTACTCCAGCATCCCCGTTAAACTGCATTATCATCAATCATCATACCTCATAACGTCTCTGTTCTGACGTAAGAGCGTAACTCGATTTCCACAAAAGCCGCAGAAAGCATGGATTTATTTGTAAAACAGGGCTCATATGGATATTGAGATATGCTCTTACATCAGAGGGATGACGATACAAAACGAGGATTAACGTTGTACTAAAGCGGATCCAGCAATGGAGATGTTGCATGTGTGAAGGATTTCCGATTTGACTGTTGACTCTTATGTAAAAGTTTGCGAGAAACACGATGGTGCCACTGGTTTTCTCTGAAGTCATCTCCCAAGCTCAAAAAAAGCTCTTAAGTTGAGGCAAAAATGGAGGAGACATACCACGCTATCCTGAGAGTCCACCTCTACATCAAGACGAACTCTCCATGCGAGGATGGGGAGCAAATACATTGACAGGGCTGCCACTTCATTTGGGGACTCCAAAACTGAAAACACGGCAACCCTGCTAATGTATTTGCT